TTATTTACTGTACATATTAAGATGCAGCCAAGGCCAGGAAGCCAAAAAAAGGAGCACAAAGTGCTCCATTTGGCTTCCTGTGCTGAAGGCACAATGGGTAGTGGACTCATTGTTAAGAATGGGGTGATTTCCAATTGGTGTCAATGCCATGTGGGCACTCCACTGTGTGCATGATGGTCCATCATTGAGAGCCACCACCTGCATACACCATGATGTTCAATGGCTCGCAAGGACAGACCAACATGCCATGGTTGACCTTGGCACAGATGGATTTGCAGAACACTTGTAGGGTAATAAGATAATATTTGTGTAAAAAAAAACAGAATAAGCAGGGAATACATACAACAATGGAGCAGGTCCCAATAGAAAGGCAAGCCATGTCCTACAGATTCTATCTCTCAACAGACAGAAATGGATACAAAAATGATGGAATGGAGATTCATGGGAACAATATGAGACAATGGTAAATATCAATGAGGAATAAGAAAGATGTCTAACATCTGGCCTGTATTACTGTGATATTACACTGCGATGCCGTTCTATTAGCCAATGCTGTAGTTGGGACTGCATCACTAATGTTGACCATTTGTGTTCTGAATAGGTATACAACACAACCAGCCCACAAGACGAGCGCACCATCCAGCAACAGTAATATGAGGATGCAAGAGTGTTCCCATTGTTCCTGCAGCACCAGTGACTGGGGAAAGTGTTGAAACAGCGGTAGTGGAAGGTGATTGATGTGATGATGATGGTGTGCTTTGTGCTGCTCAGCTGTGTTGCTGCATGGTATGAGTATTGGGAGGTCGAGACGAGCTGACAGCTGGCTTCTTCTTTCTAGTGTGATAGTTTCTCTGCGCAAAAACGAGTCAGCAATAAAGAAGAAGTGCAAAAAAGAAAAAAAGAAATACACAGGCTTGCCTGCTGTGTAAGGAACCTTGACCTCTCGCAACTGAATGTCCAATCTATCTTGTCTGCATAATATACCAGATACCAGGTTTTGAGTCCAGCTGAAAGGTCATGATTGAGATTGGTCGTGCTCAGTTGCCCCATGTGGCTTGGAGGGGCACCAGGAGGAAAAGTGACTGAGGGTGTGTTGATGTGGTGCTGGAGTGGGATGGTTATGCAACCCTTGGGATTGGGATAGACCAATATGCAATTGACAACATATTCGTCAAAGTATTAAATAATAGATGGAGGTGGCATACATTAGCCTCTTGCAGTTCATCATTGAAGAATCCTGGAGGAATTCAAGAAGGACCTTTCATCTTTGTGGCTGGTGGCAATGTAACATCAACCTGGAGGAGCAGATCTGTCATCAGTGTCATTGAGAATAAAATGTATCGAAGCATACATGTACAATATCTGATGGAAGGCAAGCCTCTTTGATGATAGAAGAAATATCCCATGTGTAGATGTAGCTGCTGAGGCAGCTAGTGATGAGGAATTTTCCATCTGTAGAAAAGGTCGCAGAGATTATGTTGTGTTCATGGTGAAGTGGTGTTCTGATGGGTTGATTGGTTTCAAGGCTCCATAGTTGCGCTGTCTTGTCCTGGTATTTTCTACTTGTGAAGATGTGCTCATTGGGAGATAGTGAAATGGTATTGGAGATGTTTTTGCACTTGACAAGAAAAGTCCAAGTGGCTGTGTTGATCTTGGTTTCTCCTGTGAAGAGTGTCTTTCCATCTGAGGTCCATGCCAGGCACATAGTATACATAGTAAGTCCAATCTCAAATGTTTTCAACAATTCACCTGTGTTGGCACCCCAGATTTTTAGCCCTTTCCCACCTGTGACAATCATCTTGCCATCGGGTGAGTAGCAAACTACATCCACATTGTCAATCCCTGCATTGACTGGTCCAAGGATAGTTTCTCCACTCTTGACATCCCACACTCTAAATGTCTCATCCCTGGATGCACTCACTACTCGCCCTCCATCTGAACTCCAGTACACAGACCACACTTCCCTTCTGTGTCCCATCAATGTTTTGATGACCTTGCCCATGTCAACATTCCACAATTTCACTGTGAGATCCATATTCCTGCTTGCCATGGTCTTGCCATCCAGCAATAATGCTATGTTCCGCACTCCTCTTTCTTTGTCCTCCCATTCCTCCCCAACCTGCATGCCCCTCTCCAAGTCCCAGACTTGAAATGACTCATCCTGCAAATAGATAATAATCTGCTGTTCACCAGGCAGGCATAGGATGTGCATGATGACCTTCTTTAGTTTGATCTTTTGGCAAGGCATTGTTGCTGGGTTCTTGTCTTGCACAGGGGCTGGATGCAGTGTGATTTCAGTTTTGTGATCCACTTGGTTGGTGAGTGATATTTCAGTTCTTGCCACCAAATCCCAGAGTCCATCACTTACTCAGAATCCAGATGTAATTGACTTGTACACAAAAAGACAAATGTGGAACAAAAGCTGCAATGAAGTGGGTGTTTCATTTGATGGAGATTCAGGTCAGGAGGGAAGTCATCATTGAAGTCTTCTGCAGTTGTGTCTTCCTCGCCTCATGTTCGCTCCACAGCTCCAGTACTGGTTGTGGCTGTGTGGATCAAGTGCCCAATGCTTTTTTCCACAATATGCCCACTTTCTTCATCTGCATTAAGTCCTTGCCACATCACAGTCTGCAACCTTACAAGTCTGCATGGGCCAATGCGATTATGCAGTCTGTGTATCTATTTACTTGCACTGAAATTCCCTTTTTTTTTCCAATTTTACGTCCATTGAGAGTGATACTCTATGTAGGACACTACTATCTAGTCATGGAGCCCCATGCTCTGCCCCTTTGTCACACCCCCAAATGCACTGGTGTAAGGTGTACCCCACCAGTCCACTGTTCCTGCTGGCCATTTTAGATGGGTGATGTATAAGACTTAGGGAGCAACTGTATGTAAGATTGTGTGGTGTGTGGTCTATTGTGAAGGTCATAATGCATGCTCAGCCACTTGCGCAGACCAAACAGGGATCAGATGAGGTATGCAGTAAAGGTATAGTAGGTGTAATCCTGAGGACATGAAAGCGAGAGCATGCTTCGGGGCTGGGTGAGGAAGTTGACAGGCACCCAGTGTGTCAGAGGGGAGCATTCCTACTTGTTACTGACTGATTTTCCCCAGGGCTGGGCCAGAGATCTTGTGTGTATGAGCGGAATCATGTGATTAGGTGAGGCTATGGTATCGAGAAGGAGGAGTGATTAGTTGTTCTGGGCTTGATATAATAGGGTGGGGTCTTGAGTGCATTCTGTGCATGTCTTGCTCACATTGGGAGGAAAGCTGGGCAGGGAGTGTCAGGCTGTTCATTTGGTGGGCATCAAAATTTCACCTAGCATGGATCTCAAGCGATTGGTCTGGTTGACATAGTGAACCAGATGGGGGATGGTGTCAGAGTCAGATAGTAGATGCAATAAGGAGGTGGACTTCCATCCCATTGCCTGAGCTAATGTCATATCCCACAATCTGGACCCACGTTCCATCATATTCCCATGCCTTCCAAGCCTACATCTGGACCCCACATCATATCCAGCTCATTACAAGATCCCCTTCCACTGTGCTCCACACCTCAGCAGGATCGACTACGCTCTGGATTTACCCCTGAGCTCCGGACCATTGGATCCTCACTGCTAGCCTGATCCGTACAACCCTATCCTGTCCACCCTATGTGCACTTCATCCAGCAAAACATCCAGACTTCACCTCATCTCAGATTCCAGAACTATATCCACCTTCTTGTATTCCAGTCCTGTATCCACCTTGTCTTCCAGATCCCCAGATCTCCAGACCTCCGGATATTAGCTCTGGACCTATTCCCACCCTCTGTCCGAGATCCTGCGCCTATCCCCATTTAGGGATCTCTACCTTTCTGGCTTTCGGTTACCTCTTCTTCCGTCTTGCTTATTGATCCTTGTATGAGTCTTCATCTCTGAGTTCATTTACTTATGTTCCGTCTTACTTACTAATGTGTTTCCACATGCTTGTACATAGCCCTGCTCCTTTGCTTATTGATCCCCTCAGATATTCTCCAGTATATAACCCCTGTAGATACTCCTGTAGTTTCCTTAGTTTGAATATCAACTTAGACTTGCCCAATCCTCTCTCGGACTTTGGTCCATCTAAGTCTGTCCTACCCATCAGGCCTAGGGATTGATTCCCTAGGCCGGAGCTCCGCCTTTCCGGCACTTACCCTCTTTCCAGACTTAGGTCCAATCCCTGTCTCTCCAACTCTACCTTAGGGTAGTCTGCCTCTGTTTGCTTCTACATCAGACTTTGTCTGATGTAGCCCCTATTCCTTCCAGACCTCCGGACCACCTGTCCCTCATACCTCCAGGCATCCTGTCCTTCAGACATTCTGCCCTCCGTACCTTTGGACGTTCCGTCCTCCTAACCCTCAGACATCCTATCCTCTGGTCCTTCAGACATCCTGTCCTTCTGTCCTCCATCATCCTGCCCTCCTGTCCTCCTGTCCTCCTGTCCTCCTATCCTCCTATCCTTCCATCCTGTTTCCTGTAGAAGTCTTACCTTGCAGTGGGAACTCTCCTGAGCACTTCCTGCATTCCTCCAGAACTCTTCCACACTCCTCCGGAAGTCCTCTAGCACTCTCCAGCAGAGTAGCCAGTCTCTGGAAGTCCTCCGGACTTCATTGGACCATCATTGGACCTCATCTGAAATGAAGGGCACATACTTGGGTAAGGGGCACAGCGTATGAGCTGAGGCCAAGCCCCTCTGAGTCAGTCTCTCTCTCCTTTGAGCATGGTTCTTAACAGCTAACATGTGGTGTGCTGGCTGGTACTGTGGGCATTCAAAAAGGTAGTGATGGACAGTTTCTTTGGTTTGTGGGCAATGGGCATCAGCAAAACCCTAAATTAAGGTCCCCCCTTTTACAGCACTACATGATACCATACAGCACCACACAGTGCCACACAGCACCATACAGCACTGTAAAAGGGGGGACCTTAACTTAGGGTTTTGCTGATGGGGGCAATCCAGCGAGGCTGTTTTTGTGAGTCAGAATAGGTGCTGATTCAGGGGGAGATGATGGGTGCATAGTCCAAGAATGAGACTGGTGAGGCATTTTAAGAAGGAGGATGTGAGTTTGATGAAGGAGTGTTCAATGGTAAGAGGGTCGATGTGCTGGAGACATTGATGACAGGGGGAGGTGGACCACTGCCTGGCCCATCTGGCATGGGTACATACCCTATGAGCTTGCTTGATCACTGAAATGCTAAGTGGTAGTGAACCATCACAAAGATACAAGGGGAGATGTGCATGGGGACTGCTTCAGTGTCTTCCTTCCACTGTTGTTTTGGCTGCCCTGTCTGCTTCCTCATTTCCATGGACCCCCTCATGACCAGGAACCCATCAAAGTGTGACATGGAAGTCTGGGTTATCGCATTTAATTCTTCTCATCATTCTCTGAAACTTGGTCGCTAAATAGGAGCCTGGATTGGAGTAGAAGCTCTCACTGGATAATATGGCACCGAAATTCCCTTGAGAGGACTGAAAACAGTGTTTTAATGATCTTGCCATCAAGCAGAGGCGCATTAGTCTGACACATTTCTTTCTCTCAAGTTTGTATTCACCATGAGGCTTGAGGTGCATCACACCATAACATGCTGGATAGGGACAAGAGTTCTAACTCTTGACTACCAAACTGACTTCAGGAGATCTCCTTCTTGTTATGAGACTTAGAGTAGAGTAGGAGTTCTTTTCAGACTTCCTTCCAATGTAAATAATTGTACAATATAACTATCGAATGGTTAGTTCTATGTGTCCAATCCAAAAGTCTGTGCATTGGACTTGTCTCTCATCCATGCTGTGCTTACTAATTGACACCACTCCAGCTATTCCCAGTTATCAGTGTTCCCTACATTACTCATTCTTGTACATATTACTAAGCTTTCTCTTCTGTGCTTGTACCTCCATTATCATGTGCTAACTCTAACTAGATAAAGGCCAAGCTTCACCAGCAGCAACCTTGTACCATTATAATGGGACCAAGTTTTGCTCACAGGAATGCTTGTACAATACTACACTGTAGAATTCAGTTATATACAGAGATATTATTGTACATAGTATTTTAGTGACGATTTTCGAGCATATTGGTAATAGAAAGCACAATAGTATTTGTTACATGATTCTTTGGGTAGCCAACACATTTAACTGATAGTAGAACAGCATTAAAGATTGAAAGCCAACATTGAAAGTGAAGACACACCATTGTGGAATTCTCAAGACAAAGACCCAGAGTTCCTGCCAGTGATCGGTTGTTTTCCTTTGTATCCTCATTCTGTGCAAGGCCCAGCAGCAAGATGTCGACATTTGAAAGGACTGCTTGGCAATGCAGCTGGTGGGGATAGTATGATGAGTTCACATAAAATGGCATTGCAAACATCGCATTTTGACTTGACAATGTGATGGTGGCAAAATGCCATATGGACTTCAACGAGGGCTCCTTTCAATTTTGATTCATAGAGGTGTGGTGGAATAAGATTGTGGTTCTCGTCATATGCTGGTAAAGGCTGAATATCATGGGTGGATAAAAGTTCCTGTAAAGGATCTTTGCATCATTCTGCAACTGGCCATGTTGCAAAGTCAAATTCAGGGCCAAGGTCATCACCTGCAGTTACAAAGGAAATTTATCAAATCAGCACTGAGTCAGGATTTTTGTAGTGCTACGTACTGGTTGAGTCATCGCTATCCACCCTTCTAGCATCAGTGGTGTCATGTTGGTTTTCATCATCGAATGTTTTAATCTATTTTATGGTATATTTAGCTGTTAGGGAAGAATAACAAATAATGAGCAATTGGAAGTACTTACATTGAAGAGATTGTGGGTGAGTTTGATGGATCTTTGGCCAAGAGAGTCATAGATGACACTGAAGGTTTTGTAGTCTTTCTTGCTGGGAACAAGCTTTTCAAACGCACAAAGGTTGTCAAGAACTGCAGAAAAGTCATCTGATGAGAACTTGAAGTTTTGATTTCTACCTGCAGTAAGTCGATAGTTCAATTTGACATCTGCTAAGTGTCCATGGAAGACATTTGCAGGATCAAAATTGGCATCTGGTGTGAAGTAGAAGTCATTGCAGCTAATCTGGAAAACACCATGGATAATGAATTCTTGGTTGTCATCTCAACCTTTGACAACAAGCATGTTGCTGTCACATCTGCCTGCAAAAAATTCGGCATGATGTGTGAGTTTAGGCATTGCAGCATAATAACCTCCAGCAGAGGTTTGTAGCTTATCTAGTACTTTACTAGATATTGCATGTGTAGATGTATAGGTGCTGGTACTAGATGAAGAATCGGGTGGAATGGTTGGAATTGTGTGCATTGTAGTTATGAAGGTTGCAAAGTAGCGAGACTGTGTAGCTTGCTTGGTGGGTTTTTATAAGGATTGTTGTTTATGATCCAATGTCCTGGACTAATCCTCAAAAGTGATTTATGAGGGAGCTGAAGGTTTCAATCCGTGATGATCAGCATGGATTGTCAATGGACAAAGTGGAAGGACAAAGCCTGGACTGTATTGGGTTTAGTTGTTGAAGGCATGTGATGGTCTTGAGTGGAATCAATCATAATTGAAAATTGAAGTTGGAAATGCTGACATGAATGCACATAACTTGGAATTGAAATGTAAAATAATTCTTGTCATGACTTGAGGTAAGGGAGGACAAGATCCAAGCAAGAAAGACAGAGAGACAATGAGGGACTTAGTTTTGAAATCATCTTCATCCTGGTGCAATCATGATGGGAAGTCACAACATTACTGAGATCGTCAGTGACTTAACAAAGGCAGAGCCAGTTGCCATAGTTCCTGCAAATACACTGAAGGCAAATATTCAAAAGCAGACATGGCCACAAATTATGGATGTGGTATGCAAACTGCCTGACCATATTTTGGATATGATACACCAAGCTGTGGAGAAAAAAGATGAGGAACATGAGGTGGAACATGAGGAAAAAGCTGAGAGGAAAAGGATTACCAACAAACTTCAATGCAAAGCACAGAAGAGTGTTGAAGAAGTTCATTTTGAAGAGCACAATGATGGCATCAATGAGCACAATTATTCAAAGTATCTGGGATTACCATCAGAAGAAGAGATTAAAAAGTGCTTCAAAGCATACATATCAGGGACATCAAATGAAGCTCTTGCAATGTCAGTTTGCATTGTCTGTGCTCAGGAGTTGATGAGCTCTGAAGGTATGTAACAACAATTGTGAAATACATTACATTAATCGTTTGGCATGGAAACGTTGTACAGGCAACATGCATCATCTGTGTAGGATACCAAACATCAGGCAGTGGCTTTCTGTATCAACAGAAACTTTACCTGCAGTAGCGACATTGTGGGAGGGATTATTGTTGCTTGAAGGACATGTAAAAGGAGAGGCACCTGACACAACAGGGTGGATTTGTTGTGAATGTCATCAATCACTGGAGGCTGATACAATGCCCAAGTTCACACTTGCAAATAACATGTGGATTGGTCCCATTCCACATGAACTTGCCATTCTCACTCTCCCAGAGGAACTTTTAATTTCTCATCACTTTCCTTGATGTTACATCTTCAAACTATATCCAAAGGATACTCAACATGCAAATCCTAGTCATTTGCAGCGGGGAATGGTTGGAAACATCACTTTATATGATATGAACACTGACAATGTTGTGAAGATGATCAAAGGCCAATTCTTACCACAACTGGTCACTTCTCTGGCATCAGTGCTCACAGTAACCTATATTGGGACTAGAAATTTGCCAAAGGACTGGCTGAAATCAACATTTCATGTTTGACATGATGTTGTGTTCAATGCACTTACTTGGTTGAAGTCCCACAATCCACTCTATGCTGATATCCAAATCTCAGAGGCACAACTTGCACATCTCCCAGAGGATGATGTCCCTCAAGAGATAATTTCTGTTGTCTGTCACAAGGCCAATGATGATGTTGCGACACAAGAGAGCAAAGGATATGTGCCTACAGATGATGAGATTAGAAATGGTGTGTGTTGCAGTAACAATGAACATCACCATTCAACATGCTGGAATTTATTAGATGAAGATATCTCCAATGTGGAGAATGACTCAGAAGGATATAGTTTGGAAGAAGATAGCAGCAATAGTCATGGTAAAAATTTGAACAAATTTTAGATGAACAAGTTATTGATGGTGTGTGTTAGTAGATGCACAAATTATTCCATTGAAGTTCTTAGGCGTTACAGACACAGAACTCAGTACACTGCTGTTGAACAATTTGATGAAACATGTGCTAATGAATCTTGATGATGGCATTACTGACAATGAAGGAGGCTATGCTGTCTGCCATAGTCATCACCCTGTATTGGATTTTGGGCGCAATCAAGCAGGAGGAGAAGACTTGCGTAGGATGAATCCACTTGCTGTGACATATCCCAAATTGTTTCCTTTTGGTGTTGGTGGAATTGAGGATACACATGGAAAATTACTTGGTTTTGATGAACATGTGTGATGGACCTCACAATATCATGACCAGCGCTTTCGAACTCACCATTCATTCCCATTTGTCATTTTTGGCATGGAGCAGAAGCACAAAGCATTGCAATCAGCTCGAATTCAGATGTGTCGCAAGGATTTTGAATGTGATGGATATATCATCAATTCCATTACTGTTTCTGACCTTAAACAAGTGGAGAAAGAAGAGGCAGAACACAGAAAGATCTCCAATCCTTGGGTTCAACTTCTTCAGAAACACATGTTTGCAGTGTCTAGATGTGTCATGGGATCTGACAATTATCAAGGTCAATATTGTGGGTTTATATGGGGAACAAGCTTGTGTCTTCAGGGCCCAAGTCTTTGGATAACAATCAATCCCAGTAACACACACAATCCTGTTGCACAGGTTTTTGCTGGGGAGCAGATTGACATGGATAGATTTTTCCATGATGCTGGACCAGATAGCAATCACAGGGCTCAAAATATTGCAAGAGATCCTTTTGCCGCCACAAAGTACTTCTTCTTCATTATCAAGGCAGTACTTTCAATGCTTTTCAAATTGAAGTCAAAGGAAACAGGGTGCATAGTGGGATGGGGATGCTTGGTCATGTCAGCGGGTATTTTGGCATTGTTGAAGCTCAAGGAAGAGGGACACTGCACATGCACATGATGATTTGGCTTCGTCATATGCCAAATATGCATGACATGCATGCTCAGTTGCAGAATGAGGAATTTCATACAAAAATCAAGGAGTATATTCAGCAGAATATTCGAGCTCACGTTGAAGGATTGGATGAAGAAACAATTCAAATGATGCTGAAAGAGAGCAACTTGCCATATTCACGACCCCCAGATCCTGATTCTAGCAATTGGAGTATCAAAAACCAAGCAGTTGAATGACATGTAGCCAGGTCTCAACAAGTTCATACCTGTAGCAGGGTGACTTGTTTGAGGTTTAATCGGCATGGACTATTGGTCTGCAAGAGACGTGCTCCTTGGGTACTGTCACCAATTGATATTGCCAATGAACATGGTAGATGGAATCCAAAACGAACATACGTGTTTCTCAACAATTTTTGTCCTGCAATAACTATGACTCTTTGCTGCAACAATGACATCAAACTCCTCACCAATGGAAGTGATACAAAGGATGTCACATGGTATTTTACAGATTACTCAACCAAGAAGCAAAATAAAAACAACAATGTATCTGCTTTGATGGCAAGTACACTGTTATATCATCAAGAACATTCGAATCATCTTGATGATGTGGTTGATCATAATCAACTGTTACTATTTCGATGCCAGCATGCTATCAATTGCCAAATGGAACATTCAGGACCACAAGTGATTGCATATCTAATGGGATGGGGAGACACTATATATTCGCACCATTATGTACCTTTATATTGGTTTGCGCTCAGATCTCATTTGTTGTGGGCATTTTCAGAGTTGAGTTCAAGCAAAGAGCAGTAAGTCTTTGTTAGATATTTTGACCATACATGGGCTGATTTTAACAATCTCAGTAACACGTCTGGTTCTGATATGTGTATTGCAAGTGATGAAGATTCTGAATCAGACAATACAAGTGATTCAGAGAGTCAGACCAAGACAAAAAGGAGGCGACATCATGATTTGGACAATGAGGAAGATCCATTGGTATGTTTCTGTGATATAAGTCAGGTTGTGTAGTGGAATGACTCAATTTATATATAGGACATGGTCACATTACACATTAACAATGCTGGACATCTCAATATGTGTTCACAATTAGAAGATTATGAGCAGCAAGGAGAGGAACTTGCCCCATATTCCTATTTCCATTTTGTCATCAACACATATGAAGAAGTGATCCCACCATCGGAACAGAAACAGCAAGAGAATGAAGCATCTACATCCTTTTCAATTCCAAGGCAAGGTCAGCCAAGAAATGAACGGAGTGCTTATCTCAATGGTCATTCCAAATATCACACCCATCGCCGAGTTGTTCAATCCAAGGGTCATAACACACTGCCTAATATTGTCAGACCATTTTTTCCTTGAGGTGATGACCCAAAAACTCGGAATCTGTACTGTTCATCAATTCTTGCATTGCTTGTTCCATGGTGCAGCATCAAAAAACTAAAAGGCAACTTTGAAACATGGGAAGAAGCGTATATGGGATTTTTCAGTCATGCATCACAGCAAGAAAAGGACATCATTTCCAGCATTCAGTACTATTATGAATGCAAGAAAGCTGCAACTCTTTCACATGTCCAGGATAGTGACAAGTTTGTACCTGCCCAACACCGTGAATTGAGAAACAAACAAGCTGCAATTGCCAATGATGATGATGAAGAGGAGGATACACTCATCAAGTTGACAATAGATGATTTGCGCGCTTACAAGGAGTCACAGAAATCTCATCATGAAGAAGCACATGGGATGAATGCAGTTGCAGTAGGATTGTTGATGGGAATTTTTCCGGAGAAGCCGAATTCATGGAACATTGTTGCGTCAAATGTTGGCATTGCGAGTGGTGCCGATTATGTTCAGCTTCAAAAGTGGCAAACTGCGATGGTTGATGAAAGAAACAAGGAAAAAGATGATGTTATTCCTGGGCCTGCGTCTGACTTTGGAGACGTTGCCATGATAGATGGACTACATGAAGATGATGATGAAGGACATATATCATACATCCAGCCTTCAATTCAAGAACATCTCTCTCCAGTCGATCCATCCTGTCTTTTGAAAGATCAATGGTGTGCCTATGATATCATCAATTGGCATCTGTTGGAAACATTGGCAGGACACAAACCTCCGCAGCTGCTTATGCAAATCCCTGGAGAAGGAGGAGTTGGCAAGTTGAAGACTATCCAAACCATCACTGAAAACTTTCAGAGTCAAGGTGTCGAATCAATACTTGTGAAGGCCGCCTATACTGGAATTGCAGCTTCCATCATTGACAGAAAAACTCTACATGTCATCGCATTGATACCACTTAATGGTCATGAACAAGGAGTCCAAACCTTGAAAAAACTTGCTGCATTTTGGAAAGACAAACAATACCTCATCATCGACGAGAAGTCCATGTTATCTCGCAGGTTCTTGGCCAAAATATCAGCAAATGTTGCAAAAGGAAAGTCTTTGGCTGGTGAAGAAGGAAATGACCAAGCATTTGGAGGAGTCAATGTGATTATCATTGGAGATTTTCATCAATTTCCACTGGTAGCAGTGAAGAAGAGCGCAGCCTTGTATTATCCCTGTGATTCATCAAAGGACACAGCAGAGGACATGCTGGGTCGGAAGATTTATGGGCAATTTACGACCATTGTTCATCTCAAAGAACAAGTTCGTGTTACTGATCCTGAATAGAACGAACTTCTGCATCATGTGCGGCATGGCAGTTGTCGTGCTCACCATATTCAGCTGCTTCATTCACTTGTTCTAACAAATCCCTATTGTCCACCAACCAATTTCAATTCTGCTCCATGGAATGATGCAGTACTCATTATGCCCTGCAACGCAGTACATTGCCAGTGGAACTCTAACATGACAAAGAATCACTGTCGAAGAAGTGGACATCAGCTTTTCATGTGCAAGGCATATGACACCATTCAAGGGCACGAGCTAACGTTGACAGAAAGATTCACAGTCACAACAAAGCCTAATGGAAGAAATGCTAAACAAGACGAACGAGCAGCTTTGCCAAACATCATTGAACTTGCAGTTGGAATGAAGGTCATGGTGACCTTCAATGTCAACACAGATATCGATATTGCAAATGGAGCACGAGGTGAAGTAAAGGAGATTATATTGGATGAACACGAGAGCAAATTCTGCATGACAACGCCTATTGTGGAGTTAGACTATCCTCCTGCATATGTCCTCATCAAGTTGAACTGCACCAAAGTCAAAACCCTCGAACTGTTGGAGAAGGGTGTTTTGCCATTGACTCCTTTGCAATGAACTTTTTGAGTTATTGTCAATGGTAATGAACAGGTGGTAACACGGAAGCAGCTTCTGCTTACACCAGCATATGCATTCACCAATTATTGATCTCAGGGACAAACAATCAGTAACACAATCATCGATATCGCTATGCCACCAAGTGGTGGACTTTCCCTGTTCAATGTATATGTCGCACTCTCTCGAGGACATGGTCATGACAATATACGACTACTGCGGGATTTTGATGAAAAGCTGCTCACAACTCACCCAAGTGAATATCTTCAGATTGAAGACCAACAAATTATGAAGCATGACCGAATAACAGAGGAGTGGTGGGATTTAAAGAAGCAGGAAGGTGTTATATATTGATTGCTGCGGAATTCAATCAGAATGGACAACATGTGTTCACAGTGGGATCAAAAAATGACACAAGCTCAACATGTTAGGTAAAGCAAAATACACATTTCGCCGTGTAACGCAGTGCATAATTGAAAATAAAGGTGGTGCAACTGCAGGAAAAGAAAACACCGCTATCAAAGACTTGAGTGAAAGATGTCGATGCTGCGAACCTTTCCTCATCAAGGACACACTGGCCAGGAACAGGCCATGGTAGCATGCCGCACAGGAACAGCGCACCTAAAGGCCACAATGAGTACTGAGTAATTGCACAACTCGAACACCTGAGTCAAGACGGCGGCCAAAGAGCAGAGAAAGCAAATTTGATGGAATCACTATTATAACAACAATATCAGCGATGAAAAAAAAATAAGCTCCGCAAGACGGAGCAAGGTGTAAGTCGGCAACACCGCCGACCCCTAGTCTGTATAGTTTTCGGCTAACTCCTGTGGCATACATAAGAAAAACTCTCACGGGGGTCATAAAGTGGGATCGTACAGCCACAATTATGGGGTGATAGTGACCTTGTAGGTACAAGGTAACACTCCTTTCTATCCTTGTTTGTCACGTGAACCTGCGCTCCTTCCTGTGCAACGACCCGTGCTCCTGCCAAGGTCTACTTCACAGCCAAAATATTACCAGGTCACCTGCCTTAGATGTATCCACATTAACTTCTGAAGGTAAGACTTTTCAGTAACATTGAGTTGTGAGATGTGCTGAAAACTGCCGTCATCGAAGCTGTTTTCGGATTCTCGACGACTGTTGCTCGAGAGGGTAGAAAGCGCATCATTCAGACGATTTTCATGGATGTGACCATTCAACTTATCGTCTTCGAATTCTAAAGTATGGCATCTGTATTCATGTCTTTAATACTCGAGGTTCCATTGACGCTCTTCGTCTTTCAGAGAAATTCTCAAATCTGCCCATGACACTGGTAAGTACACTAACGATGAACTTTGCATGTATGTGTATATGTATGTATGCCCAATTTGAAAGGGTACTACTTGGTCACATGAAGAGGCATGAAGTTACTGAGATGTAACTGGTGTATAGCTGCCATAGTATGACTGGTTCCCGCAGGGTTCATACTGTCGCTAATATCAAGTGGCAAGAGTGGAGCTGCATTATCCGGCGCAACGAATATGGACCTGTCGATGACTGCTAGACCGGTTCTTGCAAAGATGCTCAGCCACAGAATAAAGACAACAACTATCAGTAACGCTAAGTAGGTCTAGAAAAGGATAATGATGAATATTCTGACCTGTCCACGCTGCGCCAAATCCACGGAAAACGTCGCTGTTAAGAGCATTTCCAAGCTGCACCGAGAGAAGGGCAAGTACGGCATTCGGGAAAATCAACCCTTGATACGTGATAGAAAAGGGTATCCCCCCCTCCTTTTTGAGCACGCTGAATATTAAGTTGGAGGAGATGATGATCCAACAGATGCCCATCGACCATAGGATGTAAGCTCCGCATAAACAGAACGAGAATATCATCTGCCCTCCAGCTGCTACGTCTGGGAAAGTGCCCGAGACGTACAGCGGAAGGATTTCGGACAGGTTCCGGCCATTAATAAGCAGCGAATATCCTCCTTGACCAAAAGGACCCAATGTGACGAAAGCAGACAAAACAAGCAGTTTCTCTGGCGGACCGCTTATGACAAGGCGTGCAAGGTACACCGTGATCATCATCAACGCAAGACTGAGACCAATAATAACCATAGTCAACGAGAACAGCGCTGTTAAGGCGGCGAACTTCATCGACTGAGCTTTGAGCGCAGTAGAGAGTAAACCGCCGGTTGAAGATGCAACGATAAGACTGATAGCTGGGAGTAGCCATAAAGCAGTCATAGTATCAAGGGCGTGTTTCTGCTCCACCATCCTGTCAGCCACACTATCAGTAATACGCCATTAAAATTCGAGCTTTTGCACTTACATCCCGTGCAGCATTCCAAAAGCGATGAGGTACGACACAATGGAGTCGAGCCACCAGCAACCCCAGAGGGTATATAGAAAACAAGTGCTTCCAAAGTTCCATTCTTGATGGGCTACCTATAACCAAGGTAAGATCATCGAAGGCAAACACAAGCGAACAACAGCAAGCCTACCAATGCTATATTAATTAACGTCGCGGCTCCTGCTGGAAATGCACCCATGAGTGGGCCCTGAGTTGGATGTCGGATCATCTTGCGCCAGGTGTCAGGGAACATTATGTATCTCGCGATGGTCGCCCCAGTGAACAGGACGAAAAGCAGGAGATTAAGGAAAAAAACGATCAAAGTGACAACCTTGATCGCCGGACTAGCGTTCTCGTATGGAAATGCGTGGACCAGGGCAGATGTACCCCCAGTGCCCATGATCACTGTATGCCAGGCCCAGGTAAAACTCCTGTTGCATGTCGATCAGAAGACTACCATGGACATAGTGTCACGCGTACCGTATACATTCCCTCCATGATTTACGCGGAGGTGCTTCCAGCATGTTAACGAGGCTAATCGAATTCCGAAAACAGACTAGAGGAAGGGGAGATGCTCGCACGACTGCAAGGTATGACCCATAGTTCCCCCATTCCCAACAACTTATATATGACATCTTAGACTCGTATCATTTATGAATTCTAGTTCGTGCCAGCTCAAAGCCAGCTGTATAGTTAAAATGATGCCGATCAATGTTCTGGGGTTGGAGTTTTTTATTCGACAAAGCTTTCACGAGCATTTGCCATGACGCCAGGTGGTGGACAGAATGACCTCCGACTAGAACAGAAAGGACAAGTGCCCCTCGATTCTCTGCCTCCAGCGAGAGAGTATAAGCTACACTTTGTCGAGGAAGCCTCTCGTCAAACTATACGACCAAATGAATAATTTGCAGGTACCCACCAATGATGACAGTATAACTACGTAGCGGAGATCCGAGAGAGTTCACAGCATAGCGAGTCTAGACATGTCCCTCTCTAGACCACACTAGACGTGGCGTGATATCACTGATTAGATTCGGATTATACGTCAATTTGATATACATACGCCACAAAATACGCCAAACTGGTCACGAGCCTACAGCTTTGCCAGTGTCATTGGGTTTCCTGCCATTCCTTTGGCGTCCCGTGACAAGTTGACAGCACAGCTTATGTGGAGATCCGCTACTTACGCATTGTAAGTCTATTTCAAGTCTACATGACGTGTATATCTCAAGGCACTGAACTGTAGACGAGATGAGACATGCGGCCATTGGTGGGAAAGTATTGAATCACCTTGTGACAGCATCTTCAATACCTCTCTACTCGGCTCTCCGTCGGTACATAACTGTGGGAGAAAAAATGGGTGAATCGGAATGACTCACCATGAAGTGGTGGTAATTTTTACACCCGCCTCCATACACGATCTTGAGAAAAATCTCCTTACAAGACTCGGCACACACCGGGTATCGATGGGGATACGGAAGGCGCATTTTGCAGCCTTCTGAAAGTATTAGGGTACAAACCAAGTAGATATTTCAATATTTCGTTACTAGAAGGCAGGCAGACCTGCGAGATGGCTCACATCAGAAATTGCATCTAGGGGGTTTAAACAAATGTAAATATCTCGGACATCAGTTTCTTAAATCGTCTGCGTTTCTCTCCGCATCCCTCGTCGGTTCCCCTATCATGACCTCTTCCAGACACGGGGCGTCAAATATACGACCGCTTGGGACCATCTGTATTGTAGGCAATGCAATACACAACCACAATATCAGTGTCCCCACTGAATATATTGCACCCCACACGCGAAAGAATGTCGACGAAAATGTTGTTGCCAAGGCCAAGTTAAGATTGGCGTATACTCCCTGTGAAAAATCAGATTGAGCGCATCCCGTATTAAAAGGCTGTAGATACACACGTTAGGAAACACAGTTCCCCAGAATGACAATCGGAATTCAAAGCGTTCCCGACAAAGGGTGTAGCAGAGACCGAGCATCGCAAAGAGTATCCACATACTCGCCAGTGACCATAAAACCATAGCACCAACCACACATATCAACTCCACTACTTCACCGGTTCCAGGCTGTCGCAACAATCCGTCGGTATCACCATAATCCAGAGGTAATAGTGAACGGAAAGAGGACCCCAACTTTAACAGCGAATATGCTGCTTGTCCACAAGGACCGATGGGAAGAAAAACGGACAAGATTGATGCACCCGTGGGGTAACCATATACGACCAGCCGAAGGGTGTATATCGTGAGTAGCATGAGGGAAAGGCTAAGACCTATTGTAACCATGCACGCGGAGAACGTCGCCGTTAGCAATGCATACGAGGGGGAATAGACCTGAAGCGCTGGCACGAGCACGCCTCCAGAAGAAGATCCGACGACAAGGGTCACGACAGGAAGAAGCCAAACAGTCGTCATAGACTTGAGCGAATGTTGTTGGAGAGTAATCCTGTGGGACTTACGTCAACTCCAGCTCATCTTTATTACCCGGTACTTACATAACGTGCAGCATGCCAAAACAGCATGCCATTGAAATCGCAACGTTGATCCACCAACATGCCCACACCGTATAGATAAACGGCTTGCCTCCAAAACCATATGTCTGGAATATGTCGCTACTGGCGATGTTTATTAACGTAGTTGCACCCATCGGAAACGTGCCAATATACAAGCTCTGTACAGGATGTCGTATCATGTGAAACCAGATGCCAGGAAAGAAAATGTATCGAGCAGCAGTGATGGCGCTGAAGAGTAGAAAGAGCGCGAGATTGAGGAAGAAAAAGCCGAGTGCAAACCCCCGCATTACTGGCGAATCACTTGCATAAGGAGAGTTGTGGAAAAGTATGGCAATTGAGCCAGTCCCTACACAAGATATTGTCAACACAACGCATGAGTAGGCACATTTTGATTTACCCATCGTGACAGCAAACCATGCCGGAGTAAAATGTCTGAGGATGGTAAGTAAGGCTTTCGCACTTCAACCAGTGGACATACCGAACAATATCTTTCAATGATTTCTTACGAATAGTTTCGCTGACGTCTCCGATATTCATCGTACTAGTGTCGAGACCGTGTGAGATAGCAGACGTGCGACGTTGGAACATTTTGTCCGACTGGACACCTCGAGGTCTCATGGAACCAGCCATTACAGCGGTCCCACATAAAAATAAGCGGTCTTGAGTCACTCCTGGAGAAAATTGCCGCAAAGGATTGGAGGTGTCTCAATTTAGTCTCAATTTGACTTTTGGCAGTTAATTTGAATTGCCTAAAGTCTCTGTTTGCGGGGTCAGCACTACACCGCCACATTAAGTTGCCAAATCCAAACACAAGATACGACAAAGAAGTATAGCGAGTACATGAGTACTAGTGGGTATGTATTCTAAACTGGCGTGCTCATGTTAAGGTATATGTAAAAGAAAAGAAAATGGGCCGACAGAGGGTAACAGGGTAAGAGCTAACCATCATCCAAAGCGCCCTTCAGCCATTGATGTCCGCGCACCTCGTTGATTTTGGCACGTAACTGAGGGTTTGGTTCGAGACACCTGCTCATGAGATGCAGGCATGAGCCTCCGAGCCCCCTTCCTGGCAGCTCAGAGAGGACGATGTGTCCCGCAATGGCATCCGCTTCAGTAGGGAATGGGGACATCCCGGTCAACAAGTATGACATCAGCACACCGAGGGTCCAAATTTCAGCGGGCGCGGCTTGGTAAGATCGCTTAAGAAGCACTTCCGAGGCGGCGTACGCAGTAGTACCAAAGAAGAGTTTGTAGTATGGGGACGGTTCGTTGGGGTTCTCTATTGCGGCACTGCCAAAGTCTATGAGTTTGACCTGAACACGCCGTCAGTAAAAATAATAATTTAGTAAAATAGAACCCTACCTTGAAGTCTTTGTCGATGACAAGATTTTCGTCTTTAATGTCTCTATGATAGATTCCTTGACTATCGAGGTAATGTACAGCCTCGACCACCTGGGCCATGATATACCGGGCTTGTTTCTCTGAGAGGCGCTTGTGTTTTGTCTGTTCTATGCATTCAAAAAGGTCGTGCGAGGGCCGGCGCGTATAACAAGGACGAGGTGGCTCGAGGGTGGACGCTTTGTGCGTGAGATGAAGTGAGTGGTACTGCAAGTCATCGCTTAAGGGTGAATCGCATGCTTCCACGAGAATTGAGGCCGGGAGGTGCCCTGAATCCTGTGGGGGAGTTTCTGGCTCAGAATCCGGAACCGAAAATTCAGATGCAGCAGGAGATAATACGGGGGGTGGCGAGCTGAAATGCGGGATGATAATGTCGTTGAGGGGAGAATGCGCATGAGCATCATGCGATTTTTTGCGTTTATGCCACGGAGAACCATGAAGTTCTTGAACCTGCTGTTCACTGAGCGGCGCAAAAAAACCAATATCGCACAAGTATGACTCACGAGGTAGAAAAAGAGCTCGTCTTCGAAGAATTCGAGACACTTGATGATGTTTTCGTGCTCTACGAGATGAAGTACCAGGACTTCTACGGGGATTCGACCATAGACCTCGTCCTCCATCCACGCCTGCTCTGGGACCTTTTCTTTAATGATAAATTTGACAGCGACCTCAACGTTCTCCTGGCGGTCGACCGCGGTCATTACAAAACCATATCCACCGGAGCCGAGTTCATCGCAAAGGCGGTAATCATGAACAAAGGTCTCGAGGAGCCTGTGGTCCTCCGGAAATCGAGGGGAGTAGTTACGGCCCAAAAGAGATGCTGGATGAAGAGCAGGGACAGATGCAGCTGGTAGAGGAGATTCGATTGTTGAGGATGGGGAAGGATATTCGTTTTCATACGAGAGCAAGAGGGATCGCATTTCGACGTTATGGGCGAATGGAGACGGTGAAGGGGAATAGTTCGACGAATGGATCGCAGATGAAGAAGATTCAGGACGAGGTGGGAAGTATGGACAAGGTAGGTCAAGATTGAGATATTCCGAGATGTTGTTGCCACTATCCGAAAGAAACTCAGCACGATCTCCATCCTTTGGATTTCGGCGTTCAACGAGTGGGCTGGAGGGACTCGAGTCTGAACAGCGGGACTTATCATGGCTAGCATTACGGTCATTAGTGAACAGTGCAGCTAGACGACGAGAGCTCGACATTTTAAGAGTTAAAGGTGATGGCATAGGGTAAATCAGGGCTGATGAAGTGCAAAGCCGCGATAGGGTGTAGCTTGCCCGTTGTTGCGCCGATGGTGGCGAGATGGAAGTATCAGTTCAAGAGATTTAATGTTGAACCACATCGATGGAAGTGGCTTTCTCGGGATATACCACTTGGAATGCAGAGAGCGTGCCAACCGATCCAAAGCAGGCAAGGTTCGTCCCAGTGGCACAATTATCACAAATCCGCTTTTCCATCGGTTTCTTGTCTCCCGGGCATTTCGATGATTATTATTGTTATAATCTGATATGCACATTCACAGTCGGACTAGAAGCTTAAGGAGAGACGAGCTGGCAGCCTGAAGCTCATCAACAAACTGAGTTACCAAATGGGGAGAGTCGCTGACTTTAAAAAAGTAGCGCCTAAGAGGTGCATAGTTAAGTTTTTAGATATCGATATCCACATGCCAGTGTGAGTACTAGGAAAGTATTAATTGATCATGCATACTTCTACATTTCTGTTGACCACTGTATTACAAGCTTCGCACACATTTGCTACGACTTGCATATATGCTACGATCTCATCCATACCTTATACCGTTCTGTTCGGGGTTTGCGGGTCGTGTGACGGGGAAGTAACCGGTCGTACGCGCTGGTGGTTTTTTCTTGATGCCGGGGAGTCGTGCATTCTCCTCTTTCTCGAACATCGTGCTAGTCAATTCTTTCAGGTATTCTTTAGCATCGGATATGTATTAGTACTCACTAAATGGTCATCTCTTTCAGTATTTGTGTATTTGTTGTTGTTTGAGTCGCACCCCAATTCTGAGGTGTTTGACACCCTGCGAACCTTAGTTACAGTATTCTCTGACTCCCACGTTAGTGGAGGAGCTGGAGGGCTTAATCGAACACAAAATTACCTCTCTGTGTTTCTCTGCACTTGATTCGGATTTCTTGGGAGTCTCTGTGTGTCTGTCTATGCCACCTACCCTCATCTCAGCCGTGCTATACCTCTGCTCCATATCGTTTCTGAAACAAAGGGAATAAAAATATCTTCGACTGGGCCTATTAGCATGTGACAGCGGACGAGATCTCACCTTTGCGATCATTTGAGTGTTAGGACCCATTACAGACCACATATACAGACCAAAGTTTGTGAGGATCCCTCGATTAAGTTGAATCTATCTTCCCGTCTAAACAATGCTTCACTCCTCGGAATGTGTCTTGCCAGGTATATATTTCATAGGTGCGTCCGAACTGTACAGTTCGCATGGATGGAATGCTGAGTTTACTCCCCATGTATCACACACTGACCAATCATAAGGCAACACAGGGTCACAGACATGTGGAGTGCCGACCTGGCCTGTACACAGCTGGACCTTTGGTCCTGGAAAGAAGTGTCTGACTGGCTCTCGAGTGTAACAGATGGGATTGAGGTCCATGAGGCTGCTGCCAAGGACCTCTTCACGAAGCCTGTTACCAAAGCGACCAAGGCAAAGGGAAGCACAAGGCCGATGGACTGGCAGGTCAAGCTTCGCCTGAGGAGAGGGATGGACCAGAGTAAGGCAACTTGAGAATACAGGTTTTGATCCCTTGCTTGATGTGTTGGGTTTCCATCTGGTGGAACACTTGTTCTTCATCTTCGTTCGTCGCGTTTGTCATGGTGAGTTCCGGTCTTTGTCTTGTATTGGAAGGTAGTTGCCCCCCCTTGTCTCGGCTCTTGCGCGGACGTTCAGCAGCTGCATTACAATAACTATGTATCTGGCGAGTCAATCGTTCGTATGACACTTTGCCATGTGTATTACTTGATTCTCGACAGTTTTGGCCTTGACTCAAAAACAAGTGTGATGAACGCCTGATTAATTGTTGTCCTTGAAAAGGAGTAGGGGTTTTGGGCGCTGGTACCCATAAGTATAGTTATTGGGAAGGCCAGGTGATTAAACCTGATCACGTCCGAGTCGTTGGGAGATTTTTCAAAATAGTGCCGCGGGCTGTGAATATTTGATTGCCACGGATGGGGGCCTATCGGAGCCCTATCAGCATCGATAACGAAAGTGCTATAGGTTGCCTTAACAGCGCTCTGATTTCTATTCCTTGTTTATTCAATGACAGCATCATGGGACCCCTACGTACCTGCATCTCTCGACGTAATGCTTGATGCCAGGTGCCGTTTTGACATTTATGTTCGCTTCGTGATTATATCTCACGCACATCGTTATTTGACCATTTTCCTGTTGCTGGTTTTTGACTGGTTTAAGTTCACGAGTCACATAGGGCCAGTGCTGGTATGCATGCACAGTTCTCGTATCCAAGCTTAATTTTACGTCGCTTTCCTGGCCAATTCCTGGCACTGCTTAAGTTGAACTCAAAAGTATCATATCAAGTTCGGGAATTTCCGCTTTCAAGCCCTCCGTAATAATTCAGGTGTAACTCTAAACAAGTCTAAGGTTTTCTAGATCTGCCGCAACACATGAAATGATACCGTGTTCGACAAGTCACAACTGGCAGTGCCAGTCCTTCGCTCCCATGAGCCCTGACAACATGTACGAGTTCGTACCCTGTATCGAGTGCTTCATCACGGCTACGGAGGGTTTTTCCTCGATTTGGCTTGCTTCAGGGATAAGGGATAGGATGGATATAGCCCCAAAGCCCGCCGAAGACAGCGTTACGCGAGAGGCGGTGATATCCACTGCTTGGCCTTGAAACTCTTTTGCAGTAGTGACGCATTGACAAGTTGCCAATCCTCTTCCCCGACGAGGTGTTCACAGCATTTCTTTCTGGGTGTCCATAAGTGGAACAAGTCTTATCGAGGGTCTAATTTTATAGTGACAGTGACGGCAAGCGACGTCTGAGTCCCCCAGATCCCCACCTCAAAAAGCGTGTCCAGAATTGATACTACCTCTTTTCCCCTGCCTTTTGGTGTCCCCGGATCCTTCACTTTCTGACGCGTTGATCGCAATGCTACCGTTTCCTATCGGAATAACGTATGGAGCTTATTTCCTCTCGACAATTTTCTGCGCTATGCTCTTGGGAGTGTCTTGCACGCAAACGTGAGCAACCACGCATCTGTTAACTCGCATCCTCACCTTTTTCTAGCTTTTCTTATTTTACCCGGTTGGTAAACTCTGCGAGAGGTGCTAGTGCTTGCTTGACACAATTTGTAGCTATGTCAGAGACGATCGATGGCTAAAAACTACGGTGAGTCTCTCTTCGTCGTCTTGTTCCATTAAAAGTCCTGAGTTTACCGAAGGTTGCTGTTATATTGTTTGCCACCTGCAAGTCTTTCGACGTCTCCTGCTAATATTGTGGTTTTAGTACGATGAACGCTGTACAAACAGCACTTGTAGCGCATGGAGGTAAGCAAGATGTTAGTCTCTGATCCCACAATCTCCAGACATCGAGTGCAGCGTACGCTTACCTAGTCACTCACTTCGGAGATTCTTCATTTTTTGAGGTGGTCCTTCCGTAAGTACCCTGCTGCCACTTTTTTTTGCATGACGTTAATATTGTTGTAGGGTGTCCTCGGTGGGTCATCAGGAATTACGATTATATATTACACTAATGCAGTACAGACCGGGTTTCTCCTCTCGGTGAGATCATAATTCGGACCTTCTGTCGCGTGTACTCACTCCTGAGATAACTAGGCGGTTGTTTCTGTTTGTGTGCAAGGAATTTTTGTCGTCAAAGCACAAAGACGTATGTCTACGCGGTTTGTAGACCGACGTACTTGACTAACGTCTTGGTGGTGAAGTCAGCGAAACGAGATCAAGGGTGCTCCCCTCGCTCTGGGTGAGGATCAGTTCAATTGTACACGAAACTTTACACTTAAGATTGCTCTCCAAACAGATCCCTTTGGCTCTTTTTGAACTCGGGGCTGCAATTTGTGCGTTTGTGGCCCTTTGATGTTTTTGTGACTAAATATCATTCCCAGATTGCGTTGATGAGAGGTGAGGGTTTCACTCAAATATCAAGTCTACCGTCAGGAACGCGTCGCAGTTTTCAAAGTGGGAATAATATTTTCTTTACCGGATCGCTGAAGGTGATAATCAAGTGCCAAGTCTTTGATGCAGCCTCACCTTATTGAAAGGGAGTCGTGGTTTCTTATTTCGCCGTCATGGCCATTGTTAATATCACGATTGCATTTTTTTTGACCAAATACCTGCGTATATTGCACAGACAAGCCATGACGTTTGCGTAAGTTCTCTTCTGGAAGAAGCCTGACTTCTGCTGAACACCCTGTTCTTGTGAACAGATTGAGTGAGATGATCCAGCGCTTGATCATTTTCTCAATGTTGAGTGGAATTTGGACCGCTTTGTTCGCTCTTCTCGACATGGTTACAGTAAGTTGCCACCATAATTCGGACATTTCTCGTGCTCAGGTCGCTTTTCAGTATCTTGGCTTTCCAAATACTGCGGTGTACGTCTTGTTCGACTTACCTCTTTGCTCGCTGTACTGCAATACCCTCCTTGCGAGTCTTAACTCACGGGATAGTGGGTCTGCCTCATCGATCAGAGAATTGTCCACCTTCAAAGTTGCACCGCGACCGGTGATTATATCAATGGAGAGGGGACGCAACAGTACATTTAGTGACGACAGAGAAAGTTTTTGTACAAATCATTCAGACATAGTATAGTTGTTACGAATGGACGAAACTTCAGAATATATCTTCATAATCATCGCCGATCTCCAGATACCTCCTGATGTCTTGTGCGTCCATCCCAGTTTGGCGAGTGAAATGTGAAAGAAGGATGGAATAGTTGTCTGAAGAGGGGTTGTTATTTTAAACAACAAATGATCTGATGGGCGTTTACTGACCTGTCCACCGCACTGCCGCCTCATGTGCCAGTGTGACAGCTCTCCTTTTCTCCTCCACTTTCACGGGATCACAAGCCCCGTAAGCATCGATTTCTTCCTGCAGAACAGCGAGCTGCTTTTTCATGGAAGTAAGCTGCTCCAATGCTGCTGCGCGAGAGTCCTAATTTCTCCGGGATCATTTACTATTCGTCAGATGAAAATGAAACCAACGCTTAGAGGGTCTGAGAGTTCTCTCGTGTTCGATAGCTGTTTTTAGCTCAGCTAGCTGAGCCTCATAGCTAGTCCTTGTCTCTTTTACGTTGTCCAGGCGATTTTGGACCTATGGCATACACTGGTCAGTATAGCTACCATCTTGAGAAGCGAACAGTTCAACAATGGTTCCTTTTTGCGAAGGGAAGCTCCAGAAAACTTAAAAGTACGGTTAGCATTCGCGTTCTTGCGCATATATCCAGTTTGGGAGCATACAGTTTGAAGCACCGATTTTATCACCCTGGACAAGGCCATCGTCGACAAGGGACTGTAAGACTTCTTTGACCGTCTGAGAAACTTGGGGTCCTTTGAGTGTTATCCAATTAGTGTAACAAATAGTCATACCAATTCCCTTGAGCTTGGGACCGAGCTTCTCAAGCTCCTTCAACTATAGAACAATCAAATATCAGAGTACGTCTACTGAGAAATAAGATAGGTCACACTTGATAGAAGTCTTTCTAACATCCATATTCTATCAGAGAAGGATCATATGCAAAGGTGATAACTCACCGACTCGTGGAATATCTCCAGTAGCTTAGTGCGTTTCTCTTCCAAAGACAGACCTCGTGGTGCCTGAAAATGTTACATGATCCACCAATAAAGACAAAAGGATTCCATACCATTCTTCAAACCGAGATAGTATTCTGACTTACTTGCTTTACAGAAAAAACGTAGAGGATATTACTCAAGGAGTGAAACGCGTCGCGCGACGTGAAGCTAGTATAGGTCACGTGTTTGCCTGATCGGAAATTACAAGCGGTGAATGCATTCATTTACATGTGGAAGCAATGTGAAAGTAGGGAGAAATGACCGTGATGATTACATACGAAAAACATGCAGTCAAAGTCCTGGAGCGGGAACGCGAGCATTTGTCCCTGGTAACGATGGATGTAGAAAGCTAAGTAAAATGCAGAGATGGAGGATGTGGCGCAGCATGATGTACAGACATTAAACAAGATAAGGATGTCGTGCGAGGAAATAGCAAGGAATGTGAAAGAGGGCGTGAATGATGGTTTTGTGTTACCGCAGGATATCAAGGCGCTGGTCATGGGAGGGGTAGCGATATGCAATAAATTCTCGGTCTTGCTCGACTCTCTCCTCCAGCGCCTTGCGGGAGGTGACAGACATACGCGGACCCGCGCTTTGGCGAGACACAGAATGGGTATATGCTGTCGTGAGGTTGTCTTCACCCTCGAAGAGTGACGTCGGGAATTCATGCGAGTTGCTACCATTGGCTGGCTCTGGCTGTGTAGATTTCCTGCCCAGCAAGGACGCAAATCCAAACTTGCTCCTCCGCTTACTGGGCGTGAATGGCTGAGGATTTTCATCGATGTGCTCCAAGCGACCGAGCGAGCGCCTGGAGATGCCAAACTCATTGTACATACCGCCAGGACCTTTTGAAGGATCGTGTGCACCCAAGGGCATCATAGTCTGAATACCCAGGTTTGGACGGGAGCTGGAACCACTGAAGGACTGTCGTCTAGGTTCTGTGCGGAACGGGGCATGGGGTAGAGTAAGATCACTGGATTCCTGACCGACCTGACGAGGGTCATAGGTGTACAGTGTCTGCGGCCGTGATTCCGCAGCAGGATTGTTTGGCCGAAGTTTAGCCTCACCGGGAAGAGGTGGCAAAGACTTCTCCCGAGAGAGCATGACTTGTGGTTTGGTCGATCTGGGCAGTGTCATGCCATTGGTGGAGGCAAAAGTGTTCTGCTGGAGCTTCTGACGGATATCAGGCTCGGAAGTGACAGGATGAAGTAACTTTAGTCTGCCGCTCTCATCAGCAACAACGGCATAATTCTCTTTATCGTCAATTTGCGCGCTGCTTTTGCGGTCAGCATCGCGATCTATGCCTGATGGACGTGAAGAAGTAGGTGAGGGAAGGAGGCTAGACGGCGCTGTCGAAGAGGACATGCCTGAAGAAGAAAATTGGTTGCGCGGCGAGGATGTTGAAGGAAGCGAGGGAGTGGACACGAGGCGCCCACTGCTCCCCAGGTGCTCTCCTGGTCCCCTGTCAACCAGATATGACAAAGGGGGCGGAGGCGCTAAAGGCAAGTCATCCTCATTCCGCTCTGTATCTTGCGACCGAGCCAAGTCGCGGCTGCTCGCATGATTCTGCAGGTCCTCTTTATTTCCCCTGACGAGTTTCCATATCTTCGCAAGACCCTTGCGCTTCTTCTTCGACTTGTCTTTCTCGTCAACCGGCATATCAAAGGACTCCTGGGGTTCCACTGGTGGCCACAGTTGACTGTGTCTGGGAGTAGCTAACATATTCCGATCGCTAACAGGAGATCGTACGCGAAGTCCATTACTTTCATGGTGCAAGGCCACGCTATAAATATATCTTGAGAATGATATTCTTTTTTATAGATGAAAATACACACTGCATATCAATCATACTGCCCGACATTCCCGAAGGAGCGAGACTATCCTGGCTGCGCCATGCAGTACTCAAATTCTTGAAGCCAAAGAAACGCGAGCGCCGTGGAGAAGCAGATCCTCGGCTGTGCGCATCTGAGAATGATGCTTGCGAATACACCTGGCCCAAACTCGGCTGCCTGTCAGTTGGCGCAGTCAGGGAACTGACTGGCCTGGTTGAGCTTATAGCAGAGTATCGCGAGCTTTGCATTGGTCCAAGACCACTGTCGGTATGCGGACCTAGACTGTGGACGGAATAAAGGGAGGTGACGTCTACTACAGAACTTTTGGAAGACTTCCGGGCACGACGATCCCGCTTCTCATTCCTACGGCGGCGCTCTTCCTCTTTTTCTTCCTTGCGAATGTCGACATGCTCAACAATGAGACCATTCTCCAGAACTGTGAAGTCACGTGAAGGACTCCGGATATGGTGGCCGAGGGCCCCGTTCTGGCCAATGGACGCATGTGGTGGCTTGAGACGGAAAGCAGTGTCGTCCACTCCGCCAGTCAGATCATAGGCTGAACGACGGAATTGTGAGTACGTGTCTCGCATCTTGTGCTCCAGTTGCATCGATTCTTGCATAGCACGTGCGTGTGCAAGTGCCTCAGCCTCGAGAAGACTTCGCTGTGCCTTCACGTACTGTTCCAGAGTCTGCTGTTTAGACGCTGGCTCTCGAGGAGTCTAGCTCGAGCGATTAGAATCATTAATAATGTGCCGACCAAATTCGCTTACCATCGTGTGCCATATCTTGATGTTTTGTTCAGTTAAGCGTCCGCCTCGTGCTCTAGGTTTCGAAGAGCACTCGGATGATACGACTCCAGCTGCCTCATCCTCCTGTTCTCTGCGAAGTAACTCCTCGTAGAGTACGTCACTTTCACGCTCCCACATCCCAGGACCGACAACGACAACGTCTGCCATGTCCTGGTCACGCATTGCACACTCTACACATATCTCCTCGGGAGGTGTGGGGGGATTTGGTGAGAGGATGGGATTGATCGGATCTGGGGCAGCAGCAGGGGTAATGTAAGTGGGATGTTGTGCGTATGCACGTGGATTAGGAGAAATGGGAATCGTGATGCCCATAGTGGGACTGTAGGATCGTGATGTGGATATCCCATTTTGGGGTGGCAATCTGGATGGACCTGGGGCATCGAGTGGGGGATAAGAGGGCTGCTTGTTGCTAGCAGGTTTGAGAGAAGCCGGAACATCGCGAAGTGGTTGTGGAGGTGAAGGTAAAGTTGTAAAGGACTCTCCAGCGGACTTTAATGAGTCATCGAAAAGATGCGAATTCATCAGCCCTCCGCTACCGGATGTCGGAACGTTATCGTCAAGACTATAACGTTCACCGATACGGTGGGCGGCTCCCTGTGACAAAGAACTAGAGACCCCATTGAGCTGTAGGACATGTTGGTCATCAGCATTGAGATCCTCTTTGTCCTGTGACGCTTGTGCCATTGCTTCTGAACGAGATGAAGGACGTTGGCGTTCAGTTGCTCCCCAAGTCTGCGAATCTGCGGACCCAATAATCATGGGACTAGTTTTATGGAAGTTCTTGTCGAGGGAGAGAGTGGGGTATCGGTTGTCCTTGAAATCGAGATCAGAAATGGCGAGGCTACGTTGAAAGATATTGACATGAAGATTCGGGGGCAGAGTTGTCGGAACAGGACTACAGTCAGGTCGTTGAGGTTGAATAATGGTCGAGACCGCAGCCATAACGCTTGAAATAGCTCGACCAAAAATTGACGGTGAGAGTCCAGGGAATAATAAGAAAGAAGCAAAGCTCCTTAGCTTGAGCAAAGGACACCGTCGTCGATAACCGACTAACAACCCGGTGCACTCCCAGCTCAAAGACGGACGTATAGCAATATCAAAGAACAGGAACAGAGCGTAAAGTTTGAGGCAGGAAATGAGGCGATGAAATCCACGGCAATATCGCGGCAATATACCACGCTCCATTTCCCATGCGGTACCGGCCGGCCCTGTCCGTTTACATAGATGGTGAGCGCTTGGCAGTGCCTGCTGACTGAACATAAATTATATATTTGACACGTAACGCAGAGTGATGATCCGTATTGTATGGGTAGGGAAAGTAGCTACAAGTACTTACTATGCCATGAGAAATTACCGCTAAGCTTCAGGCCATAACGTCGAAATGTAGGTCACCGCGAACTGCGGACAGGCTGTACAATTTAAAACGAACCTGTCCATACTGTTGGTTTCGGACGGTGTAAACGTTTGTCACGTCTGCATGTTCAACAGTTATTACTATGATATAGATCAGGCCTTGCGTGATGCCCTGATTGACCCCGCAATCCTATCCATGTATGGTGGGCACCGGGGCGCAAGAAGCCCAGCTATCAGGTGGTGCTTGTCTGATTCTAAAAAGCTCCAAAGAGACTAGAAGTTTGATATGGAGATACGGGTAGAACACATTCGGCTGATCAGCTGAGGCACAAGCTACCCGCGGATTCAAATGTGAATGCCGGTAGCCCTCACCTTTTTTGGACAATCTTCTGACCTTCTTTGACGGACGCCGGAGATGACACAGAAGTGGAGAGAACTGGACAAAGCGACTCTTGGGATGTAGACTTGGAGTTGGCTTGGAGCATAAACCATATGAAATTAGCACAAAGAACAGCATGATGGCTGGAAAAGTTCCACGAGCGATGAAACCGTCATGGACAGGCTACAAGACCCTGGGAAGAAAATATAAAATTTGGGGGCAGCTAGTCTCCCCTACACCGTCGGATTATAAACGAATAAGCATAGTTGTTCCTGCTCAGTGCTAGGAAACAACAGCGCTGCGGTAGCACATGCAACCTGCCATGTCAATGAACGTGGCAACTGCACAATCCACCAGAGATTGTCAGAATAGCGGTGACGATCCAGGTAGTGAGGGTACTACAAATCATTGTACATCGTGTGCTGGTGTATATTGATCCAATCAGTCAAAAAAATATTGAGATGCTCACATTACCTGTAGACAACACAGATTGTTATGTGTTAGTCGGGAGAAACTCGAACGGAAGAGGCGGGGCACTGCGAGGGCCAAGGCAGGCTGTGGCAGATGGGCGTACAGAAATGAAGTTGAACAAGGAAACGACAGTTAGCAGCCTGGGAGTTCCCTTACCATAAATTACCTGACTTGACATCCGATAAATTTGGTCGTGTCGCGAGTTGACAAGTACTAGCCCCACTCAATTCTTATTTTATTCTGCCATTTTATTTCTCCAATTTACGAGCCATCACCAAACTGTCACTTGTACAGAGTCCGAGAAATAAACTGGAATAAACTGCGCTCAAGTATCCAAAAATAACACCATGTCGGAGGTTCAACTTACCAACACCGCGGGCGTATCTGGCACTGGACATCATCGTCATGTACTGCGGATGCATCTGGGATGTGTTGTGCGCTGCCAGATTTCCAAACTGCAGTTGTGGCATACCATACTCAAATGGCAGAGATGGCAGCAGGCAAGATTTTTGAGGTGTTTGACTAGCTTGCCATTCTTCCGCATCATTAGGAGTGATGCAGTGGTTGTAGGTGTTGTGGTCAGGAAAGATCCAGTTTGGTGCGTCCATTGTGCACACTCATTCACGCTGCCAGTGAGATCAACTGACTTACACAAAATGTTTTGGTACTTCAAGCCGCTCGGCATATTACAAGCTCAGCAATGCCTGCGTCAAATAAACTGGAAGAATAAACTGAGGCACTCAATTCTACATTATTTTATTTCCCATGCGATCAAGATTTATATTACAAGCCATAAAATAAAATGGCAGAATCAAATAAGAATTGAGTGGGGCTACTATTAGTGACCACCTTCTGCCGTAAGGCGGGCCCGAATAAGCAACTTGAAGTGCGGGTCATAGGGCCCTAGGGGCTTAGCGCTGAGGTACGGTGGGTGGGAGAATGAGTGTTCAGCCTCCTCAAATCACGCAATTCCAATGGGTACGTATCCTCCTGTTCTCTCGCTGTGCTAATTCCATACATGGAGGTTGATTACAAGTTCTGAAATGCATACGGGGACATACACTACTGTGGACTGTGAAACACGGTATCTCAAATGCTGCAGGAAATGGTATGATGTACAAGTGGCGATGACGATGGTGATGGGGTTGTGATGAGATGCACCACACAGTGACTGGTCCTGATTCTAAAACCCCGCAATGTTCTGAAAAAGATGAAAAAGACGAACGCAAGCTGTGACACTTAGCTCACGCATCAAAAACCCCTCGTGCTTCCAAACTGGTCATAAATCATGTCCCGCAGCCTCACCCACACGCGTGACTCGGCACCAGCAGCTGACTGCTCCATTTCTGACACCTTCTGCTCCGTCTCCGCGAGTCGACGCTTCAAAATGTGGACTTCATCCCTCTCGGTCTCAAGTAATCGGAGGGTATCACGAGAACGGGTCTCGGCTTCTCTGATAGACAGGTCGGTGCGTTCCTGGCGTTTCCTCGCAGCGGCAAGGTCGGCCTCAATCGTGGACTTGGCTGTGCGCGTGAGACGGAGCTCATCCTCCAGAGCTAGAATACGAGTAGAAGCAGGAGCAGTGGGGACGCCTGATGTTTGTTTGGACATAGAAGTTGGTAGGTTACTGTTGGTCGTAGAAGGAATTCGGGCGCGATCTGCAAAAGCCAATCCTAGGGCGTTTACATCCGTACTAGTATTTCCTGACTCGGAGGCAATGAAGTTGTTTTTCGTTCCGTATATTGAACGGAAAAGTTCTTGAGCAGTGGTAGCATATGCGATCTTCTCTTCGGGAGATGAAGAATCGCGGCTTATGTCCAGCTGACAGGCTGCGAGAACAAGAATGGCAGATCGCAAGACAGCGACTTCGTGAGCTGGGGTGTTAACGTCTATGGGTGTAAATACAGAAGGTGGGGAGGATTTCGCTGGTGACAAGGGAGCCTGATGGAAGGGACCTTGGAGAGCCGTCAGTGCCTAACATAATTAGTGAAAATTCCAGGACGATAAATTTACCATTTTCTTTGTTTTCCTCAGTCAAGTCACCACCCGCAATAGTAGCAGGGGCGTGCTTGCCAAGCAAGGCCCTGATCACTTTGCACGCTGCACGAGAACGGCCAGTCCGCCTATAGTGTGCTGCGGCAACGAGATATGCGCCAGGTTCGCTCTGAGTTGCTCCAAGCAATGTGATAGGACCAATAGGGTCATCAGGAAGTAGATTTAAGTCGTAACTCAAGGGGTGTCCGTGGTGCAAAAGACTAAGCCTCTCCGGTCCGAAAGTGAAGGGGATTGGTCGAAGCTCAACTGTAGGAGATCCTGGCAAAGGCAGGGAAATGGGTGCGATGGATACAGGAGTCGGAGGAAGGACTTGTTGAATTGGAGTCGCGGGAACCTTGCTCTTAGCAAGTACCGGATTGCATGAAGGAGTAATGCTCAAGTCGATGCTGTCCAGAAATCTATCCACGGACTGTACAGATGGTACGCCATGTGATGAAGGGTTCTGTACATCATGACGGGCGTTTACAGACCCAGTGCATCTATTATTCAGGGAGGGTAAAGAAGACGTTTTTTCTTTGCCCTTATTGTCAGAAGTGCGGCGATCAGAAGATTTGACAATATGGAACGAGGGCCCTTTGCTATCCTTGCAGTGGTTGTTGGGTGCAGGGGAACTACTACGGCGCTGCTCCTTACGATAGGAAGGCGCACGCCAAAGGCCAGACCGCGCATGACGATCACCAATGAAGGCATCATCATCATGACGCAGCCTCTGGGCAAGACACATCCTGTCTCCGTCATTGGAATCCTTGCGTTCGCGTACTTCCGTGGACCGCTTGCGCTTCTTGCAGACCTACTCCTTCCGCTCGCGATGTCGGCTTTTTTACCAGGCTTCTAGAGGGCCTTGGTGGAAGGTGGTCCGCGGCGGGTCGCGATGATGAGCGTTCTAGCGGGGAAGGCGATGCGGGGCTGACTGGGCGACTTTTAGCCATCACAGTTTCGGTCACTAAAGAGATTTCGACGCGTCGATATGTCGACGCGTCAAGGACGTCAGAATTATCGTAGCGATGACCAAATACGCAGACCTTACAGATCTCGGGACAAGTGAAATGAGGGTGTCCTACGCGGGACCTACTACGTAGGGTGCGATATCAGCACTATGATACTATGATACAAGACTAAATCCCAGTTCTGTACAAATGTGAGAGAGAAAGAGGGGAGAACGAGAAGAATGAGTGATGCAGACGATCTTTATGGGCTGATAGAAATGAATTGTGAAAGGATAAGGAATCGCAATTGCGTTCGATGCACTGTTTGACAGAACAGAACAGAAGGCGCAACCTTCTCTTATGGGATCTTCCGCGGCTTTACGTTCCGATCCTAAGGCACAAGTGCTCAGCGCTCAACAGGAAAATCGACACCAAACAGCTGGAATTGCAGCTGGAGATTACATTCAACAACCTCGAGGCATTTGAAGATTCGGACTTTGAGGTTTATAGGATATATACCACGCTGGCATCGAATACAATGGAGGAAAGCATTCCCACGATGATAATTCAAGGCTTGATGAAGAGAAGGATTCAACTATTGCTTCAGTATATTAGAGTAGATCTTCGACGCATGAAGGTTTTAAAAGCAAGAACAATCAGGTAAACCTAAATACCCTCGGAGTCCTGGTTGTCTTGCAGTTCGGCAATGATCAATCAGATACTATGATACAGCCTTTAAATTCCCAGTTGGAGTGGGAGGAGACTAGTAATTATATTCCCCATTTATATGAGATAAGTATAGGTTTTGAAATTAATTCTCATGCCGTGATAGGATCGACACTGGAAACTAAGATAAGCGCCTGTCCTCCCACCACTAGGTCTAGTATCATTTGACACTGCCAGACAGTAAGTGTATCGCCATCTTGAAAACATACAGTAAAAATACCACCATGCCAACAGATGCGACGGTTGAAATCTTGACACAACACTGCTGTCAGTGTCCCGTTGTTCTGCCTATTTATATAGGACATGCATGTTGCGAGGTAAAAAAAAAATAGTCACCCTTATAGAATGAAGAGTTAAGACAGCCGTCCCTTCTTTATGACAAAAACAGTGGCTGCTGCTGCACAGCTAGTGTGAAGGGAAGAGAATCTTGACTTGCTTATGACCCAGACTTTGACAACAGCGTCGGAAGATACAATGGTCGTGTAGCCTTGCGCCTATGCTGCGCAGAATCTATTGCACCCGAAAACATTGTTAAAATCCGGTGCACCGTGATCGTTATTCCACCACGGATAATATAAAGCACAGATGCCTCGCAGCAGGCTCTCACACCTTTTTGAATTCCCCCTATAATCTTTCAATTATTCTTCTCAAAATTTTCCCCTTCATCTGTTAACTTACCTCTAAATTTACAATGTTCTTCAACTTTGCCGTTCTTCTAGCTGGCGCTGGTTTCGCCGTTGCTCAATCGTACGTTAGACCAAAGTTTAGGGGGGAAAGATCGTGGACTGATATCCTTTTTGTGTTCAGACTCTCTTCGCAGTGCCAGAGTGCACTGGTTAACACTGCAGCCTCGTCCAGTGCCACGTGTTTGAATCCATCAGGGCTTATCTCGCTCGTCGTCACGAACTCGAACTCAAGTTCGATTATTCCTGGTGTCAACACCTGGCTTTCTGGCTTATGCTCTCAAGCCACCTGCAGTAACTCGACGCTCCAAACTATTGTAACAGACATCATTTCGGGATGTTCTACCGAACTCTCAAGTCTTGGAGTGACTACCAATTCTACTGCTATTGTCACGTCCATTCAGGCTGCCTACCCTACTGTTCGACAGCTTATGTGTTTGAAAGAGTCAGTTTGGCAACCATCGTTTACTTTGCCCCCTTGTCTAATTTATTTTATAGCACTTCGACGAGCACTCTTTGTGTTCCTGAGCTGCTGACGAACACCCAGTCTTCCACGACGACTCTTTCTCTGAATAACATGGTTGCACTTGTCACAAAATTGGTGTCCGGTCAGAACACTGGCATTCCCTCGAGTGCCGCCTGCACCAACTGCACAAAGGCTGCCTATACTGTCCTTAATCAGGGTCTTCCTGGAGTTGCTAGTACGGCTCGAAGTTCATTTTCATCTGAATGTGGCACCAACTACACAGGTAATTTTGTGCCATTTTATTTCGTCAAGGTCCTCACATCCTCTGGCAGATGGTCAGATGCCTTCCGGTATTCAGGAGACAGCAAGCAATTCCTCATCGACGACCAGAAGTAGTGGTGCTAGTGCGCTTTCTGTTGGTAGCCTCAAGATGGGTGCTACTGCTGTTGTGGCCGTTTCAGCCGTCTTTGCAATCTTTGCTTAAGTTTCATAATGGACTTGTGAAGTTATTTGGACTGTTGAGCGACACGGTACATTATTTGCCAATCTAGAATTATGGACATTATATGATTCTTTAATCTGTACTCGTAGAGTACATCGTCAAATCACCGATCTCTCGCAATTGCAGCAGGATCAACGATGAATGATTTTAATTAACATTGAGCAGAATCAGGAATTACGTCAGCCTCCACACATGTAAGTAGCTGGACTCGAGGGTTCGGAGAGTTGTTCCCATACACTGCGATCCAGGGTCTTGCTCACCGAGCCAACGAGTAGTTCTTCTGTCTGACATATAGTCCGTCGATGTCCGCGATGCAGGCCACCACACCTCGCTCGCCGCGCTTTGACCTTCCGCCTGCACCTGTCTATTCCACCTCCAATACAGCAGACAATGGCCTCGCAGAGTGGACGAGCAAGATCAAGGCAATGCAACGCCAGGTCGATGCGGACGATGAGGCAGAACAACGTCGTCTCGAGGAAGAAATTGTGCGGGCACGACTTGCGAGGATGAGACGAAGTACATCAGGCATGAGCGGTGATTTTGGCATCGGCATGCATGGTATTGATCTGGGTCGGTATCTCTTGGCGTGGACACTTCCATATTCTCTAACTTGTCGATGATTGCATAGGCAAGTTACAGGAGTCATCACCAAATGATTCGTTTGTGGGCAATGCTACTACACCTGCCTCGCCACCTCGAGCTTTACCTTCACATAAACCAGCAGTATCGTCTAATGCCACGCCTCAGAGAGCCCCCATGTCATTGGCTGCGTTTATGGGTGGATCAACTGCTGCTGGCCCCCGATTGAAACGCCACGAGCCACAACAGGATGCCACTGTCGTACATGATGGGCGCAAGGATCACGGTCCCATACATCCAATATTCGGAAGAAATGGAATTGCTATACCGGGGATGGTCAAAGGAGGTGCACAACCTCCCGTAACTACTACATCCCCACCTTCAGCTGGCACACCCGTTCGTGGAGTTCCCACTTCTACACCAGATATCGTGAGATCCCGTACTACGAGTACTTCTTCGGTCGCCCGTCGATATGTAGAGCAACTTGAAAGCCAGTCAGCAGTCCCTGAACTCAGGACTTGCAGGGCCAGGCATTCGGGAGCGCAGGATAAGCACTCCCGCGGGCAACATTTTGGCACAGCTGAAAATAGATACGCCACAATCGCCTTCTTACCATCTGTCTCAGAATTATGGCACTAAAGCTGCTGCGGTTTCGCCAAGTTCTCTCGTTGAATCTCGGCCGAAAACCCCCATCACTGCAGAGACGCGCCCCAAGACACCTGTTGCTGAAACTCGTGTGAAGACTCCCAATCCTGAATCTGTCCGTGCTAAGACGGTGACAGAATCTGCATACTTTAAGGCGCCTAATCCTGAACATACTCGGGCAAAGACTCCCAACCCTGAGCCCAATCGTGCAAACACGCCTGCTGCAGATTCTGGTCATACAAAGAGCCCGATTTATACACGTTCAAACTCCTCTCAGCCCTCCTGGACACCTAGACAACAGACTTGCTCCAATCCCATCTGTCACTCCGACGTCTCCTGCGCGGCAGACTTACTCTCCACAGCCATCACGCGGGGTCTCCCCTGCCTTTCTGCGTCCACCTGTCACTTCATCTACCAAGGATCCAACGCCAAGTATCAGCCGGCTGCAGGGTCGTGGCTTTGTGCAGAGTGTTGTTCAAGCCAGCGGGCGCCTCGAAACAGGAGCAGGAGCTGCGAGAAGAGAGAGTACATTTGGATCCCCAACTCAAGCCGCCAGTGAAACGCGAGATAATAATGCTAGAAGAGCAAGCGTATTAGACCGTTGGCAGCCTGCAATGAACAATGCTGGAACACCATCACCACCCCCACAATCTCCATTCCCGGCAAACCGCGGAGGACGCCAGACACTAGGCAACCAGAAGTGAAAACGCACGACACAGAATTTTCTTTGAAGTGCGCTGTATCCACTCCCACCCTTCCGAAAACGCCATTCGGGAAGACCAGTGCTCTTCCTGAGAGCGCGGACCATAATTTGGGCTCCTCCACCACAATGCTTGCATACATCAAGCCAACCAAGACTGGTGATGATCCAGTCGTTCGCAATGTTGATGAACTCGGGGTGAAAGCGGATGGGAGTGAGGCGAGGGCGCGAGTATCTTCGTCTCCTAACAAGCCATTGAGTCATGTGCGTGCTTTCCGGTAATGCTCAGCGCATTGATGGTTGATGGAATTTTACATATATCCACATTTTTTGATATCTTGGTCTCGTTTAATGGTGTATGATGCCTTTTAATCGGAATGCGCACTCTTTTTGCTGTAATTCGATTTTTCTCTGTTTCCCGGCTTCTGAATTACTAGCCAACCAAGGATAGAGCGAAGAAACCTCGCAAAGCCGGTGGTTCTGCACATGTTGCCTCTCCGGAAGGACAGCCTCCAGGCACCTCGTCACAACTGATTGCGCCAGAATTGATCACATCAGCAACGAACACTCAATCGCTTCCAATTTCCCCTCCTCAGCCAACGAGCCGATCTCAATCGGAATCTCAGACACGGCTTCCACTGACGATCGCACCGCCTATCACCACTGGTCGCGTTACAGACCGCTGGACAGAACCAACATTGATTGGTGTAAAGCCTATTGCATCCTCAAATTCTGCTTCAAGCCAGCCTCCTCCGATTCAGAAACCGCAGGGTATGGTGGGCAGGTTGGCGCTACCGGGCTTAGCGGTTGTACCATGAAACCTGCCGAGAAGGTGAAGGAGAAATCCTCCTCTTGGAGAGGAGTGCGCGGTCTCGCCTTCACTAATGAAACATGGTCGGATTCCTAACACAAGAAATCGTGCTACCGTCATGGACGTTGCGCAAGCTCTGAGTGAGGCGCAGCAGGGAAACGATTGCGCGCTGAGTCCACCTGCTTCTAGAGTTCCACCTCTGAATTCTCAAGCTGAGAAGAAGAAGTCGAGCGTCGAGAGATACTCCACTTTTACGATGCCGTCACTGAAGGAGGAGAAGACCCCTGTGTCGTCTCCAGCAGGAACATTGGCAAAATCATCTGGGGAGGCGTTGCTGAATTCTAAACTTGTCAGTGAAAGCCCAAAAGGTAGTCTGGGAGTAAAGCCGACTATCCAGCGCACTGCGTCGAGTTCATCTCTAGTGCTCGATGTTGTGCACATCGGTGAGCTGAGCTACGTTGTTTGGTGTCAAGTAATCGCTGATTCAAGTATTCTGACAGATCACGCGAACGAGACCCTGCCAAATGTCGATGTGGATGCTCTTTTGAAATTTGTTCCGCCAACGTTTGGCCCCGACCCAAAGATTCACACCATCTCTGTTGAGATTTTATCCATCAATAACGGCACTGCGATTCCCGTCCTGCGTGATACTCATATTTTCTACGATACGGAGGCTTTGGTGATTGTGCACCGCGTAAAGGCCCGTGACAGTGGACTTGTCTCCACGAAGGTTTGGTGCTGGCATGGGAAACAATGCCAATTTGGAGAAAGAGAGGAGAAGAAGGCAGATGAGCTTGCAAGACGGTATGGATCAACTCTGGTGAGGACATATTTTTAAGAGAGGAATTAGATGTCGAACACAGGAATGATTTTCAGGAAACGGTGTTCCAACGACGAGAACCTCCAGAGCTTGTTCATGTTCTGGGAGGAAAGCTTGCGATCCGACAGGTCGGTACATTATAATACCCCATGATGTCGTTATGATGCCTTTACGTCAATACCCATACCCTAGGGCATTCGCGCGCGCTGGTCTTCTGAAAATACGGCAATGTACGTGATGCGCTCAAGCGGGGAACACATCTTTATCGATGAGGTGGATTTGGTATGCTGCTCGCATGAACAGACCTGGATCAACCTTGAACTCCTGATTACAGAACATCCGAAATCTGTGTTCGGGCTATAGCTATTGCGTCTCAATCCTTGACCAGATCTATGTTTGGCACGGTTGTGGGTCATCTCCGAAGGAACGCAACGCTGCCCGAGATTACGCACAGGCCTCCGCTGTGAATGGGACTTCTATCACGGAACTTCGAGAAGGTGACAATGACGTAGATGACGAGATGTTCTGGATGGTACTTGGTGACTCTGGAGATTATGCCAAGGCAGACTATTGGAAATTCAGAAATGCCTCTGCCCCCAGTGACCCTCGATGCTGGATCGTGGATGCCACGGTTGAAGGTGACCCGGTATGCTGTTCAATGATATGCTGTTGGCTTGCACCTGACATGTATGTAGATTCGTGCTGTTGCATTGATATCGGCAGAGACTATACTTCAGCAATCAGTGTATATTATCGACTGCTCTTTGGAATTCTTTGTCCTGGTTGGAAAAAATGCACGCTCCAAACGTATTGATATCTCTCTAGCAATTCAAACCGTCATGGTAAGCGTCATGTCCCTTCTATGAAAAAATCTTCCACATGATTTAATATGTTGTTAGGCCATGGCAAAGAGAGTGGCAATATCTAAACCGTTTTATCCCACCGTCCATGTGCTTGTGATACCTACGCAACTCCCTCTGGACATGCGGCATGCCTTCCGCGATCTTGATGAGTCTCAAGTGGTAATTCCTTATCCCTTCGAGTATCCAGCCCGCGCTGATCATCTGCGCTAGAATGGGGGCTTCATCCCCGATCACATGAATATCCTTTCAACTACCGAGGCGATTGAGCATGTTAGTATCCTTCTATGATTGTCTAATTCTTCTTCAATATTGCTCACTGACTACCTTTCTGAAACAGCTGCGCACTTCGTCTTGGGAGAAGGCAGCATTGCGAGATCAGAACATGCTCCCTTTGGGTCTTGACGCAGCTACCATACCATCATCTTGATATATACGCAAGTGCTGACGCCAGATATGAACAACTGGAATGATCTATACTGTAGAGCAGTTTTTATACGCGTCTTGCTTGCTGCAACCAATTGGTGCCTAACCTCGAGCGATCATATCTGCCTTTTTGAATCATTCTCACAGTATACTAGTTTTTTTTCGTGTAGTGTTATCTGTCTGATTGTAATTGGATTTGTGAATACCGCTCGTCTAAAATTGAACGGATGGACTCTCAAGATCTCAAATGCCATCGCATAAAATTACTGATAATTACCTCTAATTAGTCCGGGAGGCTGTTCCTGATGGGGTTTTGCCGGGTGCTAATACCGCCTATACCCGATATCCCGCCGCCTGGTGTTCTGTGGATAACCCTCTGAGGCTCTGACGGGTGATAATTATCCACTGGATATCCACCAGGCCCAAATATTGGTCAGACGGGAAAAACGTGGTTTGTTAATTAGCAAAGTGCTGATCAGACCCTCGGTGTCAGCAAGAAACTCTCTGATTCTCGCCCTGAGTTCCTCGACCGTCCCATCTCTCGAAATCTCGCTGCTAGACTTGCGAATGCGAACCAGCCCAATGACCAGCAGCGCTGCACCAACACCAGTCGGCACTTCCAAAGTGTGTGCAGTTTGAAACTCCGTCACGGCACAAATCGGCAGGTGACATTTCTGCGTGATTTCGGCATTTTCAGCTATCTCACTCAATTTTGCTTCAATTATGGTGGTTTAACCTCGTAATGAGATGTATTATAGAGACAATGATATCTATGTTCAGAATGTTGTGTTGAAGTAGCCGGCAATACGAGTTTGGTGAAAGTGCCGACTTCCATGGGGTGCCGATTGCAATGGAAGGGATAGTACTCAGTACTTAGTCACTAGTGGTTTCAGACCCAAAAATGTACTTTGCTTCGAACGAGGGCTTCTCACACTAGTGACTATCAGATACCCCTTCTGCATGATTTCATATTGGTTTGGTTTGAGAAACGGACACCAAAACTGATCACTATAAAAGCGATGAACAGAAGTATATCTGCACGGCCTCCATATGCCCCATTCCGATATGACCATAGTTTCAGATGATCCCGCTTGGTGGCCGTTCATCAGTTATTCTCTTCTTTATAGCTATTTTGTAGGTTCGTATAGAGCAATCGCCAGGATGCCCGACCAATGCTGATATCTCAATATCTTTTGACTTATCGCTTCGCAGCTGCATGCTCCACTGCGGTGGTATATGACTGGGGTAAGCGAGACAACATATTCCAAGGGAACATTGACATGTATACAGTATTCAAGCATTAACATTCAGACAAGAGGTAAGTTGATGCCGTGACCTGCACATCTCACTAACTAAGAATGCTTTAACAGTTCGAACTGATCTTGGTGAGCAAAGTCCTATAATTAGAATCAAGCAAGATGGTGTAGTTGACCCGGGGCAGAGGCAACATTGGTCCTACATGACCGTTCTTTATATTTGCGTGCGTTATTCCTACTACAAGCGCAGTTGGCATGTTGTACTGACTTCAACGTATGCTAGGTGCGCTACATTGGAATATTGGTTTCTGTGTATGTTTTCAAGTCTATCTACATAACACTGCAATGTGCTAATAAGTCACATCTCGCAACCAGCATCAACATCCTGCGTATGTATCCTCAAATGCGTTCGCTTAAGTCTTCTAACTGGTAGCATGCAGTGAATCTCCCTATCTCGATTACCGATGTAGTACGTGTTCTACACCGATGCTCCCATTCCCATTCAACTACTAACTATGCTCCCATATAGAAGTGAGTGACATTCTCGACCAGTTTGTGTCTTCGATTAACGACTTCAACAGCTGTGAGTTCATTTGAAGTATTTATTCTACCATCAAGTAACTGGGTTTTCAGGCACTATCGTTTGGTATATACAGGCATGGACCCCCACCATCGTCAATGCCATGCTGGGCTGTGAGCTCACCCGTGTCTTATTGATATTGGTTGGACTGAAATATCATTCAAGTTATCATGATTGCTCGGATAAATGCCATGTATCAGGGATCGAAAAAGTTACTCATCTTTCTTGTTGTAGTGTTGCTGGCTTGCACGATCGCCTCTGGAGTTATGACAGTAATTGGAAACCTGGGTGTTTCAGCGCGTAAGTTTTAAATATTGATGAAAACCTGGAGCACAAGAGACTCAGAGACATTTACCAGAGGAGGCCGTCTTTTCCGGCTATCATACCTGCATTCCTGACATTGACACGTACATGATGGGCCTGACTTTCGAGAGTCTGATATTTACCGCCGTATGGGAGATCCTTGCCTTGTTTCTTACAACCTTTACTGTTATAAAACACATCCGTGAACTGCGACAATCGCCGACAGGATCGACCATTGGGAATTGCTTCAGGATATTAATAGAGAGTCACGCGTTTTACTTTTTAGCGTGAGTTCGGTTATTTGGATGTTATTATCTTTTTCACTGAAGTTCCGCATTTACTAGCTTTGCTACTGTGGCTTGTTTCATGCTTGGCTCACTGTCTCCAAATATCACAGTGCGCCGACCTGTGACTGGCGTCTGCAGCTGACCACTCTCTCATTATTTCTCTGCAGAACTCATTGTCCACGGGAAGTGCTATTTACTGTGGCGTTCTTTCAATTGCCCAGATGTTGCAGATGTTTGTTCTGGGACCGCGTCTGATCCTCAGCGTTCGAAAACATCGTGCTAAAGTCATGGCCAGGGCCGACGGGGGAACAGGCATGACGTCTATTGCTTTCCAGGTTGATGTAGATGCGTTGACCGGCGGAGATGCGTTGACTGGCGAGAGGTGCGTAGCACATAAAACGATCCAAGCGATCAACCACAGTAGGTACTCTGCAGGGGAGCATGCATATTTATTTGTTTCGTTGTAATATTTAGCTTCATCACGCTATATACTTGGTGTTCCAAAGTGACCTGGAGGACTCTAGAATTTCTTGTACTTACCTTTTACTACTTGGGACACGGAGTTTCCTCTAGATATAGAGTGGCCAATCTGTGCTTGGAGCTTCACAAGTCCATCTTTTCAAATCTGTTGTTTTGAGTCCTCAGAGACTTTTCAGTATTACCGAGAACAAAGACACCTCTTCGGTCGGCTCTTCACTGACATAGTAACAACTCAGGAAATACAATATTAGCAGTCTTGCTCCTAATTCGCCTCTGCAAATAGACACAACGTATCCCTTCACGCTCTCACCCTCGACAACGTTGTGTACAATCGACCGTGAGCAAAGGGATCCGTTCGAAGGTCGAGCACGGTTCGTGCCAGCATCAAACCTTGACAACCATTGAATGTAGTTGCACACTTGATTTACCGTCCACGGTGAACAGTTTGGATAGAAGGCAAAGTTAATACGGGAGATGCAGTGGGTTTCGAAAGCATTGATGAGTTGGACTTCAGTGAATCGACGATGTTGCCAAGCAACTACGCGCGCGCGTGCACATTTCTGACCAATCCCTTTTCTACAGAGAAGTTTCGTTGAATGGTACAATTATGTTTGAGATCCAGGCGACAGTGAGGAGGTACTCCGGATCTAGGATGGGTAAGGGCCGTAAAAAGGAGGTAGAAGAATCAACACGCAATAACACATGATGCGGTGGACGGAAAGAACCGTGAAGAGGACACATCAACACAACACGACGTGATGAACGCGGTATCTCGTGCTTATGTATTGTAGATAAGGTAGTCGACAGTCAATTACAATCGATCGATCGACAACCATGCTAGTGTCACTATATGTGAAGCGGGAACGCATTCTGGCAGGCAAATTGAATGTGAATGTTCTTAATAGGAGGTCGATTGTCTTCCATCTATTGATCTACGTCGTGACGGGAGACTGGTGAATGCTTGAATCAGAATGCCACGAGTTTGGCTGAATCAGTTGCTAGTCCCGGTACACGATGAATTAGTAGATTATATATGTTGGGAGATAAAGGGAGATAGTCTTTGCTGGCAAGGTGCTGGAGGCCCGTGGTGTTGACCAGCAGAGCGCATTTACATATGGTTCCGCGGAAGCAATTCATATTTCGTAATCCCGGCGTGTATTTAAGCGCTCGCCAACAATTGAGAACAAAGAAAAACCATTCATTTCTCATTGAACCCTCGTGGACCGTGGTAAGCGTCGCGTTCGTTTATTCTTTTGTGTCCATAAGTATATAGCTGCAGCAAATTTACAATGATTAACTTGCACTTCCAGCCGTTCTCTACACCCTTGAGCTCTCAGCTCGGATTCAAGGTTCAGCGTTGAACGTTCAACCGGACATTCTAACAACACGCTCTTTACACTATGACTCGCACCCTATGTACCCTCGGGTTTCTGTTCTTTCTATCTCTAGATTTCGTTTCTGCACGCCACGTTCCTCGAAGCTGCCACCCTCACAGTAGCAGGTCTAACAGTAACTCCGGTACCCACCCGTCGTCTAGCGTCATTGCTGTGGGTAGTGCACCTCCTGCACCCGCCCCGAGCACCAACGGCAGCTCCTCGTGTTTCCCGTCTGCGGGTTTCATCATGCCGTCTACTGTTCCCAGCTCGACCGATGGTTGGTGGTGTTCTCCAAATACTGAATATGCATTCCTTGGATTCAGTTATGAAGTCACTGCTTGTGCGACCATCGTCTCTCCTGAGATTCGTGAGCTGATGTAATTCTAGGCCAATCTCTAACCAAGCTCAACAGTGACTTTGCTGATATCAAGAACACCTTTGGATCGCGATACGTCCGCCTTTATGGTGCTTGTGATAGAGACGGTTTCTAGTAAGGCATTGTTAGCTCTCATTGTTCCTGAGCTAACTGGTTTTCATTTCAGTGATGATATTGTCAGCGCTGCATGGGCTACAGGTCTTGGCGTTCACGCTCTGATTTGGGTGAGGCTTTTGAAATAGAAATGGCTGTCGTGGTTGTAACAGTTTTTGTGGCACATAGTTTGGATTCGATGGAGGCAATCAGTGGATGGCTCGCCGTGACTCATTGGTTTCTTCGCTCACCAGTAACCCCAAGGCCAAGTTCGTCACTCGAGGCGTCCAATTTGGTTCTGAGCCTCTGTTCGATAACGTACTGCCGCATTCGGAGCTTGCATCTCAGGTCACGTCTTTGAAATCCAAGCTTCTTGGCGTTGGTATCCCTGTTACTGTCAGCGAACTCGCATACGGATACCAGGAGCGCGGTGGTGCTCAAGACGTCCTCAATGCTATTGACTTTATCAATATTCATATGCTCCCTTTTTTCTCGGCCCTTGCAACGTTTGGTGCTGCTGCATGGCCGCTCGTTGAGACTGACATGAACTGGTTTATCGAACATGGCAATGGCAAGAAAATGTACTTTGATGAGGTATGTCTGTCATGCTCGGGTGCAATTATTTTCTTTTAGTAAAGCGCTCCACTTCCTAGAATGGCTGGCCCGCCGTCACTTCGCCTGGTGTTCAGCCTAATAGCATCCTTGCCCAGGCCTCGGTAGCCAACGAGGAGGTCAGTTGCATCATGGAATTGAACATCTTCGGTAGTCTAATGAACTTGACGCAGGGCTACTTTTCTATGCTCGATAGCCATTGCGAAGATCTCAAACTCGGCCCTCAGGGTGGTATCGGTTGGTTCGCTCATATCTACAGCGACGAGCAGGAGCCTGGCTATGGCATCTATGACGATGCTGGGAAAAAGAAATTCCCCTTCAAACCTCGCACGTCTTGCTAGACGTGACAACTTGCATATTTGGGCATTCGTTTATCCATTCTTTCGTTTATTATATAGCACAAGGTATTGATTATTCAGTAAATGGGAAGGGAACAGCAAATCTACTTATTACACTCAAACACCTAAATCGATACCCTGTCATTATCACAATTATACCTATTGCAATGGATCTCATAAATACAACTTTACAGTACGATGGAAGATTATTCGGTGTAATAATATCTCCAGCAGAGCCAGTTCAAATCTCAGCCATACCACTTGCCTCCCAATCTCGTCTTAGCTGCAGGTCTCTGAGGTATCATAGACTCGGTGATCTCGAAAACTTCTATAGCACGCTATTTGCCAGATAAATGAGTGCGAACCAACACGAAATGGACGTGTGTTACCCTCCATGTAGCCATGTCAAACTCCATAACTATTTGGTGGCACGTTACCCCGTCCGCGCGGTCTTGTGCACTAGGCGCTTCGCATAAGACTACAAAAATTGAGTGTACGGCCAATAAACTCCAAGGAGCAATGCTCACATATGATTGGTTCTCCGTTGTCGTCGATTTCGAGGGCACAAAGGCCATCTCGGATGAGGAAAGAGAGGTAAAATATGTTTTCAACCGACTGTGCAAAGTCGTCGGGGTTGATTACAAAGCGGAAGAGGTTCACAGAACCTGACTCTTCAAGGATTTCTCTGATCTATGGGGAAGTGTTATACAATGCACCAAGGGGAGTCCTACAAACCTACCTTGATTACGTTTTTCGTGGTTTCGTTCTCTGACCGCTGAATGTCGTCTTCTTTAATCTCCTGAGGTCTTCGTTCTTCTTCTTTGCTCTTCTCAAGCTTGGCGCGTTTGACCGGGGCACGTTTTTTTTGTTCTACTGAAAGAGGTCCGAGCCTATAGTGGGCTGAGTGCGAAGTCTGATTTTTTGGGAAACAACCAACATGAATCCCATTACTGGGACCCTTCTGCTCTTCGCGAGTGCCCTCCGACCAACTTTCTCCCAATCCATTACGCAGTCACCGATGTCATCTAGTTCCGAAGCATCGTCTGCAAGCTCGTGTCTGCCGCCCATAAATATAGCAAGTTTGGAGACGAAGTCATCAATGTCGAAGGCGGCAGAACCAAGTTTCATTGCACGGGCCTTCTGCGCACTAATACTTGATACATTCCGAAGTACAGTGGAATCGAGGGTAGCCTCGGTCGGATTTTTCACTGAAAAATGTCTTCCGTTACACGAACCGGGGAAACGAAAAGAAGACACACCTTTTTGAAACAGTTCATCAGCTTCTTCGACTTGTTCAACGAGTTCAGCAGCCCTTATGTCTTGTGGGCGAAGTTGTTCTTTTGCAGAAAGATCATGACAATAAACTTCTAGCTCATGCGGAGTAGCGCCAGCCACGGACCTCCTGTCCTCTTTTCAAGAGCACGATATTTTTTCCGAATGTCGCGTTTTTCAGCGGCATCCTGGTCTGGATCATATGGGAGACTGCTTGGACTACCCATGCGCACGTTCGGATCGAATTGAACCATGTGATCGCTAATGTACTCGGGTGTGGAAGAGACAAGAGACGCGTATCACGTAATCAGCGGCGCGTCGCGTCACGGCGACGGCGCCAAAGTCGTGCAAACAGACTGCCTTCGTGTTCTGCCACTGCAACGCCACAGAGAAGTTAGAAGCTAGTACAACACGTTCAGAAGACACCTACGTCGTTACTGTCAATGGTGCCGCCAAAGCATTCTATCGATGTGAGCATCAGCGTTATCCATTGTGCTGACAACATGGCTTATAGGAGCTTAGTATAGTAGAAGCACCCGGTCGGTCTGCAAGGGCCCTGCTCCTTGCAATGGCTCCCCAATTCCGGTCGGAAGCTTGAGATACGGGCAACTTGTTCCAGGAGAATATGGTGAAACAGTTGCCTGGCGTCACTGGTAAGTAGTGCTTCTACTTACCGTGTATTTCTGAATGTTTATGCTGACTATGAAAATTTACAGGGGATGTGTCACTCCGGATATCTTGAGAAGCCTTGCGGTAGTGGACCAAAGCTCAATCATCGGCATTGGCAACATTCGGTATAGGTCCTCTAGGTGTACACGTTGAGTTTGTATTGACTTCCTCAGTCCGGAGGATCAAACGAAGGTCCGGCAAGCGATTGCGAACCAACGAGTAGATCCAGCAGATATTCCCAAGACTGCCAAAGTAGTTACCCTTACCACTGCTCATGTTACACCTTCCACCTCCCAAGCGCCTGCTCCGAGTCGGAAAAAGCGCAAAGCTCCATCTGAGCAGGCAGTCCCGACAAACTCTCAGCTGAGCTCTGTAAAGCCGGTTATACGGGCCACCTATGGTCCCATCATGTGTAATGATGAAGATGACGAAGTCATCATCATTGAAGCCGACCCTATAGATGTCTTGTATTGCACCTTGAGTTCCAGTATCGTAGGTGTCCAATACTACAATGGTGAATCTTCCGCAGATTTTCTTCATATATGCATTCATTGACGTGGCGTTGCAAGGCCTCGTTGGTCCTGAGGAGGAAGTCAGGCTAGTTAGAGAGCCGCAAAACAAATTCGACAGGTATTTGTAGCAAAGTATCGATTTCGAACTGAGGGCTAATCTTGCTCCAGGAATGCTATTGAGGTCAAGAATATTGGGGGTACTAAGGTCGGGCATGTACCGAAGCAGACGGCTGCGAAACTTGCCCCCCTGTTAGATCGCGGTGCGATTACTGTTGAAGGTGTGATGCACGAAGGAAACTGTAAGTTTGCTGCATATATGATACAGGCAAGATTCCCTGAAACAATGAAATACCTAGTGTCTGGATTTAGCTACTCACTCTCAATGTAAGAATTTATGACGTTGCATGTATCGGAAGAATGCTCACTATTCACAGGACACTGAAGATCTATGGTCCGTCTGATAAGAGGGACCAGCTAGAGCCCCAGTTAATTTGGGCTACTCCTCGTCAGCGTGGGTTTCCACCTCGTGGATCAGGAGGTGCGGCTGGGCAAGTATCATCTACTGCATATGCAGCTGCAACTAGGCCTGCAGTTGCAAGTTCATCATCCATATCTCAGCCATCGTCAAGCCAAAGGTACGGAGCCACAGCAACCCAATCTAAGTCTCAGCAGGAGGCTGTTAGAAAGCAGCAAGAGGCCGTTAGAAAGCAGCAAGAAGCTCTGCAGAACGCAGCTGAGCTCAAACAGATGTTGGGCAGTCTAGAAAAAGTAGACAATGAGGGAAAACGTGCCTCTCTCCTGGATGCGTTATGTTCTGTCGACGACATTCTCAATCTTCCGGTCCATCCCGCCCCCCCTGGCGTTGCCAGTGGTGATTTGGTTGTTGATTTACTCAAGCACCAGGTAGGTAATGTCGCTTATGTAGTTTTCACCTACTTGATTCCTGCATGCAGAGCCAAGCCCTGCAGTGGTGTATCGATCATGAATACCCGTCTTTGCCAACTAAGGAGTCCGACAAACCAGTTCAGTTTTGGCAGTACAGAAAAATCGGCTCGAAGGTGAGTTAATCTTGCTTCTAAGCTTTCAGTCATTCATCCAATCCCGCCAGCCCCATTACTTCAACAGTTGAGTATGTGACGTCGCTTGCTGTACTTTGCTCATCGATGTGGTAGTCGCAACGAAAACTCCTCAAGAGATATCGTCACCTCCTCTGCTCGGTCGCGGCGCTATCCTTGCAGATAGTATGGGGCTGGTCAGTAGGATTCTCAAACATTTAGGCGTGACACTAAGCTTGCATGCAGGGGAAGACGCTTTCCATGCTGGCTCTCATTCTTGCAACTAAGAAGGACGTTCCCACTGATCATTCGAAGAGCACACTTATTGGTAACATCTTTTACTTTCTCATACGAGGGTCTTTCTGCTGATTGGGAGTACCAGTTGTTCCACTTTCAGTCATATCCAACTGGGAGAAACAGATTGAAGAACATTGTGTCAGGGGTGCAATCTCAAGTTGCACTTATCATGGTGCAACACGCGACATGACACCTCAACAACTCTCGCAGTATGATATTGTAATCACTACTTACCAGACAGTCACTGGAGAGTCCGACATTTCTGCAGCCATGGTTGGTGATGGGCCATCTAAGAAGAAAAAGAAGGTTGAGAGGGCGCTGTTCGACGTGAAGTGGAAGGTGAGCGAATAATGACATAGACACGAGCTGTAACCTATCTGTCGTTTAATTAGCGAGTCATTCTTGACGAAGGACATACGATTCGTAATCCGAAGACGAAGATGGCCAAAGCTGTTTGCAGACTCACGGCCCAACGCAGATGGGCGTTGTCTGGCACCCCCATCGTGAGTGCACAAATTTTGGATGCCAGATGGTTCATCTACAATCCCGTATTTTCAGATTAATTCTCCAAGGGTGTGTTTTCCGAAGGCTTAGTGGAAGAAAGTTGACTAAACTACAAATACCTGCAGGATCTTGGGTCTATCTTGACCTTCCTTCAGATTTGTCGTCCACTCGACAAGGAGGACTTTTATAAACGCCTGCTCCTACATCCTTTGAAAGGTGGAGATCCCACTGGTGCAGAACTGTTGCGAGTGAGTAGCCTATCACCCTATGTCAAATCCTACTGATTACTACGGCTGCAGGCTCTGATGAGTCACGCCTGTATTCGTCGCACAAAGGAGGTAAGGTACTGCAGATTACAGGTGGACAGTTCTGATCGAACTTGGGTTTCATAGATGCAAGACAGATTTGGGCGGCCCCTTGTGCCTTTACCTCCGGTACTGACGACTGTTGTTTACTCCAAACGTACAGTGGTTCTAATTTCTCCGTTAGGTCGACATTACTGTCATTCCGGTTCCATTGGGCGATGAAGCACGAGTAAGTTTCCTCCGCTGTTGCAACATCGGCCACACTCAATGTCATATAGGCTCTCTATGATGCCATTGGGTCAGTCTCTCAGCAGCGAGTGGAGAAGTTCATGAACCAACAAGGAGGGATGACCACCGCGGTACGTATCCTTCAATCACAAGGACAATTGTATTAACTTGGGTTCTCCTTATAGTTCACGACAAACGTCCTTAGTATGCTAACACGGCTACGACAAGTAGCTCTGCATCCAGGCCTTCTTCCTCCAAACTACTTGGAACAACTTCGTGCTACAGAGGACAACGAAGACACTGCACGTGTTGCTCTCCCAGTTACTCAAGATCAGAGGCGTCTTCTGCAGAGTCTCCTCGCCAAAGCTATTGAAGATAATGAAGAGTGTCCTATTTGCTTCGACGTCCTAAACGACCCAAGGATCACGGCTTGTTCCCACCCTTTCTGTTTCGCATGGTTAGGATTTGTGATAGTGCTTGACATCAACAGTATTCTGATTTAATTTCCCAAGCATTTCTGAAGTGATAGCCAGAGATCCGAAATGTCCTATGGTGCATTTATGTTTATAGCAGTCTTCAGTTTGCTAACATATCTCTAGGATCGCCGTACCATTGGAATGGGCGATTTAATAGAACCACCGCCTCCCACTGAATTTACTCAACTGCCTGTTTGTCGTGATGACAACGAAACTCATGATAGCACACTCCGAACCGGATCGTCTGCAAAGATTGATCAGTTGACCCACCTCCTCCAACTCATCCCTAGCGAGGAGAAGAGCCTTGTTTTCTCCCAGTTTACTTCATTCCTGGATAAGGTGCGCCTGAAGCCTCAAGGCGTTGCAATCATGCTCATGTCACTGCATTCAGATCGGCGAGGCCCTCGAGGAGCATGGGTATGATCTTACTACTAATCGCTTTTCAAGTTAATGTTAATTGCGTTATAGCATTCCGTATGTACGGTTCGATGGTCAGCTGTCAGCGAAGCGAAGGAAAGAAGTCCTTGAACAGTTCTCTATTCCACTTGAAGCTGAAGAGGATCTGGCGGTCGACATCGAAACTCCCCTTCCGCCACCCAGAAGACGTACGTCGACACAAACAACTTTAGTAGAAGAGGATGTCCTTCTGGAGGACGATGATTCCAGCTTCATCGTAGACGATGCTGACGATGACGACGACGACTTTGAGGAGGACAATTCTACCATGGCAAAGAAAGGCAAGGGAAAGTCGAAGCCTAAGAACAAGGGTAAAGGAAAAGCAACATACGGCCCACGAACTAGCCGGAAGGCTAGATTCGATGGCTCCTCTTTTGGAAGCAGGATTCCCAGAGTGATGTTGATTTCCTTGAAAGCTGGATCATTAGGTCTGAACCTAACTGTCGCCAATAATGTTATTTTGTGAGTGTTGTGCCCTGGTCGCTGAAACTTCAAGTTTACTTGGTATTGTAGGATGGACCCGTGCGTTTCTCTATGATAGCTAATTCCAGCGAACTGACCTTGAACCACCCGTATTAGCTGGTGGCAGGCAGGTTCTTCAGTCTACCCTTCCGTAGCAATAGCTTAACGCACATAACAGGAGGGTATTGAAAGTCAAGCAATCGACAGATGCAATCGGTGAGTTGCGGCGCGTGTCTTCTCCCATTAACCGAAGCTGACTTGAAGAAGTATTGGACAAAAGCGACCAGTTCACGTTTACCAGCTTATCGCCGAGAATACTGTCGAGTCCAAAGTACGTTAGCTGAATTGGGTGTTCTATTTTGCTGAAATTTTCATTAGGTCATCGAGATACAAGAGAGGAAGAAGCTTCTGATTCAACAGGCGAGTGTTGATGACTGCCTTCTGATTATGGTGCGCTTCACTTATCGCACATTTAGGCGTTTGCTGGAACGAAACGTATGGAAACTCCGAGACAAAAGAAAGAAGCTAGATTGCAAGGTACGTGTCTAGTCACCGACAACACAACAGGTTTTTGAGTAAGTCTTTCTAGACATCCTCGAATTAATGGGTGGCATTCGCCAGCAACCTGGACATCAAACTTGATGGGTTCGAGTTACTTCGCCGATAAATTTTCGCCTAGATCCATGATGCCAATAGTTCCGCCCTTAGAACACTATCAAGAACACCTAATAGTTGAAGCAGTACTTATCAGTCCCCACCTACTATTGGACAATGGATGGTCAACGCACAACGGCATGTAGAGTAATTGGGATAAAAAATATTTTTGATGTCGGAGAATTTGTGCCCTGATGTCAGGAACCACGACTTTATCCAAAATTAAAAGTGTATAAGTGGATCAAAGGTGCTGTCGAGAGACACCGATTATTTGTCGTGCATTGCGCAATCCGCTCATAGTTACCCCTCGATTGGAAAGGGATCGATGTAATGCCTATACCATATACAAACAAACCGAACAATCAATGTGGTATAGTCGTGGAGAGTGATAAACTTCTGTAAAAATAGGTTTGTACACTAGTAGACGATAGTAGGAACCGGACTGCTACATGATTCATTGGCTTCCTCGATGAGAACGCGAGAGCTCTCCCCAGACCCCGACCCAGACGCAGGGCAAGTTGGAGAAGCTAACTCAACCTCTTGGGTAAGCCGATGTCGACCTTGCATATTCTCGAGATCATAGGTGCTAACCGCGGAATACATTGTTACCGGACCCTCTCTGGCACCAAAAGAGTCTCTGAGTGGGTATGAGTCCAATAGATGCAAGCCTTCAGAATCAGACACTGCTGAATTAAGGTCCAGCACCATCCGACATCCAAGGATGATTTCAATGACCGCCGCGAACCCCTCTGGAGCTTCGAACCAGTTATGCTGTTGTTAGAATCATGAGTAAAGGAGCATCAGTTTGGAGCAGGATTAAGCCTACCCCTAACCCTTGCCAGATTCCTGTATTTACAGCGTTCGCAGCGAGTATGCTATCGGGTGCGGTCATGACAATGGATTGCAGATATGATAGACCCTACTCACCAGAAAAAGTAATGGACGTTGCCATACACGAGAGCATCGACAAGATCTTTTCTCTGCATGCGGAAGATGTTGAAGCCAAATCTGCCACGTTTGAAACCAATTCTGGCTGCAAGCACGAACAGAAATGTTCCAAAAATAATATCAGGCAGCCACACGTACGCAAGCGCAGGTGGTGCCGTCAGGACGGCACAGATTCTGAGACCTTGCACTGGTTCATTTGTATCTAGAAAGTAACGTCAACTTCGGAGCAATTGTGCGGATTAGTGGATACTTGCTGGATGTCATTGCCATACCTATTCCCAAACAGATAGACATGGCTATAACCTCCATCGTAAATCCGACCGCCATCGCAATTAAAACTTTTTGAGATCGACGGTATAGAGCGTATACTCGGAGCTGCAGTATGACTGAGTAAAGGTCAGTAAGTTCGTCTAAAGAAACAAAACATATCTCACGCTGAACTGCCCAGAGAACGCAGAAACTGGGCCACCCTTGAATGTTCAGGAACAAGTAACCTGAATAGCGTTATCAGACTTGGCATCATAGCCGGAAATTCCTGCTCACAGCTAATGACATTGTTTTGGTATCAAGGTGGGGTGAATGGCTGATGCAATAATGATGTTCGTAATATACAACTTACAACTGGAAGGTGTTCAGCCCCCAGAAATGGGCGGATACGAGTAATAAGAAACATACCTTTTTGGAAGTGTGTTGGCTCATAAATGCTGATAAGAACGTCAGTCAGTGAAGATTCGAGGCCAAGACAACTACCTGTAGCACTAAGACTACACAGGAAGTTAGCGACTGTATTGTTCGTTCTCAACAAGCGAGAACTTACAATATGAGTGCGCCGCCGCCAAATCTCACCTAACTAACGTTCAAAGGCATTCTACAAGTATAAAAGCAATCTTACAATGATATATAATACGTTGGACAATCTCATCGGCCGTCTCTACGATGGTAATTTTGAGCAAGTCAGATTCTGCATATACTTGACGAACACGGACCCATACGAACTTAACCTAATTGAGGAATGAGACAGTTGAACCCACACGATTACGAATATCACTGCACCTCTCGATCAAGCGTGAGCACTGATCAAAAGCGTTAGCGCGGACTGGTCTTGATACGCACCCTAAGACGTACAGTAATCATAACAGAAAATGATACAAGGACACACTATTATATATCAAAAAGTAAGTCGGAATGTCGACCAAAGCATGTTTAAAACTCACGTTGGCAGATGCGAGTAACCCACACATTGTAAGCGGCATGCGCAAAAGCTTGCGCGTCATATTCAAGGACTTCTGAATTGGACATGATCCGAAAGCGGGATGCTTTGCTGAAGGGCCAAAGTCTGTTGAAGAGACCTGACTTCCCGGGAGTGAAATGACGAGGGATGCTGGTAGTCCAAAGGAAAGGTTGGAAACGAGTTCGATCGGACACTTGAACGCCAGGCCAACTTTAATCAGGTCATCACGCTTCTCGAAGCCAACAATTAATGGAAAGTAGCTGCAGAAGCTTTTGTATTAGAAAGGAATTTTCGACACGAATAAGACGTAATCTGATCCTTATTACATAGGGTCACGTACATTACGGCCCACCGCGCCCATTTATCACCTTTCGCAACCGCGTATTGAATGTGCTCGCTCTTAGCTTCATCCGATACATCGTGTTGTAAACATACCAGCATAAGTGAATCACAACGGTTGGGTGCTTTTTCTGTTCAAAAGTACAAGCGAATATCTCAGCTATGTAGATGGCACTGCAGATTGATCCCCAAGGACAACGCACTTGAACATATTTTCAACCTGCCCATGTAAAATATCTCAGTCTGTCATATGAGGGTCTATCCCCGTCGCCCGAGGCCACGAGGGTAGTGGACACCACTTTAGACTGCATAAAAGCCGGTCAGAAACAGAATGCCGAATGCCTGATATAGCATAGCCTGCAACATGTGGCACACTGTGCAAGATCAGATGTAAAAGCAATCACCCCATGATGTTGCGCCGCCAAAATAAACGAGGTTTTATATGTACGTACCACCAAGAGAACATGATGTTCAGTGGAGCAACGACGCTCAGATATCAAATGAGTATTCCTCGCAGCGCTAGACGGAGACGAAGAACCCTTTATCACTTATCATACTATGATGTTAGGACTTTGTTCAGAAAGTAAACTTGAAACAATCTAAACAAAAATCGAACCACACCGATTTGATGTCATAACACGAACCCGCGATCTACTCGGAGATGAGGCTATCGGCAAAACGGTTCGGTTTGGAGATAAGTCAGCACGGACGTGATCACCGCATGAGGTTGACACGAGGGTCACGCATATATTGGAACTGTACAGTTATCGGCCCTTGCCGGAGGGCTAGCAAACCTTATTCTTATGTGGTGACACAACAGGAGCAAACAGCCGCTCATCGTCGCGCAAAAGGTCCAAGGCCACCTGCATCAAGATCCCTCAAGCACCTCAAAATGGCCACTACCCTTCCCAAGGACGTCTCAAAGCTCGGTCAGGAAATTAAATTGTTTGGAAAGTGGGACACCCAGGAGTACGTTTAGACTTGGTCGGCGCATAGTCTTTATATTGACGTGATTTCGGTCTAGTGTCGAAGTGAAGGACATTTCCCTCACGGACTACATCCAAGTCCGCCATGCTGTCTACTTGCCCCACACTGCGGGCCGTTATGCCAAGAAGCAGTTCAAGAAGGCACAAATGCCCATCGTCGAGCGATTGGTTGACAGGTGCGCACAAGATCCTTCCACGAAGGCGTAGATGCTCAAAGTTCGCCTATAGCTTGATGATGAAGGGCCGTAACAACGGCAAGAAGCTTATGGCTGTCCGCATTGTTGCACATGCATTCGAGATCATCCACCTCCTCACCGACCAGAACCCCATCCAGGTCTGTCGGGCGAAAGTAGTTGCCCAACTCAAGGTGTTAATCAATACATAGGTTCTCGTTGACGCTATTGTCAACACCGGCCCTCGGGAAGACTCCACCCGTATTGGTTCTCAGGGTACCGTCCGCCGTCAAGCTGTCGATGTCTCACCCCTGCGGAGAGTTAACCAGGCCATCTCCCTCCTAACCATCGGCGTAAGCATATCCTGACTTTCATAATTATTGTCACCTTAACTCGGTATCAGACACGGGAGTCTGCCTTCCGCAACGTAAAATCCATCGCCGAGTGTCTTGCTGATGAACTCATCAACGCTGCCAAGGGCTCCTCGAACTCTTACGCCATTAAGGTAAATTAATGTCTTTGTCAATCATCATGACCTCATTGCCGCCGTTCAACAGAAAAAGGACGAGCTTGAGCGTGTTGCCAAGTCTAACCGGTGAAAACCGCTACTCACGTACTTGGGAGGACTTGTGCAGTCCGAGTGTGACTGCTATGGGCTTTCTGGATATTCATTTTTTCTGCTTCATTATCAACGCTGCGCCCATGCTGCTCCCATGCTTCTCTATGTGTATGTTAACCTCGATGACATTATGCATGCACATGATCCCGCATCAACGGAATGGATGCTATATCCAGATGTTCCCACAACAACAGAGAAAGTTGACGCATTAGCGTTTGAACACACATGTGCCTTGCATTTGAACCTGTCACCGCTTGCGGAAGTTACTTATCTCAACAGATCGGACCTGATCACGGAACTATTCCGCGCGCGCTCTATGCCAAATTCCAGGAAATTGAATTAGGTGTACAAACGAGCAGAGTAATTCTCAACCCCAGGGATAAAATGAGATATGCACCCCATGCGAACTGATGGGGGCGCGGGGACCAAGCCTTCTCAGCCTCGAGTGTCCTGTCTTTGACGGCACTCGGTATAATAAGTAAAAGTACATATGTACGTTTTATCTCCTTCAACAAACAGGAAAAGAGGACCGCGTTGAGAGGACGAGAGTCGTGTAGATCGGGATAAATACAAGGAACGAGAGGCCAGTGCTAAATGCGGTGCCACGGATGAGAATGCAGGTGGCGGTGACGATGCAATTAGCACATCCTCTCGACCCAATGAACAAGGGTCGGTAGACCAGCAGGGCAGTGACGGTAGGGAAAGGGACGGTCTCGGCATGCCAGGACAGAATTGATATCCATGTCAAGTGATATGAGTAATAATACAAGTTTGATCTAAAGTTGAGAGCGCTAAATGCACTGGTTTGCAGCAGGGTTGCTACGAAAGGTTGGACGAGGTCGCTAAAGCGTAGGCAACGTCCATTGAGGAAAGCTGGCGCGATAGGGCGAGAGATCCAGAAGGCTTGAAAACCTTTTCCGTAATGAAATCCGAGAAAATCCATCCAAGATCTTTCGTGGATTGCAAGTAAAATCATGACTCCAGATGATAATGCCGACAAGAAATGAGAACCGCGTGGAATGGTATGGCCACTTATGGCCTGCTACCGGAGTACAGACGCATGTCGGGATGAATCGCCTGTTATCGGTCCAGGAGCGGGCTTAGGGACGACGCCGGCAAGTCCGAGATAGCCAATGTCTCGGCCGAATTCTTTGATCATGGCTTTACCCATCAGGCAAACCCAACCGAGACCCTCTCCAGTTACACACTGGCCAGGCCAGAACAGCTCTCCTTCCTCATCTTCGATGTCAGGTTCGTGTTCTTCGTGCGCAGTCAGGCTCGAACTCATCATCCGAGCAAATGTCGTGGGATAATGCCGTGCCAGTATGGGCAGGGTCAGAGTGCGTTGAGCAAACTCCATACAGTACCCCGCGGCCATAACGCCACCGGATAGCTCTTTGACGTTGAACGTGAGTGCGGGATTAATGGTCGCTGTTGCCTTGGCGGCCGCTTCGACCATGTTGTAGCTTGCGGCCTTGACCCTTAGCTGTCTGAGGCAGAAGACAATGCATATACTGTGGGAGTGCGGTAGAAACTGGAGGTGCTGGGCGCGAGGGAGCGGGCGAGTTGGCCAGACTGATACCGCTAGAGGTGTTCACACTCGGAGTGCCGCTCGCACTGTTGTTTATGGGTGTGGAATTTGCACTATTGGCAGGAGCTATGCTTGCAGGGGAAGGAAGCATTGGTGGTGTGGGCTGTCCGTCCGCTTTCTCCGCATTGCTGCTGAGCATCGCCATCTCGGCCTTCATTTTTGCCCATATGCGGTCCATTTCGGGTTCTATGACCGTCTTTGCTGAAAAATAGAACTTTCGCCCATGGATGAATCCTTCAATCATCCAGCTGTGTGCATTAAATGCGTGAGCGGAACGGAAAACCATAGTGAGGGGGTGCTTACATCAAGCCCAAGAGGGCTTTTTCACGATCGCCGATCGTATCAAGCTCAGCGATCCATTTATTTTTACACCACCCAAGGAATGCCTCGATGGTAGCCCAAGTCTCACGGAAGCATGATTTCCTGCTGAAATCCTTGCTCCACAATGAGTAGGTGAAGCATACAAGTGCGTCTACGAGCTCGAGTCGCGCAATGAGCCCACCATGCTTATGATATGGAGAGTTTGGGGACGGTGGGTTAGCCAGTGGACGGTACTCCTTGTGTGTAGCAGGATATGTCGACCAGAAGCGAGCATCACCTGAATACTTGAGCTTTCTACCATAGTTGTGATATTTATCATGCATTTCATCGAAGGAGGTGAGTGTTGGACGTCCGCGCCGCGGACGCCGAACAGGCACAGTGGTTGACAGAACTGCAGGCGCCGGACCCCGGGGCGTCACGGCAGTGGTATCTTCTCGTACTTCCCCATCCTCTGATGGCTCAGAACGCAAGTTGAATGAAGGAACTGCATTTGAAGACCTGAGCGGTTGCGAAGGAGGAGGTGGTGGTGGATGATAGTGATGATGATGATGCGACGAGGGCTTTTCTGGCAGCCCGTTGGTTCTAGAACGCTTGACGACATCATGTTCCTGTGAGGACTCATGCTTTCTCTTAATAGCTGGTGCGGTTGGGGAGTTTGACCGGGATGCGGGGGGTGAGGGTGGGAGGTCTGGTGGCAGCGGTGCTGTAAGAGGACCCAAGATCTACAATGGCACCAAGAAAGAGTTTAATTATGTTGAATGGTTTTGTAAATTGAGATGTTGAATGACCTCAAGATTCTTTAAGAGTTGCTCTCGGGACCATCTACTGAAGAGATAGGATGACGAAGGGTGAGAATTGGGGAGCATGAGGCAGAGAAGTTGACTTACCGTTTCTTCATCTTTTGGAAGGAGGTAGAGGACGAAGCCGACGAGGAAGACGACTGGGAGGGCATTGAGGAGTGATGGAGTTAGTGGGAAGAGAGAAAGCAGTGGCCAGCGCAACAATGGCTGGTAAGTTTGGGTGACCCGCTAAGACGGAAGCAGAATTTGGTAATGGCTTGCCAGGTCACAGCGCTTATGGCTTTACATTCTTCTTAAACTACCGGTCCTTTTTGTCCATTCCTCGTTACTGTTTCATAACTGTATATATCATGATTTACTAGTACTTATTGACTCGTTTCATTCTGCATTTATGCACGGCAGTCGACGTGTTTAACGGTGGTGTTCATTGGCATGGGGCCTGGCCAGGTTACGCCATGCATAGCCTCCCTGGTTTTATCGGGTGAAGCTTCCAAGCTCCTTGTCCAATATTATCCACTCGGTACCATCAACTATGTACCTAATCCCCTCCGGCACATGGGTTTGACATTCACCGACCTCCCCTCTTCGACCACGGTGTACCCAAACCGTAGGGATCATGTGGGTGCACATGGACAGTGAGAGACAAGTAAACGGCACGTTTATATATCCACAGCTAACACGTTCATTCAGATTCAGCCGGCTTCCATATGCACGACGGGTCTTGCCAAAGTTCGAATTGGAACTGCTATTAGCCACCCTTTCATATATATCTACTTTCGGTGAATGACCCCGCTCATTCCCAAAGGAAAGGCTGAGGACTGCCAAATTCGCAAAGACTTTCAATTGCAAGGTTCCATGCTTAGCCAGAACGATGATCTAAATGCCACGCCTTTCGCGGCCCTCCATCTATAGAATTCGACGTAATCCCCATCAGCATGCACCTATTCATGTTCTACAGACGCACATGTGTCACTATCAATACCAAACCTGCTCTCCAAGGATTTACTTCAAGCCATTGAAGTATATTTCAGTTCACACAATGTCTCGCCTACGCGTACGCGGCCCTTAGGCCTACTTATAGCAGCATGTTCTGGTCCAGGAACATGATCCAGATTTGAGGACCCACTCTGAGAAATATTGTCTTCGATATCTATATCGGTCGTGCGTGCTTGACATACAGTTTAATTCTCAAAGTGCCACATAACCAATCACTACTTACGGGAGAACGTTGTCTCCCCTGGGACTCGGAACACCATACAAGGTCTTCAGTCATTCCTTCTATGGGGAAAAACGTTACATAAATTTCCCCAATTCTGAAATAAGAATAATGTAGTCCTTACCCTCAAGTGACAAATCTCAGCATTCAGGGGGTTGGCAGCGTGGTTGGTTTAATACAAACGGGAAGCCTATGATAGGAGCTCGGTGCGACTTATCGTGCCAATCTCATCTAAGCGAATTGATAGAACATGACATACCGGCGACGCCCTCGAATATCCGCCTGATTCATCCCCCACTGGCATTTCTGATCATCTTTGGAAAATGCAGTCAACAGTGTGTGCATAATGCATACCTTACACACAGTTAACCCCGCCAGGCGGCTCGAATTGAAGGAGGGGCCTTTTATTCGCAATCAGGTAATTGGCTTGTTATTAATATCCAAACCTCGCTATTCTCCCGCGGCGGTAGGTTGATCGAAGACCACCAGATCTCAGCGTGACTTCATATGATGATAAATAGTGCCGACCATACCCGAGTCTAACCTTCCTTGTGGACCCATTCCAAAATGGTCCATAGAATGATTTCGGGAAAATACTTGAGACCATCGCCGGGTAATCCTTGAACGACCGTCCTGTAAGCTGCACCGAGCGCGGGACACCATAAATCACAGAGCTATCAACGCTAGCCCACCAACCCTACGAGGAGCGAACAACGCTGTCACATTTCTTACCAAGGTTCGTTCTCCGGACCGGGGATTGACAGGCGCACCGTTCCTCCAGCACGATAGTTTTGTTCTAGAAGTAGTTCTTTCAGTTACTGCTAAACGGCGTCTTCAAATGCCTCACATAACTGACGCCCTACTGAGGTCCTAATGGCCTTTGATCGCCAAGCACAGCTGACCACGGTCAACTTGGAAAACGCGATCATAACAGTGTCGTGGGAGCGGTGCCGGGAAGCGCGCGCGGTTTGCCGGCGATGCAGTCGTCAATGTCAGCCACCATCGATGGGCCATGAATGTCCGCGTACAACATCTCTTCCCTGAGCACTGGCAGGCAATACAACTTGACATGCGGCGTACGGAAATTGGAACCAAATGGTTTGATATCTGATGTCGGTGAATTTCAGGGGGTCCGCGGATAGATTTATACAAAAATGGTCATCGCGTTAATATGCGTCTGGTTAATTTGGACCCCGGCGGTTGGCCTCAGTAACACTGCCATTCATAACGCCTAGTCAATTCGCTCGCGCTAAGCCGAGCAATGTGTATTTCTCCCTAAGCTTCGCGGGAGATTAAATTCTCGAGCGTCATACATCGTTTTTGCATGTAATTGTGCATGCAAATGTTACGATAGTCAGCGGGGACCGTCATATCTGTATACGTTTGCATAATAAGTCCAATGGAGCTGTGGCGTGAATAGGGTAGGAACTTAACGCTGTTATCACCCGCCATTCGGTCCTCGTTTCGCCGGATTGAATGTAAAATTGACGACGCATATCCTTATCTTCTGCCTTTATCTGCGTTGAGATAAAAAGGTATTCGTTTCCTTCGCCACTGTGGACCGATGAGAATAAGTAGCATTCGAACTTCCATTCTACGAAGCGTGCTCAACCGAGACGAAGAGATGTATGTCAGTGGTATGTCCTAATATGCAAGAGACCGAGGGTTGAATTTGAAACTCAATCGAGAAAGAGAATCAATTGGAAGTAAACGTAATACGCTCTTCTTCGGGGCGCAACCGCAGCACGACGCTTCAAAGTCGTGTCAGCGCCGGCTTGCGAGGGGCACAACAACGTATAGACGTCAAGGGGGACATATGACGGAATCGGATGTCCACGTGAGTCCAGCTTGGAATAGGGAGAAGCTCGCCAATGATCCCCGCACCAGACGTAACCCTAATGCTGGGAATTTTGCCGTAAATCGACATGTCGCATGATAACCAAACAACGAGACATTTGGGCCAGAGGTCCGGTTGAAAACGCTAAGAACGCTTGAACGCTACTCCGTCGAACCGTAGACAAGGTCATGCGAAACGTTTCTTATAAAGTTCGGCGTTGCGATATAACTGAGAGCCGCAGTTTTGGTGCAGGAACGGACGAACGTTTATGAAGGTTTGCGGAGTCGTTGACGGAAAGGCTGTGTCAGCCGGAGTTGATAATGACGAGAAGCCCAGCGGCAACGCAAGAGTCCCTAGGATACCATGGAATGGTTTCAATACGCCAAAGGCTTGCGATGACGTTCAGGGACCAGTGGTATTTCATGTCCGGCACGACGTTGTGACGGGCGGTGGCTTGGATGGGTAATAACACCAAATATACGGATATCTCGTTCTAGTGTGGCACGGTTGTAAAACCATAGAGCAGTGGACAGAAGCTTTCTGTATGAGCATATGATGATCGGTTTTATTGTGTTCGCGGCCTAGTGAGAAAGGCCCATGTAGTTAGAACATGCAGCTATGCCATCCGAGGGTAAAAACAGGCGCCGTGACATCATCGTGGCAACGGGGAACGGGATACTGATAACTTGAGTATATGCGTGCTGTATGGTGTGTCGAGAGCGTGATTTCTTTTTCGGGGCATCTTGGATAACACAAGGCACTTGATGAGGCGATGATAGCACCTGTCACGGTCATACAACAGTCGTATCCTTCCTAGGCAATGCTCGCATGGAAAGATCCAAAACCTTGCGTAGGTCCAGAATGTAGGGAGACATCCCGTGTTCTTGAAAAGGTGTTCTCCTTCGGAGTAGCCAGGGGAATGGAGCGCCACGGTGTCACAAGCTCAAGTAGGAAGCTTCGAGCATGCAGTATTATCCCGCACACCGCCACCTCGAAGCGCATATACCTCAGCAAGGCGTTCCATGCCCTCGGTCAGGGAATCCAACCAAGGGAGCTCTTTAAATCCACCAGGCGCCGTTTTCAGGCTCAGAGTCCCAGTGTGGGATTCGGAGATATGTCGGGCACGGCGTCAATGGCCGCCAACGTCACAATAGGTATCTTGGTATTTCGTGGGCGGCGTGGACCGCCGCATTAATATTGTCGATCTACCATCCTGGCGGATATTTCAAATGAGCCACTAGCGCGTCTCAGTTATCAAGGATGGTCTAGGATAGTCGCCCGAAATCAACTCCTTCGATGAGGAGACGCAACAACCTGAGCCAAAAGCTGAATTACATTCCAAACCCGCTGTGAAATGTCAGACCGCGATAAAAGCAACAAACACATACTTATATTCAAGTCCAAGTCCCGGATTAATAGTATCGATGATCAAAACGGTAAGGAGGCGACGTCCTATAGGAAGTTAATTTAAACGCAACCTGAAACAGATTAAGGCAAGATATACAGCCATAATTGCCAATCGAACTCGGGGATCCCGTCGGGTGGATTTCAGTAGCATCAATGTAGTAGATCCGGGAGTGCATACCCTCTGTTGTGATCGGGATCATCGTGGCTATTTGAGATTCGGGTTTCCGTACGGCAGGTAGGGTCGCGGCCAAGTCGCAGCATGTCGCGGCGTGATCGAACGTGAATGTGCCATTAGCACATTCATGTGTAGATCTCTGAGAGATATACATATGTACATCTGATCGCAGTTCATGACGACGAAGACACACCGGGAGGAGCTTGGCAAAGTTTTGCCAAAACGTGACAACAAGCACACACACACGTGACTTGTCACACCGCGTCCCATTGACGCGCTGGCGCGACTCGCGAACAGATCGTTCATGTTTTGGCACGATATTAACGTACAACGTGAAAATCAAGAAAATATGATATACACCGCTCTCTGCTCTGCAAGTGTGCAGCCTGAGCTCCAGCTATCTATAGGTAGCAGTCGTAGTAGTACATATACACCAGTATCATCCCTGCCGTTACAAGGGCGATCCAGCTCGCCATGTACAAACCTGCCATGTGATGATACACGCAGAACAGGCCAGAAGAGAAAAGGAATCGAGAAAAGTGATGATAGTGATGGTGACAATGGCAAAAAAAGGAAACGATAGCAGCGCGACAACAAACGATGGGTTCTTGCCCCTGACAAATCCAGTACCTGTGCACCTGAGCGAGAGAAAAGAAATCTGATCGGAAATGAAGAGGGGAAGGGGAGAAAAAAAGAAAGGAAAGACAACTGGGAGATGATGGTGGGAGGATAGGGAAAATTAAAATAACGAGAATAGGAAGAAAAATGATGATGCAACAGCTTCTCAGTCCTGAAAATCGATGATAGTACATTCTACGCATTCATTCCTTCAGATGCTTCCTTCCTTTCGTTAATCCTGATCCGATGGGCCAGGTTATCTTGACCAGTGACGAAGCGCGATGCTTGTGCGATATAATGTGATGTGATGTGTGATGTGCTCCGGTGCTCGATGCAATTCGTGATATGATGGTTCGGTCCCTCCAGTGCGTTAGAAATCCATTGATGTATTGAAACAAAAAGAATCCGTGCCAGTCTAACGCCTGCGTGTCCTTGGGCGTGAGCGTGACTTTAGTTTGGGCACAGGAGGTGCGGGAGTGGCATCTACGTGCTCGCCGCCTTCCTCAGAATTGGTATTGGCCGAGTTGGTTCTCTTTGGTGGGGCCCTGGACCTCGGCTTTGCACGAGAAGTCGAGGTACGAGATCTCCTGATGGGAGCAGATTTCTCCTCCTCAGCTTCTTCCTCGTCTCCCTCCTCCTCGCCGGTATTGTCAAGACGCTTGACAGCTGTATCAATGCGCTTAACATCCTTGTTCGCACGACCTTTCTTTGTTTTTTCCTTGTCTGGCTCCTCCTCGCAAACAGTGCTACTTCCAGCGCTCTCAACGCCTTCCACGGACTCTGCCGACAACTCCCGCGAGTGGATGCGCGTGAGAGTAGTCGCCGAAGATGCCGGTGAATCACCTTTCTTCCGCTGGCTCCTACGCGGCTCTGGTGAGACAGATTTCTCAGCCACCTGTACTGGCACAGGGATTTCGATGAGCTCGCGCTTCGCTGCGCGCGTTAACATGAGCACTGGTTCCGGTTCCGGTAGTTCAGTGCTAGCTTCGACCTCATCGGGCACATCCTCTGTCTCCGGGTTGTCAGGAGGGGAGAATTCTTCCGGTTTCCTCGGACTCCTGGCGGTTGTAGCAGTCCTGCGCGTCCTTGCGCGCTTCCTCGGTGGAGGAGGCATGAGGAGATCGTCGTCATCATCTTCAATGACTTGCTCTTGGATCATGGTGGGCTTGCGCTTGCGCAGACTCATGCGGGTTTCGCTTTCAGATGGGACGTATGCGGTGTACCAGGGTTGGGAAGATAGGGCACTGGAATAGGCGTGTTGGAGGGAACCAAGAATCCATAGATTGTCTTGGATGGCTATCCAGCCGATGGGTGAGATGATGGGAGTGGGGGTGGTATCTGAAGCGGATGTTAGTACATGATTGACAGAGTCACACTGAGTGCAATAGAAAGTAGAATCGGTGCGAATCAAAGGCGAGGACGCAAGAATTACGGTGCATGGGACTACATGAGAGCGAACGTGTCAAGTAGACTCACCGAGTACGCTCTGCACAATAGCTGCAGTGTTCTTCTTCTGTTCCTTATTCCAAAAGACCCAATGTGCAGGGTGCATCGGACGATAGAACACGGCAAGAGCAGCAAGCGCTAATACTCTACTGTCGCTTGGGAGCTCGGGTGCGGCAGGTGGTGTACTGGCAGCAGCACTGAGAAACTCGCGGACGGCGGGTAGCATCACAGTGATGACGCCGTTTGCCAGGACACCGGGTGCCACCTGTAGGGGGTGTAAAACTGACTGCTTTGTGGGTGGGGGTGGGGTGGATTCTCGGGAGAGGACACGGAGAGGGTCGTACCGCGGGAATACAGGCTTTGGGGGAGTGCGGGGTGGTATGGATGGAGTATTCTGTGGGCCATCTGGACGAATTGAGGAGATTGGGAAGCGAGAGGGATGAATTGGGTAGTCGTGAAGATATGTGGGGTTGGCTACATTGTTCATTGTTATAGCCAAGACCTCACGATGACGGGGATAAGTTTGAGGGCGAGACAAGGATTGAATCTGAGGACAGAGAGAATCAATAGTCGGCATGGAGAGCGTGGTGGTCATGCTCATGATATAGAGTCCCAGGAGGTGATATGAGCTGATGGTAGACTAGATTTAAATGTTTAAGATGGGTAGTACACGCGATGAAAGGATGTTTGATGGAGTCAAGAGTCAAAAGGCTGCAAAGCCAATTTAACGTCAGAGTGAGTGAAATAATGTAAAGTAAATGCAGGGCTATTGCCTTGGCTCAGCCCGCCGGCTGCACGCCACGCCTCGCACATCTTTCCCATTTCAGCTTCATCTAAAGAAACACGCGGCGGCTAATTCTCCCACAAAGAAACAGCTAATCCGACATAATGTTAGAACGGTCACCATGACTTGGTTTCTCGCTGAGTACTGATTCTAATCTGCAACCCGCCTCCGTCGCTAGCTTCAACACCGCTGTAGTCCACAATGGATTAGTCTCATCTTCAACGTTAACCGGAGGTCCGGAACAATTTACACAGCTGTAAGTACTCTTTTGGTTTTACATCTAATCTTATCAAATCATCACGATCAGCTTGATCTGCTATACCGACTTATGTCCGACAAAAAATTTGAATCCCCAGCTGCCATCGTACGTATATGTACACATCATATCGATACAGACTGATACATATCACTTAGTATATATCGGATCGGAAGAATGATATCGATCAAGACGTGCCGAACTACCAGCATGCTGCATAATTTTCGCGGACGTGGTGTTAAGAGGCTTCACCAATATTAAAAGCGAGGACGTCTAGGTCAAAGGGCAATATTAATGTACTCGGCCTTAACAACCAAATCAGTCAGGGGCCCCGCGCGATACCTACAAAAGTCCACGTGACGAAGTGAAGTAACATTCGTGCACTCAGTTACTAGTAGTACTGTTAATGAGCATACCAGAAAACAACTCAGTATAAAAGGGACATTGATCGTCTGTCTGCGGCGGCCCCGCGCGAAAAACCACACCCTCGAGCCTCGAGGAAACCGACAGGCAATCGCTAACACCCGATTACCAAAACAAGATGTAATAACTATCGGGCACAGCCACACATAGCATGCACATGACGCGCAGCCACCAAAACTGCTTCTATCTGGCCTCAATGGAACAAGAACATGTGTCGCCTCCAAGATCAGAGCTGACCCCTGGCGTCGTTCCTCGGTTTGTCAGGAGCTTCAGCAAGGCCAGCGCTACAACAGAGCAATCGACGCCGACCGCTCATGCAGACGCCCAGGAAGCTTCATCGCCTTCCACATCAAAACTTCCAAAAGCGAAGATAAACACTATAGACAAGCTCTTGAAGTATGCCCGCAAGGCGAAGAGGCCAGGATTTCCTCCGTCCTCCTGGCTCGTAGAGGAAGGCAACCAAGGTCAACAACCGATCACTCCCACTGCTGCATCCCTTCCTGCTCCCCCCATCATTGATGATGAGATCCAGGAGGCAGGCAGCAGTGCGACTGCTGATGTGATTCAATTTGATGCTGGAGAAGTCGGAGTTGAAAGCGAACCACCAGAAGCTGACACTCTCGCTCGAAAAATCCAAGCTATGATCGCATCATTGCCCTCCATGCCATCTGGGCTACCCACATCTTTCCCCCCCTTTCATACTACACCGTCTGGAACGCCAGTCATAGATTCCAATGACAACCCTCCATCCCCAGGATTTTCTGACTCAAAGTTGATGACATTCCTCACTTCATTCACTGTCATGAATGGGTCAGTCGATCGTGGGAGAGAGTCCGTCTGGTCTGTGTTAGACCGATTGCGATCCCCTCTCGCAAAGAGCGATAGCACCGCTGAGCCAAATGTAGAGGAACCGCGCACTGGCGCGGAGTATGAAGATGATAATGGATCGGTGATGATGTACGGGCCTTTAGAGCCCACGGAGGACTCGGAGATAGAGATTGCGCGTTCTGAGATTGTCTCCCACAATGGAGATGGAGAAGAGATACGCACGCCCCAGCTGACTTTCGTTCCCCTTCCATCAGAGTCAATCGAACAAGTCCTCGCCCAGAGCGAGAGTTCCGATAGACGCAAGGGGAAACAGAGGGCGGGCTCTGAGCAGGTTACATCCAGCAGCAGAGTCGAACCAGGGGACACAACTGCTGTTGGTGTAATTGAGCAAGTTGAATATCGTGTCTGGCTCCCGTCGCCCACAAAAATATCCATCCAGGCGATGTGGTGGGGGTTCCGAATGTAGGCGTTTTTACTGATATAATCGCGCACCTTTAAAACTGATGTGGCTGATCTTAGTTACCTTCCACCTCCTGTGCTCGATGCTCTCAATGATAAACAGCTTGAAGCTGCGAAACGCGCTGCCTTGATCACAACCGCATTGAAGTGGCTACTGGATCATTTACCAATCTCGCTCATGCCGCCACAGCTGCGTACCCCGATGAGTTTTCTCCGCCGACTTGTACCATACCTCGGCTACATCGGAGGTTTCATTGCCTGGAGTTGGTCAGCAGTCAAAGTTTTTGATAAAGGTACCCGTCCATCAACGTGACTGAATCTTATCTAATTGCTGTCACAATGTTTCCATCAAAACTAGGGTACGGAATAGTTCTCACTGCCACCTGGCTCCTCCCAATCGCCCTCATACCGGGAACGTGGGAAGCAACTGACTTTCCGGCGTTGCAAGCGGAACCCCAGACCCCCGCTTGGTCGAAGTATTAACAGTGCTAGTCTTGTTGTTCGATGTTTCTTGGACTTGCAATGTTTTTGCTGCTGCACATAGGAATTGTATTGTTATTCACGAGGTTTGTAGCTGTATATATGTCTTGTATTTGCCTCAGTGATGTGTGTTTTGAGTTACATATGTCTAATTTCCTCTGCTTTCCTCTACAATTTGTCTGGCAAATTACATTTTATCGATTGATCACACTCAAGGACTCGTCTCTCTATCTACCTCTATTCCGATCTGAGGACAAGAAATTCAACACAGCCGTATTAGTGATATGCACAATCTGTTTTGTAATGCGCGCTATTTAAATGAATCAGTGCAGTGTTCGAAATTCTGCTCGACGAGACATTGAAAACTGCATGAGGTGAGCCCATCGTCTTCATTGAGGAAAGGTATCAATGCCATTTCTGCGTTCATCCTCGTCTGGAAAGTGCCAATTGATGTTTTGTCCTCTGCCGGAGCTCCTGAAACTCCTGCGACCGCCTTATACACGTCTAGCATTTCACGGCTGTAGGGGTGTCAAGATATGACTATCGACATCACTCTCGTATGTACTCATCCTTTTCTTTTACATACGCAATCACTCTTCGTTACATGCTTCATACACGTTCTCCTTTGATTCTCCGTCTCAATCTGCGTATTAATACCTCTCCTCGTCGAATATCGTTCTGTAGTCTTTTGACTCGATACAAAGTCCCGTTCCTAGTCCGAGCCTCTCGATTCGTCACAAGGGGGTTGGCTGTGAACCGTCGTCTGGCTTCAGAGCAGATGGTGAGAGTCGCGCTTGCACACAGCAAAGAAGTGAAGGTTACTAGTTGGCAACAAATAAGACCAAGTCTTGGATCCACTACGGTCACCGATCACTAACAATCTCGTAAGTCGTGAAACCAAGAACCGAGAGAAACCAGAAAGATGAACTTCCATCTTGAACCATGTCAGCGAGAGCGAGGCCAGTAGATGCAATGGAGAAGCGCTCTTGTCCAACACGATCGGTTTCCCATCGTTTCGGTTACAGTCATTTGACCCCTTATTTGTTAGAGGCTTATCAAGTTGTCTTTGTGCCTGTTATTCAGTTCTCGCTGAACCCCTTTTATTCGTTATACATGTGTCAATGGGCCACTCCTGCTTGGTGCCTTGAGCTTTCCATCAGAGGGTGTTCTAGAGTTTCGTGTTGACCTCTCTGTCCGGTACCCGGGTCTCGCCGCGAGGGTCGAAAATAAATAATCTTTTGTTCCGCCTCGGCGCCGACATGAGACAGGAGCGCACGTAAACACACATGATATGATCTGGTTTGCCACTTTCGATTCTTCCAGCCTTGCTGAAGCTTCATCAATGGACACTCCTTCGGTCGTTGACTCTTCCAATGCGACCGAGGATAACTTGAAAGCTATATGTGGGGAGGTTACATCATCGAGAATCTAAGTTGGCACGTACGCACCTCGGGGATATATTTTATGTTTCGAAGAAGCGTGAAGGTAAATTCCATTTCATGGACAGACTATCACATAAAAAAGGAGGTTTCGCCACGATGATTGGACCTCCGAGGATCTATACACCACAAAAATGTTGTCAGCAGGTTTCGAACCAACTCCGGGAAACAGATTTGGATTCTGTTGGGGTGACCACTTGGCTAAGACCAGTTAGATGACCCTCCAACGAAACGATCAATAATTGAATGTCAAGGTGTGTTGCAAAAAGAAGTTTAGCAGGTTTCGAACCTATACGACCTAAGGGAAACAGATTTCGATTCTGTTGTGGTAACCACCTGGCTACGACCAGTTAGGATGAGTCTCTAAAGAAACCATCCATTAGTCGATGTCAAGGCGTGTTCTGATAGAAAAAAAACTTGTTGTCTGCAACCTGCACAGTGCAAGAGAAACAGATTTTTGATTCCGTTGAGGTAACCACTTTGGTCAGGATGAAGTTGAGAACCCCCAAGGAACTGTCCATGAGTGAATGCGAAGGTGTGTACCGAGAGAGAGAAAAAGTTGTTGGTAGTTTTCGAACCTGCAGTCCAAGAGGAACAGATTTTGACTCTGCTGGGGTAACCACCGAGCTAGGACCAGTCATGGTGAGGCTCTGAAGAAACCGTCCATGAGCCAATGCCAAGGTGTGCTGCAGGGAAAAAACCTTGTCATCGGCAGGTTTCGAACCTGAGCAGTCCAGGAGAAACAGATTTTGACTCTGGTAACCACCTGGCTAGGACCAGTCATGACGAGCCCCTGAAGAAACCGTCCATGAGCCAATGCCAAGGTGTGCTGCAGGGAAAAAACCTTATCATCGGCAGGTTTCGAACCTGAGCAATCCAAGAGAAACAGATTTTGACTCTGATAACCACTTGGCTAAGACCAGTGAAGTTGAACCTCCGAAGAACTGTCCATGAGTGAATCTTCAAGGTGTATTCCGATATATATATAAAAGAAATCTTGTCGTCAGCGAGTTCGACAGATTTTGCTTCTGTTGTGGTGACCACCTGACTAAGACCGGTTAAGAAGGACCTCTGAGGAAACCATCCGTGAGTGAATCTTCAAGGTATGTTCTGATAGAAAAAACTATTATCCACAGGTTTCGAACCTGTGCTGGTACAGTCCAAGAGACAGATTTAGATTCTGTTGTGGTGACCACTTAGCTAGGACCAATTAAGATGGACCCCCGAGGAAACCATCCATGTCAAGGACAGGCCCGGGTACGGTGATAAGACATTTATCGGCAGGTTTCAAATCCACACCACCTTGGCAGGAGAGCAGACTTCTAATCTGTTCTGAGGCTTAAGATAGACCTTGAAGGATCTATCCATGAGTGAATGTTCAACTTGAATGTGTGGTAGGAGGAAAAAGATTGTTGAGCAGGTTTCGAACCTGTAACAGATTTCTGTCCTGTCACTGTCATACTGCCCACTTGCCTAAGACTAGACTCAAGATGGACATCTGTAGTATGAGTCGAACATCATACATTGACAGTAGAGGCACATAGGATTAGCAGTGCATCTGCCAACGCAAAACACTGGTTTGGTTCGATGCAGAAAACATGCCAGGGATAAGCGAGTCGGGCGCTAACCTCTCCAAACGGTCTTTCTATACCCGATATGGAAGGTACTGTAGATCGTCTGACGTCATGGTTTATGGTGCAGCAACATCGACGTCACACCATCCAATCGTATATAAAACCTCAATCCTTTCGTCCCCGACCACATTCTCCTTTACCTAAACTATCACATCTATTTTACAAACATGTCTGATTTGAGCCCAGAACAAGCCCGTCTCGATCCCTACTCCAGTCTCGCAGAGAACACGAATCTCACTGTTCAGGAGAACATCACCGGTACACATTCTATTTCACAAGTACCTGGTTCATCGCACTGACGACTCGTCAGATTTGCATACCGTCATCAAAAATGCAAAGATCGGAATGCTCGTCACGCGCGATGCAAACGGGAACTTGCATTCCCGAGCAATGACTCCTGCTACGCGTACGAATCCAATCCTCGCTGCATACCACTCTTCATTCTAATATGCGCGTTGCCTTGTAAAGCATACAGCGACACGCAGCTGAACCTCGTGTTCCTCGCGAACAACGTGTCCCACAAGTTCGAGGAAATCGAGAATGATGCGCACGTCAATGTTAGCTTCTGTGACCCATCCTCCACAGATTGGGCGTCCTACTCCGGTAGAGCCAGAGTGACTCAGGACAAGGATCTGATTAATAAGCATTGGTCTTCGATGTGCGTTTAACTGCTCATGCATTGGCATATTTTGATTGAGCGCAGGATTACCGGCTACATCGGCGACCTGAAGGATGGTATCCACAAGGGCGACAAGAATGACCCACGCGTTGCCGTGATCGAGGTCATTCCGGATGAGATCAAGTTTTGGATTACGAAGCACTCCTCTGCGGTGCGTACAGCGCAAGTCGCTTATGGCGCTGCCACAGGCAAGGCCACGTCTCCTGGAGAGTTGCGCATCATCAGCAAGGAAGAGGTCAGTGTTCACGTGAATGAAGGGTCGACCACGCTTTAATGTGTGTCTGTAGATTCAACTTGCGCAAGGGCTTCAATCCAAGTAGTTTCTTTTTCGTCCATCATACTTGTACTACCTTGTGAGGGCCTGCCCTGTATATCAGAAATTTCCTTTCAACACATGTACCGCTCGGGGAAATTAATTTATGTGTATTCCATATGTCCTGTGGAGTCCATTTTCTGTATCATAAGTGGCGACTTCCCTTTCGACTAGCCCGAGGAGATGACAAGCGATGAGATGATAGGGAGTCCTGATTCTCGTGCATGGCCTCGGCGTAACTGTCATGGATTTCAGAACCATAGCGCACGGGAAGGGAAAGGTACTGTACAGGAGTTTGTATCTAACCAATTCTTCTTCAAGCTCTTCGTTTCGTAGCCGAGCCATTACAAGCTGGTTCTGAACGACCGCTTAGTCAATGTATGAAATGACAATGTTTATGTCACGACTTACAAGGATTTCGACGTGCTCTGCATTTAATTGCGCCATATTCGTATCAAGTTCTTTCCTGTCATTGCAGTCCACGCATTCAAAGATGGTCAGCTGTGCTTGTCGACGAGCACTCACACTTGCGCGGACAAGCTGCGATTATTGTTTCGCAAGGTATCGATTTCGATGGCATGCGCATCTCGGGTCCGAACAAGGTCTTCATACTCGTGTGAGTAAGTGTCCAACATGAATGGCGTGATCTTCATAGAGATGGCGTCCACCACGAACGCATCCACATCATACTTAACGCTCTTATCGGAACCAGTGATGTGGTCTTCAGGTGATTCCGAAGGCTCGATCTATCAATTTCACTGTGAAGCAGAGTGCAACGATAGGATGGCGCGACGTACCTTGTACCGATCAAAAATCTTATTCTTCAGAAATGCGAGGATATCATCAAATTTGAGGGTAAGTAGCTCGTCTTCATTCTTCTGGAGCAGCACGATGCTGAATGCAAAGATGGCTTCTATGCCACTGGCCAAACAATTGTCATATATCCGGACTACAATTTCTAGTGGAAACCTGAAGTTCCACTATTGAGTTACACTACGCGTCTTCAAAATTGCAGGCTTACCGATAGCTGAAGAGCGTTAGAAACCACTGCGAGCAGAACATGCTAGATTTAATGCCTTGTCTAAGGAAATGAACGTGGAGCACGGGTAATAGTTCTTCTATCAATCGATCGAACTGTTGTCGCTTGAGACAGTGATCGCAGATCCAACTGAGAGGCATACCTGGTACTAACATCGGAGAGTAAGTGTGAATGAAAATAGCTGTTGTATTGGATCTCTACATACAAGTCGGAGCTGCAGTTTAGGCATCTCTGGGAGAAAATGACCCCGGAGATCATAAGAGTGCATCAACCTCACGAGGAGTGAGAAGGCCTCTTCGTCTGGCATCTAGGTCGTAAAAAGTAAAATCAAATTGAACTGGAGCAACTAAAAGCTCACATTGAGAAGGAGTACTGCTACAACGAAAGGAAGACCTTGACAATAACCAACTTGAGGATCGTACAATGAGTATGCTTTAAGAACGTTAAAAAGATGTTCTTGGCCGATGCCCTGTCCATCGGTAAAGAAATCGTGGTGAGGAAAGGTTCTGTGAAGTCAAGGTCAAGACATAAATATGGACATTCAAAGAAAATTTGAACCTTCCGAGATCTCGCGTGATTGCTTTTCATGAGGACTGGACTCCTTGAGAAGCGAAAGGTATGTATTCTCTAGTTCGGCGTTCTTTGACGCTGCCCTGCCTCAAGCGTCTTATCAGTGGTGGAGCTGAGTGTCAGGAAGCACCGTACATTAACTGCCACATCATTCCACGAAGTGCATCCGGAATCCCTTTTTCGATCGCTTTGGCTAGTTTTTTGGGATTCGAGGCTGCAAAACCTTGATAATCTACGATACGAGATGAATACCGGATACAAGATCGCTTAGAAAGTTGTCACATTACCTGAAATGACAGCTCCCCAGAAACCTTGCACTGGAATCAGAACTGAAAAATGGTGCATAGTCACTCTTACCCCAGTCTATGCCTCCCTGTTCAGATTCTGTTGCCTCAGCACGTCGCTCGTTATGAAGGCGCAAAAACTCTTCGTGAAGCTTCTGCTGCCCTTCTCCAGCACTCCGCAATGCTTCTATACTGCTTTCATCGCGGGTACCCTGTGATCCGATACGCGCAAGGATATTACTTCCAGGAGCAGATGGTATCGTTATTGTCGAAGCAGACTTCTTATGTGAGAAATGACGTAAGGAAGAAAAAGCTTTCGAGGGTGTTGATGAAATAGTTGTCCTGCGGTTCAGCTTCGGAAGCGGATCGTCCGCGCCTGGCTCTGTGACAAGGCTGGTATTTTCTGAGAGCGGAACAGTTGAGAAGCTTGGATCGTCATCAAGGATTACATCGTTATAGTCGGACTCCGCGACAGATCCTCTTGGGGAAAGTTCGTCGTATGTTGGGCCCTTTGGGGAAAGCAGTGTATCGAGAGGTGAAGGTGGATCCGGTTTTGATGCTACCGCAACAGAAACATCATTTCCGGTACTTCCGTTTGACATTTGAACAAATTACGCTGGAAGATGGTACATGGGGTATCAACACACAGGGCTTGTAAACCAAGGTAGCCTAAGCCTGGATCCAGAGCGTCTTCAGGCACTCGTTCTCGATCATGTATTGTCACGTGGCTCTCATGTCAAAATTTCACAAAGCCAGTTTGTGCACCACTGCCATGTGCATCTTTCAAGATTCAACGTGATGAAGCCTTGCAACGCTTATGGATTCAAAGCACTCGCAGTGTTCTAGTCACGAGTATCCTCGATTTCCGTTGGACATGAGCCCGTACTTCATCTCGCAGTCACTTCCCAAGTTGAACGGTCTATTAATGTAATCGTTTAAGAACACGACTGCATCTGTAGCCCATTAACTAGGCAGGTTATCATGTTTCTTACTGTGACCAGTCGCAATGTATTACTTCCTGATTTTGATCTGCCACGACCTGCGACGATCAATGTTGACCTCAGGACTGGCAAAATAATCGAAGTCCGCTTGGAGTACATTGGCGATGAAGCGTGTAAGAAAAGCGGGGATCTACATTTCGTTGATGCTGGAGACAAAGTTGTTCTTCCTGGGCTGGTCGAGTGGGGGTCGTTCCTCGTTACAAAGCACTATTGCTAACTATCACAATGACAGTGCCCATGTTCATCTAGAGGAACCCGGAAACCAGGACTGGGAAGGCTTTCGGACCGGTACACAAGCCGCAGCTGCTGGAGGCGTCACCGCTCTAATCGATATGCCCGTCGATTCAAGTCCGCCCACCACCACAGCAAAGAACCTTGATATCAAACTGTCGCTCTGCTAGTGGACAGTGTTGGGTAGATGTTGGATTTTGGGGAGGAGCGATTCCTCAGAATCAAGTAAGTGAACCAGCAGATTCCAGCGCGCCAGGTGTTCATCATCTACAGGCCGAGTTAGGACCCCTCTTATCCGCTGGCGTCAGAGGCTTCAAGTGCTTTTTGATCGATACAGGCATCGAGGTAATTCAAAGTCAAAATTCTGTGCATATCTATGTTTATGCCTGCTTTACATAGGAATTCCCTTGCGTCTCTGAGAGTGACCTTCATACGCACATGTCCCACCTCCAAGTAGGGCTTTGTTAAGCATGAAAACAATGGCTATCCTCTAACTGGCAGCACTTTTCAAAGAATTCTGTCATGATTTTCCACGCTGAAATGCAGACCGCATCTTCACCAGCCCAGCACCGGCTTAATCCAAGGTCATACCAGGAATTCCTCTCTTCGCGTCCTAAGGAGCTTGAGGTGGACGCTATCACTTTCATTACTCGCCTCCAAGCAATGTACCCCTCAGTTTCCTGCCACATCGCCCATCTATCGGCTGCAGCCGCCTTGCCCATCATCCGTGCCGCCAAGGACCGCGGATCCAAGCTTTCCGTTGAAACCTGTTTTCACTATCTATGTTTATCAGCAGAGGATATCCCAGATGGTGCAACCGAGTACAAATGCACCCCTCCAATTCGCGAGGACTCCAATAGAAATCTTCTCTGGGACGCCCTCGTGGATGGTACCATTGATTGTGTAACCTCCGACCACAGCCCTTGTCTCATTGAGATGAAGGGGCTTGAACACGGCGATTTCATGGAAGCCTGGGGTGGTGTCAGTTCTCTAGGCCTTGGATTAAGCCTTCTATGGACGGACGGAAGGAAGAGAGGCATCTCGCTTGGACAGATTATCCGTTGGATGAGCATTGAAAATGCTGAGTTAGCAGGACTGTCTGGTACGAAGGGCCAGCTGAAAGTGGGATATGATGGCGACTTGGTGATCTGGGATCCGGAATCAGAGTTTAAGGTGAATTCTAGTTCTGCTGCTGCTCCTGTAATGATAATCGGTCGAGTGATAGGTTTCGAAAGAACATTTGTATTTCAAGAACAAGTTGACCCCATATGAAGGCATGACTCTGAGAGGCCTCGTACACAAAACATTCGTTCGTGGTAGATTGGTTTACGATTCGGCACTTCAAGATGGGTTTACAGGTCTTCAGCCTTCCGGAGAGCTACTATAGTACCGTATTTGCGCGACAATTCTTGTGTGCAGTGTGTTGTGAACTGGGCAGAACTTTGCGGTCTCGAATTTGCGATGACCTGCGTTAGTTTGGTGATTGTCGAAAGTCCTTGAAATCACGCTATCTGAGTGCAAGCAGTGACGGTGAACTTTCGGTCAGGATAGACTAATAGAAGGAAGTTTACACGGTAGAACCGCGATTAACTGATTGGGTGGCGCCAGGGCTCAGCAAGACGTCGATATCGAACACTGCCAGCCAGCTGGGCTGGGCACCTAGTAGTACGAAGCAGCATTGACCCTGGATCACTATTGCGTACATCAGCAGTACATACATGTGAGTGTTCATTCATCATTCGTATCGTATTTGCAGTCGATCACATTGCGTCGTCAGTTGAAAATAAGACCATGAGCAACCAGTCCCTAGTTGTTACTAGCCGGAATGCCCTGCTGCCCGGTTCAGATCAGCTGCAGGCCAGCAACGATCACGGTGAACATTAACACAGGTAAGATCACAGACATCCAAACAGTGTATACAGAACGAAGTCCGGGTGGAGAGACGACATTCATTGATGCAGGAGAAAAGTTTGTTCTTCCTGGACTAGTCGAGTGAGTGTTTTGTCCCGCATCCACAAGAAAGCTTGTCATTTGAATGCCTTTGCAGTGCCCACGTTCATCTAAATGAGCCTGGTCGAACAGACTGGGAGGGCTTTTGGACTGGTACGCGAGCAGCCGTGGCAGGAGGAATCACCACGGTCGTGGATATGCCGTTAAACTCTATACCGCCCTACGACCACTTTACGGAACCTTGAGATCAAGCGACAAACTGCACAAGGCCAGTGCTGGGCCGACGTTGGTTTTTGGGGTGGAGTTATTCCAGGGAACCAGGCAAGCTACGCGTCCGAGACTGTCTGAGGAGATCAACTCATACTGAAATAAAGGCGGACCTGAAACCGTTGGTGGCTGCTGGAGTCAAAGGATTCAAGTGCTTTTTGATTGAAAGCGGTGTCGAGGTGAGTGAGAGGTTGCGTCCTATCTTCCAATGACCCATAACATTTTTCCAGGAATTCCCTTCTGTCTCAGAACATGATCTCCATGAACACATGAAAGAGCTCCAGGTCAAATTGCATATGAGGACTCAGTGAGCTGCTAGCTAACTTTGTTCTCTCGCAGGATCAATCGACTGTCCTATTATTTCACGCAGAGCTTGAGGACGACTCTTGTTCAGTGCAAAATCATGAGGACCACGATCCAACAGCATATCAAACTTTCCTCTCCTCTCGCCCTGAAGAGCTTGAGGTCAACGCTATCTCTTTGATTACTGCCTTACAAGAGAAATACAACTCCCTTCGTTGCCACATCGTCCACTTATCTGCGGCTTCAGCTCTTCCCATTATTCGTGCTGCGCGTTCTCGTGGGTTGAATCTGACGGTGGAAACGTGTTTCCATTATTTGTGCCTCTCAGCGAACGACATACCACATGGCCGACCTGAATTTAAGTGCTGCCCGCCTATTCGTTCCGAATCAAACAGAGATGCATTATGGGAGGCATTGATAGACGGCACCATCGACTGTGTGGTATCCGATCATAGTCCATGTGTAGCAGAGTTGAAGAAGTTCGAGGAAGGTGATATCATGACCGCCTGGGGAGGTATAAACAGCCTCGGCTTTGGCCTTAGCCTTCTATGGACAGAAGGCCAAAAGAGGGGCATTAGCCTCGGTCAGATTATTCGCTGGACAAGCGAAGAAACCGCGAAACATGCCGGGCTTTCATCATCCAAAGGGCGGTTATCAGTAGGGCATGATGGCGACCTCGTTATCTGGGACCCTGCAGCCGAGCTCAAGGTATAATATAAACACTTTCAATTTTGCCCAGTCATTCTTTAACGTTAATGTCGACAGGTGTCAAAGGAACACTTCCACTTCAAGAACAAATTCTCTGCATACGAAAGGATGGTGCTAAATGGAGTTGTGCAGCAAACAGTTTTACGTGGCCGCGTGACCTACGATAGGACGCAGAACGGCTTTGATGGCCTTACGCCCACCGGCAAGCTCTTATGATTGCTAGTGAGGTGCTACAGCCCTTCTCCCCCATTCAGCGCAAGTATTGGAGTTGCACGATTTTCTAGGCCAGTGATATTTCGGAACGCTGTCTTTCTTCCATCGAATTCAATACATAGAGCTTACAAGTCGAAGTCGAACCACGTTGAACGTTGAACCCCTGATCAACGTACCCTGTGTGCTATAATTAGAACTACTGAACGTGTTATTGTACATCACACGGCAATATTTATACACTCCACTTGAAGACTCCCTGCAGAGTCCAGATCGTACTTCGCTTCGTCGACATACTTCAACTTGGTCTTCGAAACTACACTACGAATTTGCTACGGATAGCAAAAATGCCTCTTCTTAACAGAGTATCTACATGCACAAGGGCCATCCGTTCAACAGGCAGTTCTAGTGTCGCCAAATGTTCTGTATCTCCAGTGATTAGGTAGACATTTCACGCCTCTATAGTTACTTTTGGTTGCTGATCCGCACCATCTCAGAAACGATCATGCCCGACCTTGTGAACAAGTCGTTTCTGCAGGTAGTAAGCCCAAATTGCAGTCGCGGGCGATGACTACCTTCTGCCGATTCCCTCGTTGCCTTTGGACAACAACATGTCACCAGAGGCCTCGGCCGCCTCACAGAAGCTGTCATGACGAAGGGTGAGGGTTCGTACGTGACCTTTGAGGATGGGCGCAGGATGCTAGATTTCAGTTGTGGTATTGGTGTAACAAACCTTGGTGAGTTGCTACGCGCTCCACAGTGAATCATTCACTGGAAGTTCCATGATGACACGCAACGTCAGGTCATTGCCACCCGAAGGTTTCCAAAGCTGCAGCGGATCAATGCGTGAACATTGTACATGCTCAAGTATGTTCTAATTTCAAAATGCTGTTTGAGATAAACCCACCCTTGGTGCTCTTCTAGTGCAGCATCTCATTCCATGGCCCTTACTTGCGCCTCATCGAGAAACTCCTTCCAATCATGCCTGATCCCTCGCTGGACTCGTTCTTCTTTTGGAACTCAGGCTCTGAGGCCATCGAGGCATCTCTCAAGATGGCACGACAAATTACTGGTCGACAGAATATTATCGCCATGCAGGGTAAGTTGTCGGCGAGTACTCGCGCAACGAAGAGCTCATGAAGAATTTCCGCCATCTCAGGCGGCTATCATGGTCGAACGTTTGGTGCCATGGCTGTTACGAAGAGCAAGACGGTCTATAGTGAAGGATTCTTTCCGTTGATGGTAATTTTGGTGTTCAGGACATTAGCGACTGGACTGACATCATCGTAGCCTGGAGTATTCGCCATACCGTTCCCGTACTGGCACCAACTAGGATTACCAATCAATACGAGTGAAGAAGAGCTCGTCCGACTCTCATTGTATCAACTAGATCTTGTTCTCAAACAACAAACAGCTCCCAGGGACACAGCTGCCATCATCGTTGAGCCTGTACTTGGAGAGGGTGGTTATGTACCAGCCCCTGCATCCTTCCTAAAAGGATTGCGTGCCGTCTGCGACAAACATGGCATCCTCCTTATTGTAGATGAAGTACAGAGCGGATTTGGTAGGACTGGCAAGTACTTCAACGTTGAATATAGTAGTGTCCGACCCGATATCTTGACAATCGCAAAGGTTCAGTGGATGGATTTCCGTATTAGTCATGGCTGATTGAATCATTGATTGACCGTAGGGCCTTGCAAATGGATTCCCACTGAGTGGTGTAGTCAGCAGGAAGGAACTTACAGATAAGTTAGTGCCGGGTTCCATGGTCAGTCCATTACCACTAGGACTCCGTGTTTTCCCGTTCCGTTGACCGTGCATTTCAGGGAGGTACATATGCGGGCAACGCTGTATCATGCGCCGCTGCGGTGGCTGTCGCTAACGCCTTCCGTGAAGAGAGGGTACTCGATAATGTTTCTGCTCGGTAAGATCATTACATAAACGATACAGAATTCTTTAGTCTCACAGTTTCTAGCTCGAGCGAACTTTTAACATCGTTAAAGTCCCTCCGTGATGACCCCGAAGTAGGAAGCATGGTCGTCGATATCCGGGGTCAGGGCCTGATGATTGCTGTCGAGTTTGCATCCCCGTTGTACTCTCCAACAGATCCCGCACTAGTTTCATCCGCGCCGAAGAACCTCGCAAGTCGTGTGGCGAAGCGCTGCATGGAGAAGGGGCTTTTAATTCTCACGACTTCATTATACGAAGTCATCAGGTTCATACCGCCTCTGAATATCTCACAGGGTGATCTGCAAAAAGGTTGTCAGATATTTGCGGAGTCAGTCAAAGAGGTTGTCCGAGAAGGTTGAATAGTGTCCTTTGTACCGAGTATCGATACGTTTGTAGCGATCGGACTGACTCGTCTATGCATTTGTATTTGTCAGAAGCACTAACCCTAATTAGTGTAGTGTAATGACCACTGACCTAAGCTTAACCTAACCTAGCAAGCAATTGGCAAAAGCCTCGCGCCCTCACTGAGGCAAACGTGAATGTCAACCTCGTCAATATTTCAAACTCAAAATCGAGGCCAACGTTCTCTGCACTTCCTGCTCACTAACTGTCATGTTATTCCATACTATGTTGCTCCACATTCTCCTGTCTGTACTCTCGAGCCTGATGGGTTCAGCCTACGGGTACATACCAGCGCAACCTTCCAACGACACGAGCCAGATAAATGGCATGAATGCATCGAGGTTGATTCTTCAGTGGTACCCGAACGGGTGAGATTATCCAGCGCGCCTTCCGCGTTCGCATCCTGAGCTGCTCCGTTTGGTTGCTTGGGTTGCTTTCTTAGCTCGGATTGGGAGTACGTGTCCTATCAGCTTGTGGGCGCAGGTAGCAACGGTACTACTAAGGTGCATAGATATCAGTAGTATGAGCTGACAGCGATCTCATCCTTTAGCAGGGGGCACTCGTGCACTTCACTGAAAGTTTAGCAATGAACGAGTCAAGTAGGCGTGCATTTTTATTGACTCGGCGAGGACGCTCATACAAACATTCGCAGCAACCACTCCTTGGATAGCTCTGATATCATGTGATGCTAACTCGACGAACTTCTCTGAAAATGTCGACATATTTACGATGGCGAGCAGCGCAGGTGCTCAATCTGCTGTAAGAACGTTCGGTTGCTTGTATGTCGACAATTACAATACCAATTCCTTCATTGCAGCTTCTTTATTCTCTTTATTCCAACACTTGTCTCATCAATCAAGAGTATGCTGATCCCGCGAATTTTGACCAAGTCTTCGATATATTCTCAACTCAGTCGCAATCGGTCTCCAGGTGAGTTAGACTGTGTATGCTTATGTAGGCCTGGTTTATGAGTCCTTAGAAACATTCAATACGAGTTCGGGCAAGATGGACCCAAGAATCTATCTCTTTATGGGAACTTCGATGCAACTACCTTAAACGCATCTGCAACAACTATCAGCCAGTCTATAATGTCAGGCTATCCTACGGTTCCTGGCTATCTACTTGCAACTTTGCAAGCTTGGAACGCGACAGGAACTAACTCTACGGGCACAAGTAGCAATAATAATGGCTCCACTAGTTCGACTACGAATGAAGGCGGTAAAAAAGAGACGGGTTTAGCTATGTGAGAACAATTTGATAGTGTACTTGATTTACAGGCTGAATCTGATCACAGGATCATCCTGTATGCTATCACCGGCTGCGTTTCAGCTTTATTTTGCGTCGTCATCATATCGGGGGTATGTTGCATTGCACTATTGGTTATTGTTGGTCTAAACATTGTTCAGGCAGTCAGGGCTTTACGCCATCCCGAGAGATACGGTCCCCGAATCGCAAATGGTGACCCCCATGGTGGACGTGGCGGTAGCCAAAGCCGAGCCAGTGGCCTTGGACGGGCCATTTTGGACACGTTCCCCATTGTGAGATTTGGCACTGCGCCGGATGCCACTTATCCAAGTGCCAAAGACGTTGAATCGCCCCCGGTGGATGCTGATACAACACTGCAACAATCAAGTGATGCTGTGGAGATGGGCATCATCTCCAGTCAGGCAGTCCAGCAACCATCACAATCAGTAGGAGAGACCAACGAGAGATACATTTCTACTACTGGTGCCACAGTAAATGTGCATGGTCAAGAGGATTCGCAGTCCGATGCACGAGCTGTACCTCGGTTGATACCTCCACGACTGCCTGCTACTTCCGAGGCGCCACCATCTTCAGCACGGGATGTCGATCCGCTTATGCCAGAGGCAATCGGACATGAGACATGTCCCATCTGCATCGTTGACTTTGAGGAGGGTGATGAGCTAAGGGTGTTGCCTTGCGAAGGAAAACATCGTTTCCACCAGACGTGCGTTGATCCGTGGCTTTTAGAGCTTTCGGGTTCTTGCCCATTGTGTCGACAAGGTTAGTCTTACCTCGTGAGCTCAAGATACCTCTTACTAACGGACGACAGATTTTCACGCTCTTGAGACGATGTTGTCAGGGGATGCGGGTGATCGTGATGCTCTTTCTGTGTTTCCTTCCAACCGGCGTGTCAGCCAAGCACCCTCGATGCAACAAAATCGCTTTTCTCGCTATTTACGATCTGCACGACGGCGGCACCGTGAACTTGGAGGAAACGATGATGATACTGTAGACCCGTCTGTGGCTACGACTGTTGACCATTCGCTATGACCCTTTGGACATTTACCCATATACCAATCACAGTCATTGAATCGTGCTTAGTCACATATCTATACTTACCTTCTGCTGGGCAATTTATCAAGGGTTCTGCGAACAAAGGAAACAGTATACTTGCAGTATACTAAGTCAAATTCGATGGACCGGACCTTCCGGTGAACAAATGCTATTTGATTGAGGGCTCGTCGACTACCAGTTATTGCTGCCGAGCACTTATACGGTCGTGAAGCAAACAACTTATCGACCGATCCTGATGCGGGAGGGAAAAAGCTCTGTGATCCGATAATGGTCAGACCCCAAGTCTCTCAAATGTGGCACCACCATGCACCGGACTGGACCCATCACGCACATATGCAGCGGACGCACGCAAAGCAGGATGCAGCCCAGAATTGGCACATGTACTGGAACCTGAATCGGCATGTTCGGGGGTCCTTATTCAGCTCATATCTCAGCCTTGACTGCGAAGCCATACTCGGAAAACAACGACCTTTCCGGTCATGTCTTAATGCTATCGTCACCTGGTTCAGAAAGCTAACGGTTCGGGGTTGACTCGGTAATCAGTGGCTCTACAAATTGGAGTGACGAGTTCCCAATTGACGAACCCACATCATGAGCTGCATGCAGCGTTTTCTTTGCGAGCCTGCATTCTAATTGCAAATCAATCCATAACCTACATGTTATCTTCGTAGGAAATGAATGGGAAGTACGGGCCACCATAAGGTGCAAGCTAACGGGCCGTCAGAAAGGGGGTTAAACATGCAATCATGGAACTTACTGTGTTAGAAGGAGGCGACGGCTGTATTTTTTCAGTCAGCGAAATGACAAGGCAGAAGGCAGCGCACCTCTCTATTACAGAAAAGCGCGAACATCACCACGAAATACTTATTTGGAAGGATCTGTTGTCGAAACATGGAGACCACGCACTCTACTATGTTTGCGTACCTTACCTTTCCCAACGAGGTAGTCTTGACCTGTATGGATTTGATAATTAGTTGCATTCATGTACATGAAACATCCTCCCAAGGGCGAGTTTTACCCTAAAATATGTCAGGAAAACAATTACTTTGTCATTGTTTAGGTCTTTGTATGTCCGGTATGCGGTTACGGCACCAGGGGGTACGTACTCCTCCTGCTACTTTGAAGCGGCCGTGATGGTCATGAGGCCCAAGGGCAGAGAGAATACTGTTCGGTATAGCGACTGCATGCTTTTATGTCACGCGTGTATGGACCTCACATAGGCGGTCCGACAAACACCATGAGTGCCGATAAATGGCTGAGCTGGGTAATTGATCATATGGTCACGAGCCACCTAAAGATATAGATAATATTGTTTGAAGCTCCCTGGCATTGGTGTTTGGCGTGAACGGCGACCGTGAGCACTCACCGATTAAGCTGTTTCGGTGGAATACAGCAGTAGTGCTTGTGAGTGTATTGTTTCGATTGATCAATTGCTGTTACCTTATCTGTCTTACGGGATCACCCAAGGCTTTTGAGGATTGTTTTATATGACTCGCTTATGCGCTTCATTCACATGCACGGCTTTGTAGATGATTTCTGGAGTAGCTTGAACTCAAGGTTCCTCCAAAAATTGCCACTTGCACGAAGTTATCATCCTGTACGTTTAACCTGCCCCAGCTACAGAATTATCAGCAAGGGACAGTCCAAAGCAAATGAAGCCCGACAAGCTACCCATATGGCCCCACTCAGAATCAATAATAACTAGCTTTGCGTTATTGAAGAATTTCATCTTATTCTGACTGTCCTCCGGCTATCCAAGGAGCCATCAATACAAAACCCATGCAATAAAGGTGAAGGACTCGCAGGGAAGTGCAGATCTTTCTCGTAAGGGATAATCAGACCTCTGGCCTGGATCGCTCCTAGACAGTGAGCTCTACCACAGATGAAAGAAATATCCCTCATGTTTCCAAGAGTGTCAATAAATAGTTGCCGTCCCACCGACAGTCAGCTCGAGGTTTGGCAGCTCACTACCTGGCTATATGTCAATGCGCCGTACACACGGCCAAATGCCCGGGTACTATGTTGAGGAGCGCTATTGTAGTGGCCGTTCTGGGCCCTGGAGGTCTTTTGAAGCCGAAAGAGCAACTCCAGGACCTGCTAGGAAGCTGCGGTCAGACCAACACAGGTATAAATGCAAAGTATCCAAAAGTACCATTCTTTGTGAGGGCTAATTCAAGAAAATCCACCTTTTTTATCTGGGTAAGCATCTAAGATGAAACTAACTCACGAGGTCAAGTCCTCGGAGACAGTGCGGAAGGCTATCATGGACTTTATGAATTCTTGTGTTAGACAGTACCGTATCTGAGGAAACTCGCCAAGTTAGAACGTGACGAAGACTACTAGTTCCTATGGTGTAGTAAAAGCACTGAAGATGGTGTGGTCAACTTCTCAACTCTACTTTGTTTAGTGCATCATGTTTGAAATTTGAGGCAAGTTTGACGAAACGATGTGCTGACAAAATCAATTTATAGTCAGCGGTGCCACAGATTCAAAGACGCAACGACCCCGCGTCATCCTGACCACTCACCAAATAAGGAAACTCTCCAACACTGGCAAACGTCATACCGGCGTCACCTTGCAGGCTTGCACAGCTTTCCCGTTACTTCCAAAGGGTATATAAGGTCGAGGATATTCGCTTTTCTTCCCCAACTTCTGTGTCTCTCTACACTCATACAACTTTACACTCACAATCATCATAATGGCTGACACTGGACGTCAATCTATGACCGACAAGGCTGCTGCTTCTATGAAGGTCTGATTATTTTCTCCTTGGAACTTTATTCTTGCGCCTGACATTGTCTTAGCCCGAGTCTCAGAAGTCGATGACCGAGCAGGCTGGCGACAAGGTCAAAGGAATGTCCGACTCGGTCGCTTCTACTCTCCAACCGCAGGTAGCCCCTAAAATGATCAGAGTTCTGATTGACGCTGACGGTTTGTTTTCAGAGCGAGAAATCCGCCACCCAGAAGGCCGGTGACACCGTGAGCGGAAATTCCAACGAAGGACAGGTGAGCTGAGGTTGAACAGTCATCTCGTTGACTTGTGACTGACAACATTTCGTAGGAGTCTTTGGCGGAGAAGGCTAAGCACGCCATGGGCATGGGTGGTGCGGAGAAGTAGTTCAGTTCTTTGAATTTCATTGTCTCATACTGTATTATATGGAGGAGAAATCGTGATTTTTAACATGACGTACTTGCTGTTTGCATTTAGCCACCAAATCTTGCGAGCCTTCTTCTACGCATCTCTTCCACACTAACAGACCCTTCTGGTGCTCCCGATTCAGATGCAATCGTACTAGTTTCCGCTTCAGATTGATTGTCAATCTCGTTACCCTCGACAGCTGCCGAAATGTGAGGCGAAGGTGCTGGTCGCGTCCGAAGTGCTTGTACCGGAAGAGGGGTGTGTTCAGATGGTACGCTCTCCAATGATGCTTTTAGCGCGGCCTGGAAGTCGGCATCGTCGTCATCATAAACTCGATCCAGCTGCCCCATGCTATATGATGTCCTTGCTTGGGGAGAAGGCACGTAGTCCGAGTCTTCGGAATCATCATCATCATCATCAAGTTCTCCTCTGCTGCGCCGTTCTCCTAGCGAATCCGCAATTGCACGATGGAAATGCTCATTTTCATCTTGTGCTTGTGGTTCATATGGCGGCTGCCGACTTCTAAACCGTGCAGCCTCCTCCTCGTACTGCTGTCTAAACCCCAATTCTTGCTCATGCCGCATGCGCTCCATGAGCACACGATCACGCTCCATGGAAGCAGTAATTGGGTCAACGTCAGCGTTTCCATACGGATCTTGGTTGGGAGGAATGCTTGGCATAACTCCTCTCGTTGAACCCGATCCACGAATATCTGAAGCGAATAGACTACTCTGCGCGGGAGGGTAAGAACTCGTCATAGGCCATGTACCACCTAGTTCTCCAGCCCCAGCCAGGGACGCTTGCAAGGCTGCTTGAAGCTCCATATCTTCGTTCTCGAAACCAGGCTCCATGTCATCCCTGGGTGACGCTGAAGCCGAGGTAGGATCTGGGAATGTAGATGCGATATCATCTGCGTCTATGTGGGGAAGTTGAGAGGGTGCATCTGGATCGATCTGTGTGACTGTAAAAACAGAGTATCCGTCGCTTTCAGCTTGTTGCAAGAACATGCCAAGGTAGAGTTTGCTAATCCATTGTGGTTGATGCTTATTGGAATCGAGGTTGAACCAGTGGCCATCACCTGGAACAGAGAGATCTCCAAATCGTCGCAACGTATACCAGTGCTGATTCTGGTTGAGTACGAATGCGGTTTGATTACTTATGGGAGGACAATGTATTGAGGAACAAGAAATGATAACTCATGGTGGACGGACATACTGCGGCTCATTCTGATATGGCTTCATAGCTTCAGAACGCCAACGAACGAGGCTAGAATAGAGATCATAAGGTAATGCACCAGATACGATGAAACATCAATTGGACAAACCTGAGATTCCAGATATTGAGTGCCTCTTCTAACACTTGCACGGAGAAAAACCCTGAAGAATCATTAGCGCTTCATACAGCTGAAAACCTCAAAGAAATTGCCTGTATCATCCATATTAGTACTGGTACGTGCTCGATTGACGTCGTCATAACGCGATGACTCCTCCAGCGCGTCCAGCTTCCGAGCGAATTCAGAGAGATCGGGCGCTGTGAACTTTGGCGATCACACAGGTGAGTATAGGATTTCAAATTAAAAGAAGTATACCAACATAGCTTCCCTCTGGAAATGCGAACGAAAGTCAATGAACACTGTCATCGAGCAGTAGGCGATGAGGCACATACGAAGCAGTGAATTGAGCGCATGCTGCGCACAAAGATTTGATCCTTCCTGCTGCCTCTCATGGTATATTATCTGCACAAGTTGTTCCAACCCAGCCATGCTTGATTCGATTTCCTAGAGACTTGCTAGCTTCCAGTAGATGGTAACCGATGTAGCTGCCCAAGTGGAAATGACATTTAAGGACGCGCACGCGTGTCTTATGTAATTCAAGTACCACTTGCGATTTGTTCACTGTTGTTGCCCTTAGCTTCATCATCTTCCCCTGGTCCCGTAGCCATGATTCTCCGGCACTTCATACCCCAGTCATTACCTTTCAACCTGTTGTCCTTACTTTTGTTATTATCTTACACGGTTCTTGTAACGGCAGAAGACTTTGATTGCCATGTGACGACTGGAGGGTTGAAATGGGACCTTACGCCGCTGGAGGGCTCGCACACGCTGTTCAGAACACGAGACTCGCCGCCCACGACTATGGAAGATGAACTCATATTCAATTTGTGTAACGACTTGAAACCAATAAATGGTGTGCCGGACGACGAACAGGCAAGTTCAATTCATGATAACTCGACCCTGTCGATGTTAATGTGAACCCGCAGTGCCAGCCTGGGACAAGGGCATGTTTGAGGAAGACGAACAAGAAGCCCGAGAGTGCAGACCGGGTGATTGCTGTCATACCTGTCGCGTCGACGTCAACCCTTGAGCCAGAATATTCACAGCTTGATTGTATGTGGAGCTTCTGTCTGATTTTTGTTATGCATACTCAACACATGTAACAGCACCGAAAGGACTCTCCTTGACATTTCATGGATTTCCATACCCCAACTCTGGAGACTCCCAGTCTATCGAATTCTCTCTCTTCTGCGCCGACGATGCAGACCCTAAAGCAGATCCCAAATTTGTCTCATATGAGAACGGAAAAGTACGTGTCGATTGGAATACACCCTCAGCGTGTGGTTTTTCGGATGACCAGCCTCCGCCACAATCCCCACCACAAGAGGATGACGACACGCCTGCGGATAGAGGTGGTGGAGAGAGCGGCGAGAAACCAGCGAAGAGGGGCAGTGGACTTGGATTCTTCTTCCTTGTGTGAGTGATATAGTGTTGATACATAAGGAACGTGGCTGACCTTATTCTCTAGCCTCCTTCTAGCATTTTCAGCGTACTTCATGCTAGGTGCATACTACAACTATTCCACATATGGTGCCCGCGGCGTGGATCTTATACCGTGAGTGCATCACAGTTCTGTTTCTGGAGTACGGCCTAATACCTGCGTAGACATCGAGATTTCTGGCGCGAAGTGCCATACATGTTGCAAGACGTTGTATCTCATTTATGTTCAACGGTTCGACCACAGCGATCGACTCGTGGAGGGTACATTGCCGTATGATGACCACGTTCTGTTCCTGGGACCATGTTTCTATTCAAGCGTTTCAGATATAAAGCTGGTATATGCATATTGACTTAATTACCCTAACGCCTTTACACCGTTAAACTACGCTGGGAACAGAATGGAGGTACGAGGTGAATGAAGATGTAACTTTCTTTGAAATCGATCCAGATGAAAATTACAAAGTTCAGTTAATTAGCAATGCTGCTGTGAACAGGCACAACCAATCCGTCGTGTCACCCCTCAGCGGTTTTCAATCAAACCTCCGCTGTAACGCCACTGACATTGAGACCTGTTATAGCTCAAGCGCCTGTTTTGGGGCTGGTGGGCCCAGCTGCCCCTCGGACGCGTACTCACGGTCCGCAGGTATTTGTTGCCGCTTGAGCCATTGATCAGGCACTGGAAGTCATCGGTAGATTTCTGGGTCTGGCTACCGCTATTATCCCTCACTTCTGAAGTTCCGTCATGCTCACCAATTGATGGAACCATTTTCAGTGATTGGCGCAGGACATGATGAGTACTAAATGTTTGTTCTGCCAGTAGGTCTAGTTGCTACTATGACGAATAACTCAGGCGTCTCAAAAGATAATAATGTTGGTCAATATGACTCACGACCAACGTTCTAGCGAAACGAAAATTCATTCCACTCGGTTCACCGACTGCTTCAGAATTGAAAAACGAATCATATACGTGATACAAATACATTGCATTGGGGGTTGTAAAGGTACAAGTGTCCTGGTACGCGTGACTAGTCCGTTCCGGTAGATCGAAAACAATGCAGTGGGAGATATAGCAAGATAGCGATAAAAATGTGAGTAGGGGATAGATATGCAGAAGTGAGTTGTGATGATACAGAGTGAAGTAAGAACTGGCAGTGACGAAGTCCAATTGTAGTCCATGATAGCGATAAACATGTGAGTAGGGTGTGGGTTATGCAAACGTGAGTGAGTCATGATGGCAACGATAATACAGAGCAAAGGAAGAGTTGACAGTGATGAAGTCCAATTGTAGTCCGTTGGAGGCGAGTCCGATGCGTTAAAAGATGACACGTGACAAGCCAATGCGACCCGTGCAGGGCGAGAATCAAACATTCTGGGAGAAGTGGATATTCCAGCTATCCGAGCCATCTCGAGCTCTAGTGAGGCCAACAAAAAAGATTTTTGGGCCCAAAAAGTCCAAACGTTTTACACCCAGCGCATGTTCGCGCTGGTCTGCACGGGTTCTAGCCCTGAAAGAATCGATAGCGGCATTAACCGCATGAGAAGGTCTGTGCATTTGCATCTCGTGTGATGTAACACCTCGGTTGAGGGTTTCCCGTATCTTGAGCAGGACATCATTTACGGTGATGCCGTGAGGGTTTATAACTTCTATCACCCAAGCGGGAAGCTCAGACATAATAATGGTCATACGAGAGACTTGCGGTTGTACCGCAAACTCCCAAATCCTGGCAGGCGGACAGTCTGGTCGCAGTTGCACACGTGCCAAGTCTAGCGTGATGTTAAACATTATATTTGGGCCACGACTCAAGAGGGGGTGCAAGACTATCATGGAAGAGTTGGTCGTGGAAGAATATTGGTCTAAGAAGTAACAGATATGAGATTTGCGCAACATGAGAATGAAAAGAAGAGACACATACACGACACAGGGGGTTGATGCAAGTGTGCATTAGGGTGCGGGAGGGAAACCGTATGGAGGTGGGGTGCGTATGTCATTGATATCGGGAGCGATACTGGATGTAGGTGAGGTGTGCTTGGGGCCGGCGCCGGGGATGCCGGGGATGTTGATGATGTTGACCCCCAAGACTTGTGGCTGTGTGAAGAGGAAGAGGAACCCATACGGTAGTGCATCGTTATAGAGGAAAGTTAGGAGAGGCGGATAATGACTCGACCACCATCTTACACCGTCTTTTATAACGTACCGGGGAGCGTCGTCGGGAAGTTACTTGAGCGCTTACGTTTGTCATCGTGAGTAGGAGAGCGATGAATACGGAAGTTATGGGCGGGAGTCGACAGCGAATACCATCCATATATGGTCACAATTCAACGTTAGACGCCAAATCACTGATGGCGTTGGGCGGGGTTTCCAAATTTGGATAGGGGCGGGAGTCTTGGCGGAGCAACTATACCATATAAGGCAGGCGTCGGGGAAATTGTGCGCTGATGGCGGTCTCACGAGACACTGTTATCGATGGCATCGATAAGTCTTGGGCGTCAGAGCTTATACATCCTCCGCCGATATCACCCCTAAACTAACATGTTCCAATTAATGTTGAACACATTTTCCAGAAATTCACTAAATTAAATTAAACTGTGTAACTTAATCTTACTTCACACAGGCATTCAAAAACACTTCTTCCTGGTTCCAGCCACCAATGAACGCGTTTTTTTTTCAGTACTGCTATAATATAACTCAATCATATGCATCAACCTCTAGAAGCTTCGAGCCCGCTGAATGGCGCAAGCGCACGAGACCGATCTTGATACGGTCAATTCGGCAACTAGTACGGTAATGACATTAGCTTATCCTGCGGGCGTATAAAATTTTGACGCATGTTGTATATCAGTGTCTGTTGACGGGTCAGATAACGGTCCATTACGAGGACAAGACAGTGTAGTCCACACCAAAGGCCGGACTGCACGACCCTCTTGCTTCCTTTTGTCAACGGCCCACCAAATCAAATTGCTACAAAGTTATTCCTGCGATTCATGTCCTTGCCCTTAGTCAAACCTTAAAAGTCTTCTGCGAGCTTTTAGGATTCGACTGCTAAAGAAGGAGGACTGCATGACACAGTTCAGCGCCTTGTATTCGGGAATAGCATCTATCTACCTATGAGAATGCATGCTTGTCATTTTCGAATGGAGATCTGTTCCCGAGGCTTTGGTGCTTTCAAACTCTTCAAACTTTAAAGAATGATCAAGGTTCAAACTTCACTCAATCTAAGAGCGTAATCCGAGCTCCGCCTCGCCCATACAGCTCGGAACTCGCAGCTTGTCCGAGTCCACATCTGCGTCAATGACGGGCATACAATTTCAATGCGTGTATGATGGCTTTGGACCCTGAGGTAATGTATTTTTGTCTGCTCGACAGTGTAGCGCATCACAGCGCTCGATAGTCTCCTGGGGATTCTGGAAGGATGGATACCCTAGTTCAGAGTCTTGTCCGGATATTCAGGCGGCTTGGACTGGTTGAAACAAGATTGCAGGACTCAGGAGTACTTTATCACGTGCTCGTCGTAACATGGATTGCGGAACTGATATGTCGCATCTTCACTGACTATCACCATGGCGCATATAGTCAACGCAAATCCAGCAGACGACGACGAACTTGATAATGATCCAGGAGCATATATTGTTAGGTTTGGCAAACACGCTGGCAAACAGCTCGATTCCATCCCCACTGACTACAGGCTGTGGGCAACAGCAGCCGAATGTCAACATTTCCACTGGGTGAGAACTCAGTATAGTAGATATGACTGTCACTGAGAATAATTGCAGTATGCGGAATTCAAAGAGGCCAATGATTGATATGAAGAACAACTTCTTCTCCAAACCTCTGAAGCCTACATTTTGTCGTTCGGAAAGCATAAAAACAAAAGACTCGACGAAGTACCAGAAGATTACATTTGGTCGGTTATTCGCCCCTCATTTTCTAATAATACCTGGGTAAGCCGATTCTCTCAAGATGTCATGTTCACGTCTATATATATCGTTGTCGCAGTACCAAAGCCTGGTGAAGGCACACCGTCGTTACCTGGACAAGGTATACCAAAAAAAATCACCAGGCTCAGTTTATATCTGGTTTGGTAGGCAGTACCGGGGTTACACGCTCAGTTTTGCCTACGAGCAGGCGTGGTTTCATTAATTTTTGTCTGAGAACGGAGCATAGCAATTTTAAGTGGGTGAGTTGCGGTTTTTCCAGCGGCGCCCAACACTTAATAATCACTCCTATCCCTAGTATCACAAGTTCGAAGACCTAGTCCGGAGGTACAAGGCGCATCTCGCGACCCACCGACGGCCACACCGCAGAAGAAAACCGGCGAATGTGCAAAATCCCGCAGGGGAACTTCTGGGATCATGGGACGACCGTGGTTCTGTGGAGCCAGGTGGTAGCTATATGCGGGACGGCTTTGTCGTCAATGACGGTGAGGGGGAAGACGAATACGAAGATTCCCAAGAGGAAGGTAGCGGTTCCGAATCGGACAATAGCAATGACGACTGCGGATTCGACGATGATTTTCAGGGTGAAGAGGTGTATGATGATTCTGAAGTCAATACAGCCGACAACCTAGACGGATCAAGTCCACAGATAGAACGGTCCTCTCGCACGTGTGTGGGTGTCTCTCAAACCTCGGACTCGGACTCGGATTCAGATGATGATACGTTTCTGGACGAATTGCCCAAGAAGATCAGGGCGAAACGTGTTTCGGGGAAAAGAAAGGCAGAGGTAGTGTCCTCGCCCAGCCTCAAAAGAAGCCATTAATGTGAAACTGAGGGCAGTGATGATGATATCGCTGCTCAGCCCTCACGAAAACGCCGCAAATGTGCTGATCATTCTATGAGCTGTTTACGCATTTTCTCAAGTGCCATGATGACAGGTCCCCGCCTAGTCCATGATAGGCCTACCCAGAATGATTTCCACTCTGGTGCAGAGCCCGTTGCTTCAACTTCGCATCTTGATGAACAAGAATCTCCCTATCAACTCTCTCGCTCTGAGTCGTCTCAGGAATCCTCTGCAAGTTCAAGCACAGCCAATGGATCGCAAATTGAAGATGAGTCTTCACAAGCGACAACGAGAAGTTATCGGATGATGGTTTTAACCTTCCTCCCTCACTCTTGGGAAGCTATTATCGTCCGTTTCTGCATGTAATTACTGACTCCTATTACCAGGAGATGTCTTAGCGGAGCTTGATAGCATACAGGCACTGTTCGCGTTGAACTGTGATGATAATATTCATCTGAGCTGCGATGTAGTATGAGGCCGCCTTTCATTTCCGAGCTCAGAAGTTACGTGAAAGCAGTGCGAAAATCTTGACCACTGCCACTTTCATCGTAATCTGATGGAGTGATGGTCTTCATCAGCTTCTACCACCTAGTAGATGCTGTCACGGCTAAGCCCCAGACTGCAGGAGTTATCTATTTTACATAACTTTTTCTTTGCAAGCTTCTCTGTTTCAAATCTTAAGTGAGTTCGCCGTGATACGCCCTCCATAGACCGCGCCTTGTATGTATTGTATTGTATTCGTACTAACCAAACACAAACTGTGATGACTTATGGGTCTAGGAGAGACACTGATGTGTGCGAGGGTGACAACTAGGGTGCAACTTGTTCATTGCGCCACTGTGTTATACCAGTCTCAGTAAAGTGTAAAAACTTCGTAACTACTAGCGCTCGTTTTCAATTTTGGGTAAACTTGTGTTGATACGATCGCATGGATGGTTGGCTCAGCACAAGAATCATCGAAGAACGAGATACAACAATTAGTTGAGATTTAACCCCAGCTGCGGGGAGATCCTTGTTCGAGTTGCTGTGAAAACAAGAGTACAAGTCTGATGACGAGTTCTGAATTGAATCATCATGCCGCTGATAAATCACATGCACGGCTCAAGTGAAGGCAGTGAAAGTCTGTGAAAGTACAAGTTTCGGGGTTGATACTTCGGAAAGGCTCGTATGGGACTTCTGATCGGACAATGTGGACGGCACCAGTACTTGCGAATGTGGATGCTTGGCGGTCCACTGGCAGAATCCCAGTCAAAACAAAAATATGTGTGATGACTGACAGTTTCTGCCCCTGGGCCCTGAGGATGACCTGGACGACTAGGTTCCAAGTGGGGTCAATGCTCAGCGCTCAGCGCTCAGAAGCCTGTGTGGCACCAAAAAGGATATGAGATCGGACCGACATATCATGATGACAACGAGCGCTATGTGGCTGATTGCGCTGATCATTCTACGATTAAGACGCGATGATTCGGCTACATAGATACTAAATAAAGATGAGAGACAGCATGGGTCTTACCTACGGCACCTAGGATTATCAAGATGAGCCCTCAGAAAAAATAATAATACCTGTTGGGGAATAGAGAAGAGGAAGCAGACCTCGAGGCCCCGACGTTACGGCGGAGGCAAGTACGATAAGGAGTTGTGTGATCAATCATGATGATGCGGCTATACTGAAATTATCAACTGATTAGATGTTCGACAGTCCATAGATGGGATCCTTTGATGAAACCATCTCTTCATCCGGGTTACAGCTGCCTAAAACATTTGTTCCCGTGCACGCGCTTGGTTAGAAGCCTTGTCTAGTGGACTGTACCACTTGTAAACCTTCTATGGCCTCCGTTGTGCCGACTTTCATGAAGCGCCCTTTACCCTAAAATTGCCGTGTACGTATTATATCCTTCACGTATATATAAACTTCCCATCCGAGAAATCAGCCTCGTGCCCTCTTTATCGGTACACTCGTTCTTTGCTCCCACATATTCTTTTTTCCGCCAGCGATACCTCCATCCCGAGTCCCTAAACAATGCCTGCTGAGAGATCCCGGGGCTCATTGAAGCGCGAGTCTTCAGATGGTATGTGTAACATTCATTGCATAAATACACTTGTAGATGCTGATGGTGGCTTACTCTAACTTAGTAGGCGCTCAATTAACTTGGACCCTTCCTCTTGAGCCTGCGTCTCCTCAGAGCATTGCCTTCGCACCGAACGTAACACCTATAACTTTCAACGAACCACTTCTCAACGTTGAAACTACCTTTGAACCCGTGCTCTTTCCCACTCCTACCGGGGAATGTTCCTCTCGCCGGCCTACGCATAGCAAAAAGCGGCCCGACGATCATATCCCCCGTCCTCCTAATGCCTTCATCCTCTTCCGCTCGTCCTTCATCAAAAGCCAGCACGTATCCACAGGAGTGGAAACTAACCACAGCACGCTTTCAAAGATAATCGGTCTTACGTGGCAGAATATGCCTCATGACGAGCGTCAGATCTGGCACGCAAAGGCAAAGAAGGCATTGGAGGATCACAGGCGGAAGTGGCCGCAGTATGCTTTCCGTCCTTCCCATACAAAAGCGAAGGGTGGGACCGAGAAGCGGAAAGTTCGGGAAGTCGAGCCGAAGGACATGAAGCGTTGCGCGAAAATTGCTGAGCTCCTTGTAGAGGGCAAGAAGGGCCAGGAGCTCGAAGACGCAATTCAAGAATTCGACCGCACACATGTCCCTGAGGTTGTTACGCGCTTCGAGGCTCCCATGACCGCTCGAGCATATCGCCGATCTTCATCCGCTCCCATTGACAACTCGGAAACGAAGAAGCCATTCCTTTTATCCTCACCTGCGCCCCGTCGTGTACGTGCTACAAGTAGCCATCCGTCCCTCTCGTCAACACGGAACTCTCAGTGGGATGACCTTCCGCCAAGATCCGATAGTTTGGCGTCAGAGCGCTGTATCGATGTCTCGGCATCGTCATCATTTATTTCATCAGATTATTCTTTCCCTGCGAAACCGCAACCTTCATTGGTGAGTTGTCCGGACTGTTCGGCTCTTTTCTGCTAACATTTTTTTTTCTGTAGGAATTTGATCCTTTCATGTTTGACGTAGCGTTTGGCAATTCGATAGCGTCCGCGGGCCAAACTTTCCCTGATTTTTCTCCTTCACCGTGCGAGACGCGGGTTCAAACACCTTCATTAGTTATCGATACTACACTGGGCAGCTCAGCCTGGTCGCAAGCTTCATCGCCCTATTGTAACTCTCCAGCCACACCTCATTTCCCCATCGATCCTTCATCTTTCGATACATTGTGCGCGGAAGGCGACGATCCATATATGACTGGTTCATTTTCGTTCAACAACTCCTATCCCCTTCCTAGCCATGGAGGATTCCCAGACGCTTTCAACGCATTTGGTCACCCCGCAAATTTGGACCCATCGTCGTTCTCGAACGAAGATTTCTTCTCGAAAACCCAATTTTCCGTGTTCGAGCCAGAGAAATTGGAGCTTGCCAGCGTGGATATGGAATTTTCCGCGTTCATGTCGTCATTATCCGCCTTCTGATCGCGAATGCACTATTTTCCCTTGGTTCCCATTAAGAATCCAACCGATGTATTTTTACTGACAAACGCGGAACTTTCAGTGTAACAACTTGTAACAACTCATCAACCCTTCTCATCTCATTTTGCGATACATACTTCCATACTTCCGTCATACCCACTTGGCTTTGTGTATAGTTATACATATCTATATGTACTTAGAACGCTTCTCCTTGCCAGCGCAACAGAGAATTTTCATAGGTTGCTGCGATTAGTCTAGCTTGAAGGATCATGGTTAATGTCTCACGAGGACTTCACGGTGAAATGACGGCAGTCAACACCTGACCTTTCATATCGGGTTATGGTACATGCTAGCATAAATCGTAATAATCGTAAGAGATCGCAAGATTCCCGTTCGCATGAGGCAAGTGCAGAATGGAAGATAGGGCACGTGTGTTTTAAACTCTTGAGATCACGAGGTCCCCGACGAGGATGGGAAAAGGCTGAAAAGAGGGTAGCACCGGTTTATTTCCTCGCGCTACTACCGAACTCGGACCTGCTCGGGCGGCTTGGGAGCGAGGGTTTATATTGGGCGCGATCACCGGGGGGAAATAAAGGTCACATTATATCGACCGAGTGTGCTGGGCGCTGAGCAGACTATATGGTGCGAGAAGTGAGGATCACTGTGCGATGTGGATTCAGCAGAGGAAAACCCGTAGCGATAAGAAGCAGCTGATCAGCGCATGGTGCATTCGAAGACATGAACGCTGCCGAACAACGGTGTTCATTCATCGCGACCGCCACTATTACATCGCATTTCGTAAGATCAGTTATCATGATATGGCAGATCGGAAATCGATGTGTAGCGCGTTGCACATGACACATGTGCTTCAAGATTAAGTTCTACGAACTTTGCTTCAAAATTTGAATTCAGAATTTCAAGGTCTCTGTAGGGGACAGAACTTGTTAGATCCCGCGGGGACAGGGACACAGGAGTCTTCGTACCTTGTACCTTGTATTCCATCTGAGGATATTTTGGTTCCTTACCCGACTGGTGATCGTCATCGAGGGCTGTCAGAGGAGAATATGTTCACCATGGAAACACCACGAGTTCACACAACGCCAGTCCTAGCTGTCTCCTGGCTTGGGCTGAGCCAGTAAGCGCGTGCACAGGTTTGAAATGACTTAGACAGGTTGTTCGTAGGCCAATTCCAAAGAGTGATTCAGAGCGATATGCATTGAATACGATAGTTCTTAGCGCATCCCGGGATGTTGCGAAAGTGAGTTTGCTGCATCTGGGAATTGCTCGCTCGCTAGCGTTATATATAGATGCGGTAAGGATTGAGGCTCCCGCACTAGTGTTGGAGAAGGCGAAAGACTCAGGCAAGGTACATACCTCTGGATTAGGACAGATTGGAGGAGATCCGCGCCGCATAACCCAAGCTTCCATTCTTTACTTACCGTGAAGCGCATGTTCAAGTTGGAACTCGGACCCTATCCCACCAATTTTCCAGGACCTGGAGCAAGTGTTACAGCAATGTTCAAACCCTGTTTTTTTTTCAAGATAATGAAGTCACTTTCCTAGCAGATGTGCTCGGTTATGGTCTTCCTTGCATCCGAGCAAGGCGTTGGTTCTGGACTCGGAGATGCCATGATTGGCACCCAGTTCGTCACAATCCTGCTCGTACGAGATCCATGATAGATAGTCGATACTCGGTAGGCCCGACAATTATTAATTACCCTTGATTGATTTCTGTTCAAGGACTCCCATGAACAATCGGATACAAGTTGAAGCGTCACGGCACGGCCAGAATGATCATCCTGTGAGACGCCAGTACTCTTGTGGCGTACGTAGGCGTCGAATGCAACGTCGGCAACCAAATATAGTAGGTGCAGTATTCAAATATTTACCCACAACCCGACCGCGGGCCCCCACGCTCGCGCTCGTTGAACGTTGAACCTTGCAACTTTAAGTGCCTCCGCTCTTCCAGCTTCCCCGGCCATGTACCAGTACAACGACGACAAATTTCTTAAGGTGTGTTGTTCCTCAGCTGAAGTCTGCAACCTTTGAATTTGTGAATCGAACTCAAAATTCTGGGACATGAGAAACACAACACTCTACAGAAATGACGGCATCTTCCTCCTCGCCGGTCATGGCCAAAGAAAGTCTTTGTGTTGTTCTGGTATACAATTGTCGCGAAAGCGTTCTTCATGGGGGAACATCATATCATGTTGCGAGTTTGATCATTACTCTCGGTGATTAACAAGGTGGAGTGGTCAGGAGCTTCCGCATCTCGTGTGTTGAGCACATGCTCACTGCCAGGCCTGAATAAATTAACTATTCTGGCGCTGCTGTTGCTATATTCATCTGGACATTTTTCCTGTCGCACTGGGGGCAAGGCGTAACTGTGTACTTAGTTGCAACTGACTAGGCCACTATATGTCCATCCGTCCGTGCAGCTTTTCGCCTGCGGCGCCGTAGGCGAGATGGATCTTGGAGCATCATCCCCTTGTATTTGGTGAGCCTTGTCTATTCCTGTCTATTTTCTCCTCAGCACATGGTCCGACAGTTACATCGAGATCCGTCGGGTCTTCTCACCAAGCATTAGTAACTGTAAACGAGAGGTTGGATTGGATTTGTCTCCTTGAGATGCTGCCGCATCAAGCTCTCGTACCTCTTCCTCCACGAATTAAAAGCAACTATCGGAATGTATGTTGTTCCGACGATTTAAGATGCTTGACGGAGTTAACACCATCTCACCAGCCCCTGGTATGACGTCTTTTTTTTTAAAAAAAAAAAAGCGAAACGTAGAGAACGCCGGGGACGAAGAAAATAGCAGCCGAAAATCCAGATATTGTAATATTTGAGTGCGCTTGACATGCTCACACCTAGATTGTAGATATCATGAGCCCTCTGAATCTTCAAGCATCATCCCGTCGAATTCCTCTAATAATTCCTCCAGTTTCACTGCGGGGAAGTCAGCTTCATCCTCTGCATCCTGTTCGTCTGCATTTGCCACACTGGTAGTGTTGCTCGTGTCCATTTCATCAACGTCCATTCCATATTGGCCTCCTTTCTTCCGTGCTCCATCAGTGGCATCACGCATTTTTGTATCCTTGGCCGCGTAGAGATTGACCGTCCCGCGTAGCTCAGGATCTTCTTCAAGGTCCCGCAAAAACAGCTCATAATCCTCTTCCACTTTCTTTTGATCTCGTCCGCCCATACGTCCAACAACACCCCGCCCGGCCCCAGTTTCGCCCTCCTCCCCAGCTTCCTTCGCAATACTCCTGAGCTTCCAATTTCTCGTCTTATTTTTCTTTCTGCGGTTCGGGTACGTTTTCTTCACGAGTATTATATCCGGGATACGAGATGAAGGAAGGGATGAGAAGTCGTCTGAGTTGAAGTTGGCATTGCTGAGATGATACCCCAGCGCAGTGTCGCCGGGCTGCAGGATAGCGCCTAGATGTGTCCGCGTGTGGAAGATCTGAGTTGACACACTAGAGCTCTCATGATCCATGATCGCGTCTTGGTCACTGTAGGATCCATGTGATTTGAATGCGCCCGACATTGCTACCTGCGCGTCGGCGGAGACCCATTTGCCACGGACGGCGCCTGAGGGCTCGACGTCCAAGATCGTAAACTCGACCAGGTCTGTCACCGTCGCCAGAGAGGCGAAGGGCGCCCTCCAGTAAATCTGCGCTGATATCTCACAAGTTTGCAGTGTTGCAGGATCTAAAAGCTGGAAAGAGTTGCCGACCCGAGTACAAATAGTAAGCGGGCTTATGTTGCTCAGCTGCCGGGCCTGTTTTGGAGGAATGCAGACAAGGTCATCCTTGCAAATCGGGACAATCTCGACAGAGTAGGTAAACTTATAGTTTGCGGTGCCCGAGTGAGTGTCTGTAGAGAGCAACTGCTCAGAACCCTTCGATCTGCATGTCATGAGAACTAAAATACGAGCCGTCAGTGACGCAGCTTACCGTACTGGAACAACTCCTGCTAAGAATTCGACCATCTTGATCGCATGACTTCGTTGACTGTAGAAGAAGTCGAGGCCATCTCTGACCTCTTTGACGGATATCGTATCCTTCTGTGTCCCGTGCTTCAAAATCAGCTGCTCGAGGTATAAAAATGTTCGTTTGTGGGAGACTTTCTGTCGCACTTGTACAAGTGCTTTCCACGTATTTTTCGCCGCAAGCTTAGTGCAGTCAGGGCATTGTCCGTGCTGGACAAGATATTCGATCTCAAAGATTTGCTCCAGTATTGTTGATGTCAGAACCTGATGGACGTGAGCAACATATATCATTCTCAAATAGACGTGCGTACCTCCTTCTGAATCGTCAATGAGACTCGCAGTCGCTTCGAGTGAGGCTCCGTCCATATGAAGTGAGCTTCCGTCAACCGCACTTTATTCAAGCCCTTGAGCCTCTTCAGACAGATCGCCAGTAATTCTTGGGATTCTGGTCGAGCGAGGGTCCAAGATTGAGGAGGCGATAGAAACCGCTCGCAATTTCTACAAAACGAGACCGAGGCTGATCATCGTGATCAGTACCGTCCATCATGCTGCTCAAAAAGTTCGCGACAACACACACTGCTTTGGTATGCCCTCGGTTATGTCTACGCTATATACATGTGAGCACTCCAAATCATGATCCTGCGTCATCTAATGATACTCACGTATTTCGAAGACATGCTACACATAAATTGGCAGAATTTGGGACAATCGGTGTTCCTGATGATGGGAGTCAGCAAAGCAAATGTTTCAAGATCTAGGACTTACCACAATCAGCGCAGAGTACACGATGAACAGCGGGTCCTGGAACAAATTCCATCTTCACGAGATGGTGTGTACTAAAAGTCAGCAGATAACTTATGATCGCGCTTACCTGACTCGGATCTGGATTTTTCAGTTAGCTATGACATTACTAATGTGTCACATTTTTATCTCCTTCAAGTTGTCGAGTAATCTCGCCTGAACCCACTTAAGGGCGAGGATTTGCTCTCCCAATTTCTTTATCCGAGTCCCCTTGCAGATTGTCTGTTCAAACGTTCACAATTAGACTGCTTCCTTCGCAGGAATATTGCAACATGTACAAGTCATTGTACTACGAGAAACACATTAATACTTCAATTTCTTTAATTTTAAAAATGGAGGCATTTATTATATAATCTGTACGGTATCGCGTCGCGATCAATATTGGTTGACGCGAACCTTTTGCTCCGAGTCCTTTACTAGTCGCGTGTTCCAGTCATCTCTTTAACCCTCTGAGCCCTCAGTTTAGTGTTTAACGTTTTTATCTGATCCACTTGATGGGGAAATCGTATGTAGTGGTCGTGGGTTTGAAGCCAGGTATATATCCCAATTGGTAGGTTGAAATCCCTATTCTCATAAAGTCGATGCGTCGACGCAATCATACGTTGGCGCATGCCAATTCCTTATGAATTTGTGAAGCTTATACGCTCTTCAGGATAGAATGCAGTGGACAAATCAAACATGTTCCACGCGCTGTTTATCAAAGCTTTGATACGTACGAGGAAGCTCTTGCAGTATGGCATGGAGCCTTGCAAAGGGGTGAAGTGGAGGCTGTCCGGCCAAATCCAAGAGCTGGGTCAGCTTCTGCCACTAGAATCAAGAATGAGATGGATGGTAACATGTACCAGCCGGTAACTCCGAGCAGGATGGATCGCATCGGCGATGCTCGTACTGTGCAGTTACCCCAGACGCCATGGGATGATGTGTCCTTACTGCATTCCCCACGCGAAGCGTTGCCGGCAGAACCGCCAACTGGGGTGACTCAGTACGTGGACCTGCCAGACGATCCTTGGCTTCAGCCAAAAAGAGGGTTGTCACCCCAAGTCACCGTGGAGGATACATCGTACACATCTTCAAGTTCTTGCGTAAACGATGTGTCGCATTTACTGATGAGACCCCGCCCCACTCATATAAGAAGGGTCGAGACTTCCCCCACCTCATCCATGATGTCCATAGAGGGAATAACATCCCCTCGAGATTTACGTCGACAAGCGACTGCTCCTGCGTCATTCGAGACGGGAGCGCGGTACCCCACTCTTGAAGAGATATACAAAGGTCAGGAATTGGATCCTCGCGTCATGATTCCGCCTTCAAGAACATTTGATCCTGCAAATATCAAACCTCGTCCAGGGGCTGTTTCTGCTCGCAGAAAGAATGACCAGATGGATACAGAATCGACGAGTCGTCGTTATTCTACAACGCATCTTGTGCAAGATCGTCTGTCAGCCGACGATTATCCAGAAGATGACGGACAATCTATTTCCTCTCTCAGCCCACGACACCGAGTTGCCAACAAAGGAAAGAGTCGAGCACCCGCAGATGCTGCAACTGAAGCACTATGCGCATCCGGTTATGTTTCCTCCAACAATCGGTATTCGCTCTCACAATACCCCTACCATGTTCAAGAAGTCTACTCGCCTGATAGGCCTGAACAGCGCAGCATTGTTGTCGTGCACTGTCCGCCAGGGAATGGCTGCTGCCATAGGCACTGTGAAAGTGCGTCTGCCTGTGCCGCAGTAATAAATGAACGGGTTCAATCGCACTACGCCGACGTTGGAGTCTCTCCCATTATATCAAGTGTGAGCTCGGCTCGCACAAAATCCGATGTACAAGACCCTGGAGCGCGGGTCTCTGATGCCTCAAGTAGGCGGGGGTTCCATTCTTTTTTAGGATTTTCCTCCTTGCCTCAAGTTTCACATAGCGGTTACGCTGTCGAATCGGACGTCCGTTCTCCATTTGCACGGGGTACGAGAGTCCCATCAGGCCTGTCCGAGTAAGTGGCCGCTCTATGGTATCACCTTTTCGCCGAGGTGCGACCGTGTGCCCGCAGTCAATACGCTAGATCATTCCTTTCTTATCACCCATTTGGGACACTTGTAATTGATCGATGCCCATTGCTCATCAATTCTTCGTCTAGACTGTCGATATTCGGACGACCATCCCCTACGATGCAGGGATCGCCAATGAGGGACAGGCACCGCAGCGTGGTGATCGGTTGAGCATGATATGAAGATCAATTCAAGTCTTGTCCATCAGAAGGTGATCGTTGTTTTGTTGATATAGATTGTTGTTTATGTTGGTCTTGTACTGTTCGAGATACCTGGCTTCAAAAATCTTGATTCCTGATGCCGGCTTGACTGGCATAGTAGTAGGCCTCTCATTGGTACTCGGCTTTAAAGCACACACTTTCTTGGTCAAAAGGCAGAGGGTGCAAGGTTAGCTTTGAACAACATGACATGATGATGGTCGAGAAATTGACAACAAAGATCATCCTAATCACGGGATTTCTCACGCCTCAGACGCGTTTGGGTTGTCTGGATTCTGGAAGAACCGGTTCGGGCGAGTCATGTACGTAGTCCTTGGATGAATGTCTCTCCCCTGGTAATCTATGACAGAGACAATTAATCTCAGAAAGGCATATCTCTGCAAATTCAAGCGCAGTCTATACATGAAACGACAACATCCACACGTCATCATGGAGCTTGAAGGGTATTGGAACGATACTGTCATGGATTCTTCGATATGACGTGAGTCAGGGTCACTCTGCTAGATACACGACTTCCAGGCGGTAAGGTGGCTGTGACTACTCTCAAATGAGGACGCCTTGCGACAGGTAGCCGGTCGAGTATCCTGATGCGGCAAGCTCATGGTACGGCGTGCTTCTTGCCGGCTGTGAATCCAGGCATTGTGTAGTAGCCGCGAGTTTTCTTGAAGACCTTGCCCATGTACAACACGCAGGTAGTATGGCTCAACCTCTCCTAGTAGGTACGCCTCGCGGCAAGCCTGTTCCTCGGCTTGCAGATGATCCAGGTCTTGTTCCACCGCCTAAACTTCCGACGTTTCCAGTGGCGCTAGTTGATCGACTGCGAGGGATTGCTGATGCGGCACTCGTCGAGGCTGGTGTTATATGTGCAAAATCAGAATATGGTCATGACCCAACTGTCATATTCCCATACCTGCACGAGGAATGCCTTTGGTACCTCTTGCAGCTGCTGTTGCTCTTGTCCCGCGAACGCCCCGGACTCCACTTGACATACTAGTGCCTCGGCCACGGGGCGCCTTTGTAGCTGCGACTTCGCGTTGTGCACGTTCTTCTGCTTCGTGGCAAGCAGCTTCCTCCGCGGCCACACGTGCACGCTCTTCTGCTTCCCTCCGTTCCGCCTCTTCCCGTACAAGGCGTTCCTTTTCTAGTCGAGCCTGTTCAAGAGCCTCCTGTCGCTCTTGCTGAAGTAACTCCTCATCCTTGAATTAAGTGTTATCAGCCACGAGCAGATCCAAAAAATCATGGAGAGTTGTTGGAAAAACGCGTCGCAAGCCGAACTATGGTACGGGGAGACACCAAGAAATGAGTTGGCTGAAGGAAATATAGCTTACAGCCTCTGCGCCTTCCCATTGTTCATCAAAAATCAGCTTAGCCACAGCTTCCGACTTTCCAAGCATATTGACATATTTATCTAAAAGTGCATCCGTCTGTGAGAGTTGAGTTGCCACTTGCTGCACAAGCGAATCAGCAAACATAAGACATGATAATCATCAGCTGATCCCATAGTACACACCTCAGTTGCAGTCTGAGTAGACCGCAACGCGTCATTAAATAACGCAAAAGACGCGTTCAGCTTCTTGAGAACGTAGAGATCGCTCTGAAGCTTGTCTTCCCGTGCCTTTGCAGCAGCAACCCTCCCGATCATAGTTGTATCAACATCGTTTTCAGAGCCCTCCTCGTTTCCTTCTTCATATTCGTCGTCCTCTGATATCCTACTTTGATCAGGCCAGAATGTCTGCGATGTTGTAGCAGTTGGCGCCAGTAGACTGAAACGTGGCTTATCATGAAAATGAAAATTTTCTGTGTCTTTATCTGAAAGTGACAGCTCTGAGAGGGAAAGATCGGCGCCTCCAGGACCCGTATGAGAAGGCGAGTCGAATGGTTCAGGTAGTGGCAGAGACCCGGACAACAGTTGTGAATCGCTAGCGTCCGGAAGCAAAGACGATGGTGACCAAGACATCTTGCGCTTAACGAGAGTTCAGTTGATCAATGACGCAAGTTCAAAAGGCTTTGATGGAAGTGATCGACGAGGTGACCCCACCAAGCCCCACGATCGACATTTACCAAGTATGCAACACATACATTTGGTACTAGGACTTACACTTTTTACACTTGGCTAAAATGAGATAAATGGTGGGGATAGGAGTAGCATTTACTGCTAACGTACACCAAATGACACTAAGGTAAAGTAAAACTACAACCCGTACGAAAGAAAAAGCGAAGTTGCACTAAAGGAACACTGTTAATGCGAATTAGTACAGTGTAATCGAAGAGTTCAAATCGAAGGAGTCCAATGAGATGCCAGTTGTCCATGTCCGAGTCCATTGCCCAAGCCCATTATTGATTCCACCACCAACCATCAAATCGTACACCTCTTCCCTTCCGATCTTTCATTTTCTTTTGGTATTTTATTACGTTGACAGAAAACTCTGCAGGCAGCTTATGCTGCGTTAATCGCGAACTCCTCACTCCAGTTCCCAGAGTCGCCGAATACTGAATTAACCATTAGCTTTCTGAGCTCGATTAAGACAGCATGGCAGGACACTCACATACGACCATGTACTCCCCGGCAGCGGTGTCATCAGGGATCGTGACTTTAACTTCACCGTCAGAAAGCTCAAATCCAGACGCGATGGGATCGGATTGGGTTGCATCGCCCTGGCGAAGGTATACCTTGCCAATAGGGTTGGTTACCTCCGAAGGTTTTGAGGAGGTATCCCAGGTGACAGAGTATGTCCCTCCGGCACTCCATGTGGAGGCAGATGTGGGCTCGATGATTGTGGGTACCCAGACATCACGCTTCATCACGGCAGAAAGAGGAGCACATAATACGCAGGAGAAAAGCGTAAGAAGTATGAACAACGAAGTCAGAAGAGCACGGGGTGAAGTGCTGGTAGACATGATTAATCGTGAAGAATTCGTTAAACTGAGGAAATGAGACAGAGATGATAGCCTGAGCTATTCAGGTCGGTGGGCTTTGCTTATATACTGCCAGCGCAGCTGACCGCATGAGCGCCACGATGTGTTGGCTTTTGTCAGCGTCATTTAGTTTATGTGATACTTTACGAAAAGGTCGTTGCTAACCTGGCCGCCGAATCTCCACTGACCAGTGCTAGGCAGTATGGCTTCGGAGCCAATGGCCAAGGTACATAGCCGGACAAAGACCCCCGATTGTGCCCAACCTCAATGTGCTGATTTTAGGTTACACCCTGCCTCATGTATGTGTCTGCATAACGAAACAGATTCATCAGACTTCAACAGCCGATTCAAACTGGCTCGGAGGAGATACTGAATGTGGAGCGAACTTGATAGTACTAAGCACTTGCAAGTCCACGATTGGCATCTGCGCGTCGGGTATCAATATACTGGATCCGACCGTGACATTCAATATGATCCTGGCAATTTGTGATTTGGACTCATCACCTGTATATGCACATGTGGGTGATGCTTACACGTAGTACAATAGATGATGCCAAAATTGAGAGACTCGGGGTCAGTACAGCCTCATCATGAAATAATATCGGATCATGGTTCCTTATCCCTCCCGCACCAGCTGCTTGCTTTCATGACCGCGTAGCCTAGACTATCCGACCTGGTCGCTGATACTGTAGTATGAAAGCACAGGGCGGCCTTTTGAATACCCGTCAAAGTGGTACAGGCTTGCGGTACATGCTTCTAGAGCTCCAGATCTTGAGCCTGGACACTGGTACATATCACATCCTAAATATTAATTCGGTTGGTCATAATCGTTAAATTAGAGCTTCTGTGGTGCCGGGGACCCGGGCCAGCAACAAGGGACAGGCTATCGCCGCGATAACAATCATGAAATGAATGGAAAAATCAGCCTCAAGGACGAAGTTATTAGGGCCTGTGAGTCAACAGTTCGGCGCTCGGCGGTTGAATGATGCAGGAAGTAGTGCAAAACGCGTGTTGACAGGATGTGCATGTGGCAGTGCCACATGATACATCGAAGGGAGTTCGTAATAACAATATCTTGCAAGTGACAGAGACACTCCTTTCCTTATCATGAAAGAAGGAGTGATAAGCTCAACCCTGATCATATGTGCGGGCTAGAAGCTTGAGCTGTACGAAATATCAGAAAAGATCTTCCACACTCCCAAAGGGTGAGTGAATGAGGCACCTAATCATGTGGTCAGTGGCTGTGTACATTTTGTGATGCTAACCTGTGCTCAACTTGTTTACAAACATCAAAAAGATTCTTTCCAGGCCTTTATACCATGGCATCACGGAAAAGGAACAGAGTTATTGAAGAGGAAGAGGGAACAAAGTCAGACTTTTCACTGGTTCAACTCGCTTCAGACGACGAATTCGATGTCGACATCTCTGGTGCTCTCACAGGCAAGAGACCAAGAAAAGACGTTCCAATCGAAAATTACACAGGTGATGACGATGGCATCGAAGAATTAATCCACGATTCTATTACGAAGCGAAATATGAAAGGCGGTACTGAGATGCTGAAGAAGATTAAGAGCAAAGGGAAAAGTAAGGGTGACACCGGAGGGGGAAGTTTCCAAAGCATGGGTATGTGCTCCTATTCAATGAAGATCGTGCGCTGATGGAGCTCTTTAGGTCTGCACCCATCACTTCTGCGTTCATTGACGCTCCAGGGGTATCGCACACCCACACCTATACAACGTGCATCGATTCCTGCCCTTCTTGCATCCCCACCACGAGATCTAGTCGGAATGGCCCGGACTGGTTCGGGAAAGACTCTTGCGTACATGGTGCCTTTAGTGCAGCGTCTTGGAGGTAGACATGCACATACCTTTGGAGCTCGGGCAATTATCCTAGTACCAGCACGAGAGCTTGCCACTCAAGTTGTCAAAGTGGGGAAGGCACTTGTACGAGGTTGGACGAACGATGCTGCGCAGCATGCAGGCGATGATGTTGAAGATTCTTCAAATGGAAAGGGTGAAAGCTTGCGCTGGAGTCTGATCGTCGGCGGGGAGGGTCTGGATGAGCAATTCGAAATGATCAGTAATAATCCAGATATGTACGTGCATTTCATGCATGCGGGTATTGAGTCTGATGTCGTTCTTGGTTTAGCATCATCGCAACTCCGGGCCGTCTCCTCCACCTAATCGTTGAGATGTCGCTTTCCTTGTCGTCCGTGCAATATGTTGTTTTTGATGAGGCAGATCGTCTTTTTGAGCTTGGTTTTGCTACTGCACTTACAGAGATCCTTGCTCGCCTTCCCGTGTCTCGTCAGACCCTTCTTTTTTCCGCGACCCTCCCAAAATCGCTGGTCGAGTTTGCCAAAGCAGGTCTGTCCGACCCTAAACTTGTGCGACTAGACGCAGAGTCCAAAATCAGTTCTGATCTACGAATGGCATTTTTTTCTGTCAAACAAGCGGAGAAAGATGCATCTCTACTTGCACTCCTCCGGGATGTTATCAAAGTACCCTATGGAAGCACCGAATCATTCAAAGAAGATGACACTGAATCCTCTGGTAAACACAAGAAGGGGAAGTTCAGGGCCAAACACCCAACCCATAGTGCGCCCCACCAGACACTCGTGTTTGCAGCTACAAAACACCACGTCGAATACCTCTCTGCGCTCCTCACCGCAGCTGGCTACGCTGTCTCTGCTCTTTACGGCTCACTGACCCAATCTGCTCGGACATACCAAATGAATCAGTTCTTGGCGCAAAAGACGAGCATATTGGTCGTCACGGACGTTGCAGCCCGTGGTCTTGATATACCAGTTCTCGAAAACGTGGTAAACTACGATTTCCCTGTCGGTGCAAGGATATTCGTTCACCGCGTGGGTCGCACGGCCAGAGCTGGAAGAAAAGGCTGGGCATGGAGTCTCGTCACTCATGGCGAATTGCCATATCTCTGTGACCTGCAACTCTTTCTTGGTCGGCCGTTGATTACTTCGTCTTCGTCCATTCCTGCATCGGCTACGACATCAGAAGAACCCTACACTCAATCGCTACTCTTTGCTCCATTTCCACGAGACCTAATGGATTCAGAGGTCGAGTATGTTCGCACACTAGACGAGTCGCAGAATACGCTGCCAACCCTACGTGCAGTTATGGGACGTGGGCACGCAATGTATGAGCGAAGTCGTGGAAAGGCCAGCCCGGCGAGTTATCGACGTGCGAAAGAGCTCGGACGTAGCGGACAGGAAGGTGTTGTACATCCCGTCCTCACGTTGATGCAAGACGGCGATAACAGAAAAGAAGACACGAGAGAAATGGAGGAGAAGCGTGCCGCGATTGTCCGTGTGGTTAGCGCATTTAAGCCTGCTGAGACGGTGTTTGAGGTTGGTACTCGTGGAAAAGCGGCGACTGCTAATACCGTACTTATGAAAGAACGGAGGAAGGCGCTTGCAAAAGCCGTGGAGCGGGCGGGAGATTCAGGGCCCAGTTATTCTGCTATTGTTAACACAGACCAAGGTGGTGACGACGGTCTTGGGGAAGCGGGAGACGGTGACGTGGAAATGGCGGACGAGGAAGACATTGCGGTTCGTCTCCTCAAAACTGGAAGAGTCGATACTGATTTTCTACAGGCTGTTTTCCATGTCTCCAACAAGAAGAGCAATAATTTCCGCGATGAGGATTATTACATGTCCCACTATCAAAAGGATGCATTAACCGAAAAAGGGTTTGTATATTCCATCTACTCTTGATCGTCCACACTGAAATATATATGATATTTTCCTAGCTACTCGCTCACAGATGGAGCTTCTTCCTTTGCCGCTCAAGCTCAGGGTGCCATCCTCGACCTTGCAGGAGATGAGGACACTATTGGTGCGCGCCAACGGCACCAGAACAAGCTGTCATGGGACAAGAAAAAGAAGAAATTCGTCAAAGGAGGCGGAATTGGCTCCGACAACATGAAACTTCTGCGAACGGAGAACGGCACTCAATTGCCTGCTACATATAAAAGTGGTCGGTTTGACGACTGGAAGAAGAAAGCAAGGGTGTCGCTACCAAAGAATGGAGAAAGGGAGATGGAACGGAGAGGTGCTGGTGCGGCCGGGCCTGGAGGGAGGAGATGGAAACACAACAAGGTCACGGAGGCCAAGCCATTGGACAAGCTCAGCAATGATTACGAGCGCAAATCGAGGCAGCTCAAGAAGAAAGAAGAGAGTTTCGCAGCGGAAGCAGGCCAGGCAAAACCAAAAAGTCCTGGTAGAGCGAAAAAGTCAGAAGCGGTGGGCGTTTCGGAGGAAAATCAGTGGGCAGAGTCAAGACCGAGATCAAGACAGTCGACCAGATACGCAAAAACAGGATGGTTTCAGAACGGAAGAAGGCTAAAAATGCTCGGCCGAGTCGCAAAGGAAGGAGTTGATTTTTGCACTATTCTCCTACTTTTGCACTATGACATGTCATTATCAAGCCGCATCCGAGTACTCCCATTTCACCCCTGTACCTTTAACTAACTGGCACGTCGACACCCTGCATTAGGTCTACCCCAACGCTGCGCAGAGCGTTCACACACCATTCGGGGTATCCAGTATCACCGAAGTAATCGAAGAAGAATGACTTTAAGTACTCAGGGAATCGACCTTCAAGGATAGCATCTCTTGCACCGCCCATAACCCGGGCCTGGAAAACAAGGTTATGAATTGTGAGAGCTGACCAAAGATCAGCTAAGTATACCACAAGAAACGGTATTCGAATTACCGTGGGCACCAGCTGTCTCTATTGTGACAATGTGGTGCAACACAGCTCGGGACATGCCGCTTGCGCATGTTGGACAAGGGCAGTTCTTGTCTATAGGTTCCATGCTCTTCGTGTGCTTTCCGAGCTCTATTTCATCAACCAATGAGTTCT